TCTGTAGGGCTGTTATGTAGTTTTTTAAGGACATCAGGAATCCGGAATCTTGGAAGTATCAATTGCCATCAGAACATCTTCCCATCATCCGATTCGAATTTCCGGTATAAGACGCCGTTTCAAATATGAAGTGAAACCCAGAGTGCCCAGTATAGTTTTGTAGTAGGACTACAGATAGAAATGTCCTGCCAGGTAGGTTTTCTGTTTGATGACTCCATTAAATCAGTTATGGATTTAATGTCGTGGTCTTCCAGCTGGTCTTTCCTGACTTCATCACTCCACGGGTCTCGATCAGCCGATGTTGATGTTGTAATTTGTCTTGTGACCGGAGTCAGCAGCTCGTATTTCGCTTCCACCCTGGAACAATATCAGCAGCTTTCTGGGCAAGGTCATCTAGACAGGGTGTCGGCGTTCCAGTGTGATGATCCCTTACGATGACAGATAGTGATGTCATCTCTGTATCTACCTGGCTATTTGACCGTCAGGATTCTTGAAATTTAAAAGCCAGGCCAATGAGGCATGGTCCGTGTGGAGGAGGAATTTTCTGCCGTATAGATAATGATTGAAATGTTCTACAGCTTTAACTATGGCGAGCAACTCTTTCTGGGTGACACAGTAATTCCTCTCTGGTTTAGACAGGCACTTGCTCCAGTACGCCACTACACGTTCTTGGCCGTCTATTTCTTGGGACAAAACAGCACCGACACTTTCATTGCTCGCGTCGGTGTCGAGAATAAATGGTCTGTCGAGCTGAGGATACATCAGGATTGGAGCAGATGTTAAAGCTTCCTTTAAGTTGTTAAATGCATCCTCGCATTCCTTTGTCCACAAGAACTTTTGCTTGCTCTCTGTCAGCTTGTGAAGGGGTCCTGTGATGGTAGAAAAGTCTTTCACAAATGTCCTACAGTAGGTGCAAAGTCCAAGGAAACTTCTTAGCTGATGGACATTTTTGGGACGTTTTCAGGATTTAACCGCAGATACCTTTTCAGGATTCATGCGCACAACTTCTGCAGAGAAGACATGTCCCAAGTAAGTCACTTCCTTTCGGAACAATCTGCATTTAGCGGGACTCAGCTTCAGACTGGCTTCTTTCAGTTTCTGAAGCACCTTTCTAAGATTTCTAGATGTTCTTCAAAACTCTTTCTGACGATGATGATGTCGTCCAGGTATATCAGACAGACTTCGTAGGAAAGACTTTTCAAAACAGTTTCCATGAGGCGTTCGAATGTTGCCGGCGCATTACACAGTCCAAACGGCATCACCTTGAATTGCCAAAGCCCTTGTCCAGTAGTAAATGCCGTCTTTTCTCGGTCATCAGGATGTATTTCTACCTGCCAATACCCACTCTTTAAATCAAGCGTTGAGAACCACTTGCTTCCAGAAAGAGTGTCTAGAATGTCGTCAATTCTAGGATGAGGATAACTGTCTTTCTTCGTAACCTCATTCAATTGGCGATAGTCGACGCAAAATCTTGCTGAGCCGTCTTTCTTTCTGACGAGAACGATGGGAGATGCCCATGGACTCGCTGCAGGCTCGACGACATCGCCTTCTTCCATATCTTTTAACAGTGTTCGCACCTCTTCCTGTTTAGCAAATGGTATACATCTTGGATGTTGCTTGATCGGGGGATGATCGCCGGTATCTATTCTATGTTGTGTCAAACTAGTTCAACCCATGTCAGAAGACGAGCAGGAGAAAACAACCTGAAGATCTTTAATGACACGATCGGCAGCATTTCTCTCTTTATCGTTTAATTGTGCATTCTGCAATAACTCCGATGTAATGCTCTCTCAGGACACGGATTCTGGGATGTTACTCTTTCTTTTAATGCTGGTTACTGGAGTACATGTTGCAACCACTTCACCTTTCTTAATAACTCTCGCCTTCTCAGTTACATTGGCGACTCTCTCCAGGATAACCGGTCTGGATAGGTCGACAAGTGCTGAGGCTACTAGTACTCCTTTTGGGCTATTACAGTTATCGGGATATTCTATGATGCCGAAGCGGAAATTTCTATTTTCGGCTATGGATCCAGGAAGTACAAACTCGGTTCTTGTGGGTATTGTGATATCATCTTGAGCTATAATTTTGTGGATAGATTTCACTTCTTCATTAATTCCGAATAGGGCGATGTCCTCAGATGTAGAATGCAATTCGTTATTTTTAAAGTCCAAGCAAAAATTGTATTTCCTTAGAAAGTCCAATCCGAGTATGCAAGAATCAGTGATCTCTGCTACATATGCCGTGATGGTAAGCGGCACTTCTAAACGTGATGTTAACGTTTACTTTTCCATCGATGTCGATCTTCTCACCGGACACAGTCTGGAGGGTAACGCAGGGCATCCTCCAGATAAGTTTGTTTCCCACTTGCTGAGCCAAATCTTTTCGGATGATATTGCAGGGAACTCCATTAATATGTCCTATTATGAAAGTCCATTACTGCCACCTCTCACTGCAGAAATCTGAAGCGCTTTAAACTGGGGCTTTTCATTATCTGGCAACCTCCGCCCCGCGAGATGGCCACTAATTAGTTTCACTGCTGTTTTTTAGGAGCAGTCTTAACATCCATACCCTGGGGTGTTCTGCAGTTTTGTCGTATGTGTCCTTCAGCACCGCAGTTCCAGCACTTAACGGTCAGTTTCTTATCACCAATATTCCGTCTCAAGGCGTTTAGTTGTCTAGTTAAATTGTCTAGACGAGCGGTGACTTGAGCAGCTCTGACTGGGTGGCGGTCTCGACGAGTGGCTTGCTGGGCTGCCTCGAATTTCATGGCATACACTAAAGCGCTTTTCAAATCTTTAGCATTCGCAGTGCTTTCTGTATTTCAGGGTCCCGGATGCCATCACTGAAATATTGCAGCGACAGGATTTCTCTTGTTTCTGTCGGGCACTCTGAAAAGGTGTGATGTGACAGCCTTTCAACATCCGTGGCGAGCTCCTGAAGTGTTTTGGTGGGCTTCTGCTGACCGGAGTTTAATTGAAGCCTGCTGTAGTCTTTTAAACACTTCTCTCCAAAGCGCAGCTCCAATGCGCCAGATAGAGCTTCAAAGTCTAATCCCTGGTTTGGGAAGAGTCTGCAGGATATCCGCTGCGTCTGCTCTCAAAGAAGCGGCAAGATGACAGGCCTTAGCTTGGGAATTCCATCCATTCACTTCCACCACTACAGAAAATTGCATTTTATATACTTGCCAGGAGGTCTTCCCATCATATGTAGATAGCTTCAGAAAGGGACGAGTAGGCATGGGTAGAAATTTAAAGCCTTCCGAATTGCTCCCTGCCATCGCTACGAATTTCTCTAAATTATCAACTTCTTTGGCAACTGCAGATACCCTGTCATCAATTTGTTGTTCGATTCGATGTTGGACAGCCGAAACTCTTCCTTCGATTCGCTGCTCCACAGCAGAAACTTTCTCTTCTATTTTTTCCTTCACGGAAGAAACTCTTCCTGTTTAGCAAATGGTATACATCTTGGATGTTGCTTGATCCGGGGATGATCGCCGGTATCTATTCTATGTTGTGTCAAACTAGTTCGACCCACGTCAGAAGACGAGGATAACCGGTCTGGATAGGTCGACAAGTGCTGAGGCTACTAGTACTCCTTTTGGGCTATTACAGTTATCGGGATATTCTATGATGCCGAAGCGGAAATTTCTATTTTCGGCTATGGATCCAGGAAGTAAAAACTCGGTTCTTGCGGGTATTGTGATATCATCTTGAGATATAATTTTGTGGATAGATTTCACTTCATCATTAATTCTGAATAGGGCAATGTCCTCAGATGTAAAATGCAATTCGTTATTTTTAAAGTCCAAGGAAAAATTGTATTTCCTTAGAAAGTCCAATCGGAGTATGCAAGAATCAGTGATCTCTGCTACATATGCCGTGTGATGGTAAGTGGCACTTCCAAACGTGATGTTAATGTTTACTTTTCCATCGATGTCGATCTTCTCACCGGACACAGTCTGGAGTTTAAAGCCTTCCGAATTGCTCCCTGCCATTGCTACGAATTTCTTTAAATTATCAACTTCTTTGGCAACTGCAGATACCCTGTCATCAATTTGTTGTTCAATTCGATGTTGGATGGCCGAAACTCTTCCTTCGATTCGCTGCTCAACAGCAGAAACTTTCTCTTCTATTTTTTCCTTCACGGAAGAAACTCTTTCTTGAATTTCTCCAACTTTGTTTTCTATTATGCAGGTAGTCTCTTCCTTAACAGCATTCATGTCATTTTTAACGGATTTCATCTCATCTTTAACAGGATCTTTCATCTTGTCCTGTCAAGCATCCATCTTTTCTTTCATTTCTTCTTTAAATGATGCTTGGCCAGCTTCTATCTTTTCTTGGAACGCAGCAAAAGCAGTAATGAGCTGTCTCAATTGTTCTTCAATCGCTCTAGTGATATTGGCATTCAAACCCCACGCCTGACACCAAAAATTCTTGCGTGGGTACGGGTTCGTTACGAAATGAATGCACAAATCTGATGAAAATGAACAAAAATTTATTATTATCACAACAAATATGCTTAAATTTCCTAAAATATTCATGCAGTATTACAATATCTCACAGTAGTTATCTTTTAACTACTCAAACATTCAAGAGAACTTAATTCAAAACAGCTAAAGAAAGCTAATCCGCTACAGTCAACAAGAGCAGTTTTCTAAACAACAACAAACTAAGTCACTACTACGAACTGAGAGGTTTTCCTCCTTTTATAAGATTTTAAAATCGCGTGCGAGAATTCAAATCAAAAATCTCGAAATCAAAAAGAGATATTTATTAAATGTTACATGCACGCGCTCTTGTATTTTCAATTTTTCGGCTTAGCTTTCTTTTAATATTCGTCACGCGCTGCACTGCGCGGGAAATAAAACCATTTAATTTACAATTCAACTAACGTTAATTATTTAAATGCCAAATTCGTAACAATATTTTAACTTAAAGTAAGCATTTGTTTTGTTTAATAACTACTTTGTAAAATAAGATTTCATTTTTTTTAACCAGTTGAGAGGAAATCTGCACAAGCATTAATTGATGTTTTAGAGAAAGAAGCTGCTGACTTTGAACGCTTTTGTACCATCCAGTATCAAAACAATGACAGTAGATGACTCCTTGATGACTCAACAGTATTCAGTTGCAACTGATGATTGTACAGGTTATTTTCATAATGTATAAGAGGTGTTATTCTCTATATGTAATCTATTTAAAACTTATAACATCTTTGCTTATAAATAACAAGAAATTTTGTGAATTTCTCAGTGGTTCATAAAATACTATGAAAGGTACTTCCTAAATTGGAAATTGATGTAAAATGTTAGTGAAATGTATTCTACAACTGTATTTAGTAGTTACTTCATATAAACAAAAGTAGATCTATAAATATCAATTCAGCTGTTTACTAAATGCAAAAATACAAAGCAGAAAAAAATGCAAACTAAAATAAAACCAAATAGACTGATATCATAACATTTATTACATTATGTATACTGACTAACGAATTTTTGCAGATCATCTGATATTACTGCAGTATATCATTTCTGACACTATTATTTATAAATTATAAAATTAACTACTCTCTTCAGCTAACACTAACATTACATTAAGTTAGGAAAAAAAATTAATTTTTCTAATTTTTCACACAAACAATTCACACAATTTTTCACAAAGAACATTTTCAACATTTGAATTCTTAAACACCAGTATATTAAGTACATAAATTTAAATTATGATACTATATATGATCAATTCTTTAAAAGATAATTCAGTTTAAGAAAAAATTAAGTAGGTTTTATACATGCTCAGATTTATTTTAACTATTCAAAATGCTTTAGCATCACATTTCTTAAACATACTACTAATACTCAATGTTTTGATTTGACTTAATTAAAAATTATTTATTATTTAAAACTATTCCATTTAAATAATAAGAAAGAAAATTATTTCAGGAGGATTTAAAATAAATGTCCCATTAGTATGAAATTTATAAAAAGTAAAGAAAGCATAGTATGTTTCAAATACGCTATTTCCCAAGCTAAATGTACTTTAAAAATGCAAAATTTAAACAAAGGTCATGACATTATTATTTTCTTTGCAAATCTGCTAATAAAAAGCCAATCTTTGCAATTCATTCTACTGGTAAAATCAGAAGAACGGCTATTCAGCTAAATAAGACATTCTACATTAAAAATTATCTAGCTTGTTTAACTCGATGATATATAATTTTTTTCTTGTTAATTACTCTCTTATGCTTTTTTAAGTAGTTTAAATAGGAAAACTGCAAAATTTAACAAAATGAAATTTTAAAAACAGTGCTGTTTAAAAATATTTCAAGCAAAAGTTCCATACATATATTCATAAGAAAATTTAAACACAACAAAAAAGGGGTAGTTTAAGCATTCTGTGAAATATTTTTTAAGTTTTAATAGTTAATATGATTTAAAAGGGACAATTTTTTATTCTTTTACATAAATTAACAAAATAATTTGCAAATTATCTTTTTCTCTCCTAAGTTGCAAATACCGAGTTATAATTTTGATGGCTTTCATCTAATTCAATAGGTTGAAAAAATTAGGTTTTATCTATTATAATAATTACTGTAAATACTCAATAATACTTATTTAGCTTCTTTCTTTGAGCAGAATACAACAAATTCCAAAACATTAGCTCTTCAAACTTGTTTTAATTTTCTTGTTATAGTGCTCAATTCTTTCTTCTAAGCTCTCTGAAACAAACAGTTTTATTAACCATGTTAAGCTGTACATTTATATAAAAATTAAAGTCATTTAAACTAAAAAAGAAAATGATACACCATTATTACAATTTTAAAAACTATAATACATTAAAAATAATGTAATATATATGAAGAACATTATACATGAAAACTTTATACCTTATATATTTATTCATAATTTAAATGATTCATGGTGTAGAAATAAAAATTTAAATATTATTTTGCAATATCGTGATAGATATGAAATAAAAATGTTTTCCTTGTAAATAGAGCTGCACAAATGACAGTATTCAAAATCAAATCAAATTTTAAATGCCATCTATTCATATACATATTCAAATTTACATTCCACATTCCTATACATATTCAAATTTACATTCCAGGATGTAAATGAATTATGTATACTTAATAAAGACAATATATACTCAATAAAATACGTAACACACAAATAAAAAAATTAGTTAAATTAAATAAGATATATTTATATAGATCAGATACAGCCGCCCTACAAAAATTAGATTTTCCAATTAAGGCTACTCTTTATTTCAAAAATGTATGTACTTACATTAAATTTTATTTAACTGCTATATAAAACTATTAACTCCCATTTTAGTTACTTATGTATTAAAAGATATCAAATATACTTCATTATGAATTAATAAAAATCATATCTATATTCAGGAATCAAAATAAACTTTTTTTAAAATTCAGAATTCCTTTCATTGATATTTAAAACTTTTTATTAATTTAGATTAATATTGTCAGTGATATATCTACACTTTTTTATTTAAAGGCATTTTTCACTCGTTGTAATAATTATAAAAGTATCTTACAAGAAGAATTCAGCAGTTCATAGTAGAATTCAACAGTTCAGCTAACTGGATCCACACACAGATCCTAAATTTTAATTCTGAGATATTTAATATTCAAACATGTCTACCATCAGAGTAAGATCCTTTTTCCATAACTTATAGAAAATCCTGCAATGCTTTCTTTAAAATGGCCTTCAGTTCAACTAGCATTGCATTTCTCAACTTCCCTGCACTCAAAAACCAACGATCCTTAAATCAAACATGCTAGCTCATTCAGGGTACAGATAAGAAATTGCATGCTGTGAAATTAGATGGCATGTAGAAAAGTTTCTTTTTTGTTTAGAAGCAACCAGCAAGCAGAACTCTTGCCATAGCAACTGCAACTTAATGATTTAAAATTGGCAAAAAGGTTAAAGTAACAATAACCCTGATGATAATAAGAATATTTCTATTATTACTATCATTATTGCTGTGATCCTTATGGATGTTTGATTTGAATTTTCATATTACTAATATTTACTAGCTGTGGGTTTTGAAAAAAAATGACTGAACTGAAGTAGAAGATTTTTGTCTGCATGGACTTATAGAATTAAAAACATTTTCTGCTTTTCTTTTTCTGTCAGTATTATACAGGACAATGTGCTAACACACTCATTTCATGAGAAAATCCTGTTTGGGGATTTACTGACATGTAGTCTTATCCTTGCAATGGTGGTTATTTTCTTGACTGTTAGTTGTTTGGTTGGCTTGCTTTTTCTCAACATTTTATATCATTTCTCAGTTGCATAGCCCTCAAACATGCAACAAAACTTGTCAGAAAGTCAACATGCAAACAACATTTTTACAACTTTGAAAATATGCATGTAAGGCATATATTTTTTAATTAACCACTAAGAGAAATTAATTCAATTATTTTCAGCTAAAAATCTATGAATATAAAAAATTTAATAACTAAAATATTTCTTATATGCATATTTAAATAGAAATTTTCATTAGATATATAATATTCATTAGATATATAATATTCATTAGATATTTATTGATATTTCTGCTCCAGTATTTATATTATATGCATATAAATACTGGAGCAGAAATATCAATAAATCCATTACTGAAGCAAATATATTACATCAGAAACACTCATAGAGAAAATTAGAATCCATAAACCATATATCCTTGAGGATTCTGATTTCTACAGTGGAAAAAAAATTAAATTTTACACAACCAAGAAATATGCATAAAATCGTATACAAAAATACTCAGAAATTATTTGTAAATTACAAATGTAAAGATTTATAAATAGCATACTTTGCAAGCTTAAGTTCTGAATTAGATAATCTTTTCCTACAATGTATTTCTTCATTTGCCTGCATGTTTACTTTTTCAATAAGAACAGCTTCAAGAATTTTGACCTAAATTTAGTTAAAATATGGCTTGTAGAATTTACCTAAATTTAGTCAAAATATAATCTTTTTTTTTTTTTTTTTTTTTTTTTTTTTTTTTTTAATAATAGGAAAAAATTTTCACAGGCTGCATTTGAATGAAACTTTTTTTCATGACCGAATCAGAAACATTTTGTTTAAAAGCTCCTTCAAATGGTCCACCAAAACTAAAATTGGAAAGTTGTGTTCAGTTAAAAAATTAAATAGCATTCAGCATTTATAACATATGTTTCACTGTCTTTTATGAAGAAATTTAATATTTCTTTTGATTTTATGGCATAGCCTTTGAGAAAATATATGCAGTTTACGGTAACATTATACACAGCACAAAAACTGAAGAAAGTCCACATGCAACATTTTCTTGCCATAATATAAAAGAACAGGATCTGAAAAGTGCTTGATGGGAAAAATAAGGACCAGAATTTGCTGAACTACAATTGGTTACCCTTCAAAATCATCAACTAAACATGTGATGTCACATATATTTCATCATCCATTAAAGGAATAAGTTGATTGTTTTTCATACTATTTTCCTTGCCCTCTCAGTAAAATCCTTAGTTTTATTGGTATTTTCCACAGCTCACACTTTTTAAGGAATTTCCATAGAAACTATGGAGAATTTGTAAAAGTTGAAGTTTATGCAGTTGCTATATTTCACAACTTTTCTGGAACTTCCATATACATTGAAGTCACTTGAAGGTTTCGAATGGGAAAGTGTTAATACTATAAATTTGTGTTAGCAGTTTGTATGTTTCCATCTGACATTTGCCTAAATGTGTACAGTAACACACTGCTCAACAAACTTTCCACACAATACCAATCACAAAGCATATAATTAAGGTAATTACCATTTGAATAATATTTACATTTATTGCACAGATGTTGCCAAATGTACTATTTAATATAACTGGACCAAACTACTTAACAACACAGAATTCCATCATAACTCAATCATGGAATCAATGGGTGTGCTCTATATACATGCTCACATACAATCCATTTTCTGCACTTTTAAATTTTCCTATCTATTCCATTACAATATAAACTGGCAAGTCAAGCTTTAATCATATTCGACAATTTTAATTCCTTTCATATATATAATTAAAATAAAACTTCCTCAGACATAAAGTCAACTTCAAGACATAATAATATATACTATATAATATTCAAATATATCTAGTTGGATTACACAAAAATTATATTTTACTTTCAGCTATACATAAAAGTAATTTTGAACTCTGAAAATAAGAATTATTTATAGTTTATACATAATTTTTAAACAGAATTATTCTAAATGCACATGTCAACAGTTTTAAAAAATTTATTTAAAATATACATATAATCAAAAGAAACAGATGCAGAGATATTTAATTCTTTGAGCAGCAGTTTTCTATATGTAAAAATATGAAATATTTGTTTTAATTGCAGTTCTGGAATTTTGCTTGCTTTACATAACTAAAACTGAACTTGTAATTAATAATATATGTAATAATAAGGATTTCTTACTACCCATCAGAGCTTTCAAAGAAGATAATTAAGCATAAAATTATGCATTCAAAGTAATATTCTTTGGATTTATCATCTATGTACATGTTTGAGTCCTCATATACATATCTTTCCATTTTTCTGCCAGTTCTACACAAGAAAAAAGAACATGGCTTCGTCTTGTGATATCAGTAAATAAAGTGAAAATATATGCATTTCTATCAATTCAAAGTTTATGTAAGTTATATAAATGGAATATGCTTATGTTTTATACTAAATCTGCTATATGTATTCAGAGTGATATGTTTAAACTGAGATTTAAAACTTTGTTTGATAAAAATATTCGTTTAATAAAACTTAATTTTAAAAAGTCAGAAATGTTTTGTTTTGTCTTATCACTATGCTTACAGAACAATAATTAAGTAAATTACAACCAGATTATAAGGGTAATTTAAAATATGTTGCATAATATAAGAGTACAGTAAAATGTGTGAAGCAATCACAAAGTTTTTCAATTGGTTGTTAAAAAAGACTAATAAAAGCAGGTGGTGCTTACAGTAATTTGAAAAACAGATATTGTTTAGCATTCACAAATATTTAAAATGGCCTTGGGTGCTAAGACAGCAGATAATTCGCAGCCTTAGATAAAATTTCAGACCTAACATCAGAAAATGCAATATCCGCAGTACTTTAGATATGTGGTGATCATTCAGTGTTAAAATTTCCCATAAAGGGACAGAAATTTAACAAGGTTCATAGCCAAATTTTAGTTAAAAAAAATAAGCACCTATAAGCACTTTTCAAGCACATTTTAAGAAAAAAAATAAGCACCTGTCTAATTACATTATATACACAACTGCATAACTTCAAAAATTAGACTCGTAATTTAAAATATGAAAAATGCAGTATTTATTAAGAGAGAATAAGCATTACCTCAACTATGGAAAATAATTACTTTTTTTTTAAATTTTATGTAACAGTTCAATTTACAGAACTAGTTTACAATGAGAGGGAAAAAAAAAACTATGCAGAACTAAACTATATTACAAGATTTAATGATGAAATTTCAGTTCAAAATAAAAAAAAAAACTATGCAGAACTAAACTATATATTACAAGATTTAATGATGAAATTTCAGTTCAAAATAGAGGAAATAAATAATAATAAGGCATATTTATTCTATTCACTTGGAACTTAATAATAAATGCAATTTATTTTTCCACTCATATTGATATTTAACTAATTTAAATCTAAATTCTGAACATTTTCTAAATTTTCATCGTATATCAGTTTTCCCTTAACAGATATTGCAAGCAAAGTAATTTTAGTAAAAAAAGAGGAACATTTCTGAAATCAGAAGACAGAAATTTGCTTTCATGCAGTCATCCTTTAACAGGTAAAAGCTTAACTACCCTACCCGCATACTTGGAAATTGGCGAATATTCGGACAGTCGAGCATAACTTGAAAAAGAGGAGCAGGAGGGGGGGGGATAGACTGTAGCCGTTCTTTAGATTTTTCCGCTAAATAAATGCTTTTGACATTTCGATATGTGCATCATATAAAAACAAACCAAAGGAACAGAAAAATATTTTGCTTAGCAAGCACAGTAAAACTCTTTTAAGTGTTCATAAACAAATATCGGACCGAACATCAAAATTAATTATCTCAAAATATCGCAAACGTTATTGCGCAATGCGTGCGCCGTAATTCTTCGCTACATGATATTACGCAATCGGATTCAACAGCTGCCGATATTGGGAGAATAAAGAACTAAATAAAGGAAAAGAAAGAGACTTACCAATCTGGGGTGTTTTTCATTCTAATTTTCAACAGACTGCATTACATTTCCGAAATAGAATCCTTCTTTGCTTGGGTTGGTAGACCGCAGAACTTTTAGTCCTATTCAATCCAGATTGGAAAGTTACAAAAAAAAAAAAAAAAAAAAAAAGGCCCGTTGCTTGTTTTGCAACGAACTGTAACAGTTTCAATATTCAAGATTTTGCGGAGAAAGGGGAGAACCTGCCAACCTTCGTACTGTATAATGTATTGGCCAAAAAAATGAAATTATTTTGACTATTCGATTACATTCCCTTTATTTATGCCATTCCGAATATTATTAATTAGAAAGCTAATCTGCGTTAAAATACAACCATTTTTGGAAGTTTACTATACTTCAGCAGTTACTGCAACTATGTTATTATAAACATTCATACATATGCTCATAATATAAGCATAACGATCATAATAAACATGAATATGAACTGACCAAGCGGAACGAAAATGCAAATTATTAAGATCTTGATAGAAATTCAAACGTGTGTAGTATTTGGGTGGGAGGAAAAGAATGCTGAATGTACCGGAATTTTCTACTGCTTTCGCAATTCTTTGACCAACAGAATGACGGGCACCTGTCTGTACTCTCCACCCACACCAGAGGTTATGTTAATAAAATTTAAGAGAAAGGGGGATTAGTTTCAGCTTTGGTACGGGGAAAAATTGCGTGTTCATTTAAAAAAAAGCACTAAAAGCAAAAAATAAGCACTAAAAACAAAAAAAAAATAAGGGCTTTAAAGAAAAAGTAAGCACCTATAAGGGCCTTTATATTTTATTTTCAAATATAAAGACTTACAAGCACTCATAAGGACTGCTATGAACCCTGTTTAATTCTTGAAAAACTTATCTGAAATGGTGCCCATAATATATAACCTGTTTAATAAAATTGGAAACTGGACTTAAAGAACTTGTATAACATTGGGCATATAAATTAATCAAAGCATGCAGGCACAGAGCAGGAAAATTCTAGCTCCCTAAACCAACCTAAGAAAACTCAATTTTATTCTTTCAGTTCAGAGATTCTGAGATCAGAAAACCATATCATGGTTGACTTCCAAAAAACGCAAACAAAATGCAGATTGGTGATAGATCAAGAGATTTAGTAGCGATGAAAAAGAATGAAGCAATAACAACTGCTTACATACAGACTTTTCAATTTAGGAACTGTCATCACTTTTGCTGAAAGACTTCAAATGATTTACTGCACAATTATGTGACTCGATGATTTTCACATTTTTCCAGCTCTCAAGGAATATCTAAGCACCCAAAAATTTTGAAGTACAGAGGATGTCAGAATAACATTTACACAAAGGCTATACACAGACTGTTTGCACATTTTTTAGACAATTTTCATTGTAATTACAGAAATACTTTACCTAAAACTTTTATGTTTTAAGTGTTCTGCCTGATAACCCTTATTCTTCACTATCCTTATATACTGTAATTTTCAGCCTTTTGTAGTATCGGAAGAGGTACTTTATCCTATTGCTCTTGAACAGCTTTCAAAAGTCTAAGGAGGTTGTAGGTCAATGTTTGGACAACCCAACCAAGTCCAGAAGGACAGAAATACATTGGTGATAGATCAAGAGATTTAGTAGCGATATGAGTGAAGGGTATGGTTTTGATACCCATTTCTTGTTCTATTTTTCCCACGAAATTAACATTAAATTTTGATGTTCACTACTTGCTTTGTATTGATGCAATTCTACTGACTGATTTACTGTGTGTAAGTAGAAGGTCTTTCATATTTGAAAATTGGGTATAAAATAAGTTTTTGATAATATGTTGAGTTGATCTTAACATTTTTCTCCACTCTCTTACTTTTTAATTTCCCATTACATGAAAAACCAGCAACAATCATAAATACCTTAGAAAAACTTTCCTTAGATTCCTTGAACTATGTTTTAAGATTTTTTTCTCCTCTTTGATGATAATAAATGGATCTCATTTTATTGCAGTTATTTAAATACACCCTATATTCCTCTATTGTGACAACAACTTTCCATTTTTGTCACGATAAATGTTTCTCATAAAGAATTCCACTGTGCGTTCAGCAATATACCATGGAGAAAGAAGATGCACATTGTTTTTTTGCCTTTTAAAGACTCAAATCAGCATTAATCACTTTGTTTACAGTTGACTTTGAGCATTTTAAAGATTTTGCAGTGGTCCTTTGACTTGGTGGATTTTCTTTTAACTTACTTTTACAATATTAAAAGCATTATATTTTTTTTATATGTATCTATAAGCATCTACTTGAAGCTAAACTTTGACGTTCCCTCCCCCCTATTGCTGACAACAATACTTATCATAGTTTTAGATATAAAAAAACCATAGCTTCCACAATGTTTTTTTTAATAACTAGAATAATTTTCTTTGGAAAGAATACAAATATAGCTTTTCATCCATTGCTTCTTTAAAAGCGACATTTTGCATAAAAACAAAACAGTCAAGTAGCAAATGATAATTTACACGTTCAAAAATATAGTTTTAATCAAAAAAAATTCAAGAGTTTTTTTTTTTTTTTTTTACAGCAAATGAACATTATCTAAAAAATGTGCAAACATCCTCTGTATATTCAAAGCACTAGATGATATGGACATCAGAAAATGATTTAATTATAAATATGGCCACATAAAACTAGCCAAAATGAAAAACAAAATCTGTATGCTTTTTATGCCCAAATAAATTTTATTCTTAAAGTAATAAAATCGCACATTCATTTTTGGGGTGTGATTTTGTATATACATATATTTCTTTTACCTAGTACTAAAGTGACTAAAAATTCTTATTCCCCAAAAGAAAGATAAATATTTCATTTCTATTTAGAAATTTATCAAAAAGAATTTATAACATATGTTGAAATTTCTTCTACAAAACAAAAAAGATATAATTCTAGTTATCTATACCATTCCATTTACACTATCAAATGATAAATAACGCATCGTATATATATGGCTTCATTGCAAATTGCTCCTATCATAAAAGCAATGTAGATTATGAGGAGAACTATAATTAATAATAAATCAATAAAATTATTATCTAGAGAATATGATGACTCATAAAATCTCTAACTATTAGCTAAGTAGCTAATGTTAACTCCATTAGAGGATAATATATACTACTGGATTGGTCACATGATAAATCAGTTCATACCATTCTATTCACTCCCAGAAAAAAATCAACCATAGTCAACAGACACTGTATAACTTTAGTGGTTTTGATGAACACTTTTATAAAATATAAGAATATTTCAAATAAAAGAACTTACAATACCCATAAGTATTAAAAGAAAAGATAAAATATACAGAATTAATATCGATCAAGAGTGGTAAACTATTTACCTAGAAAGTACAAATTAAAATCCTTGAATCAAAGATATATTAATATTCATTAAGCAATAAATAATAGCTAATAACTCCTTGGTCTCTATCAAAAAGCAGCTGAAGGTATTGTCAACAAAGCCGTGTTTCTGAATTATAACTGGATGAATTGCAAAAGAAAATAATCAATGAAACTCTCTTTAAATTAAAAATAAAAGTAATTGGTTTCGTTTGGTTTATTTGACAATGGTGAAACACTCGAGGGCTATCTGCCTACGAAAAGGGATGCCTTCATGGAGGACTTTCTAAGGGAAACTGGCTCATATACACATTACACAGTGAGAAAACCATGAAAGTCTAGTGCAGCCAACTCGTTTGCTGAGATTCAAGCCCTGGACCGAGCTACCAGTGTTCAGCAACTTTACCGCTCAGCCGCTGTCGGGGCCAAATAAAAGTAATTAAATGAGAATAAAAATTCAAAAATTTTTAATAAGCAATCATCAAGATAAAACCTGCTTAATGTACATAATACACAAAAAATAATAATTAAATACTAGAAGAAAGACAAGAAGCCAAAATTTTTAAATGAAGTACAGAAAATTTTCAAAAAGTAGTACGATGGACTCAAACTGTCCATCGTACTAAACTTACATAAACTAATTAGCCTTATTGTGATATTAATTTGAAGGAAATGTTTAAGATTTTAGTGGTTTAGATTCCATTTTAACCATCTTTGGTGCTAAAAACAAATGTCACTAATGCTCTGGAAAATCTAGAAATGGAACTAATTAATTTATACTGTGATATACATCTTATTCAAAGATCTGAAGATACAAATTTGCTTAATTTCTATTAGTACTTGTCAAAAGATGAATATCCTCAATTACAGATTTCTGCAATAAAAATAATTGCTTGTTTAGGAGTATGTATACATACAAGGACACGATTTTTTTCTGCAGCTGAAATTAAAGTTTTAAAAGTCTAAGAAAAGAACTAGACTGCTGATAAATATCTAGAAATTGTTGATGAAGATGCTTTCTAGCAATTTTCCTCCAAAGATATAAACTTATGAAAAATTGAAATGCCATGAGATGCTGTAGTTGAAAGGTGTAGTAAAAAACAAATTAATTACAGTTATGTATTTTCTCTGCATGCTTCATAGGAAAATTTAATAAATAACAGGAAGAGAATAAGTTGTCAATTATTCATACATAAATTTTGCCTCTTTTTGGAAAAAGTTCTTGGAATTTTTTCTTTGCATAATTTTTATATGTTTCAATAAATATCTAGTATTTTTTTAATTGCGCCCATTAGCTACTTCCAGATTTAGCTCCCATGGAATTTGGGTTTGAGACAACTGAAGTAGTATATTAGATAATATATCAAAAGCTAAACATTTACAGAAGCCTGAGGGATCACATAAGTTTTAGTACTACTTCGGACAAAAATAGTCTTTATATATATGACTATAAACTTAACAGCTAAATAGAACAATAAATAATTACCACAGCGTTGTCTATCAAGAAGACGTTTATATTCACGTGGTTTCACTCCAGGCAGCAAACACTCCACTTGGTTTAAGACTGGATTATCAAGAGAACACATTTTTTCCAACTCTTGTAACATTTTCCTAGTTATCACAGACCTATAAAAAAAAATACAGGATTTAATTACATAACTTTTGACATTTTACAGCACTGGAACAGTTAATGCTGCATAATGCAAACTTTAAAAAATATATATAGCATTTTTTATAAACAATAAAAGCATTGGGAATTTAGAATAGTTAATACTGCAAATTGCAATCTTATGTAATTAGATAGTAGCATTCATTGTGTGTCGTAAGATCCATATGAAAGTACTCTTTTAAAGCTATGCTTTTATAGACTTTTAAATCTTTTTTGAAAAATTTTATCTTTAAGGAATACTGATTTTCTTTTATGATTTTCTAATTCACTGATTTCATTTAAGAATGAAAACAATCCATCATCAGCTTTAAATAATTCCTCCATTAAATACTTATATCTAATTTTCTTCAATCATGATATGCACAAGAATAGCATGTGAAGTCTTTCAATAGTTTTTAAACTAATATTGATAAATAAGCATGCTCTTATTTAATACAAGAATAAAATAATTTAAAATTTTCTCAACACTTTTATTTTAAGATTCATTTTATGTCTAGACAGGAACTGCATACTAAAAATAAAAAATTAAAAAGGCCATTATGTAAATGTGCAATGAATAAAAAAACTCCAGATTACGAAAACAAATGAGAATTTTTCCTATGTAATTAAATAAAAATTTTGCTTTTCTTTGCTATACAATTAATATGAAAAAGTTGTAAGGGCTTTATTTTATTCTAATAAATTATTTTTAGTTTCACTTTTCTTTCCTCCTGATTTCAGTTTTTTTCCAGAATGTAAATTTTAAATAATGCATTACGCTAATCTAAGCATGTTTCATAGGCAGTATTTAAGCTGCGTTTCAAGAGTTTGTGAGGCATAGTAGCAGAGTTAGTTCCGAGTTTATGCTGCGGGTTTGAAATTAGCTCTCTGGTCGGTGTTACACAACTTTCAGTTTATACCGATATTCCTAAGCTCGGCTTTGCTGTGTGCAGCCAATTTAGAGTTTAGTTAAACTAAGGAGCCAGTCGTTAGCTATTTTAATTTAAGATGCATTTTACATTCTTACTTTCTGTTAATTAGCCACAAATGGTGGTGAATTGTGAGCACCAAGTGAGTGCATCTGTTTAATTTAGTTTAAATAAAAAGATTATTTAAAACCTTCTTCTGCAGCAGTTATTCTTCAAAGAAATAGTTGCTATTTCCTTCATTTGCTATTTCCATGCATCATCGTCTGCATTTTATCCTATCATAAAGAACACACACACTCTAGAACTGGAACCCGAACAGTCATGCCCGAGGTACACCAACTCTACAACGTAATTTATATTTAAAAAAAATATTTTTTTAAATTTCATCAGCTTTAAAAACAAATTTTAGATAATTTAGGTACCATTTAATTGAACCAAAATCTTATAATATGTTAAAACTAATTAGTTCTTAATATTTAAATATATGTATATAAAGTTGCAGTATTGAAAACATCAGTGCACATGAGAGTATTTAAATCAAGTTAAATGTCATAAAAATCAATCACCCAATAACTTGGTTACAAACAAATGAATAAAAACATATTTCATATGTATTACAGATTTTACATGCATAAAGTATTTAATGTATTAAGGACTAGTAATTTTTGTACAGAACTGCAATAAAGTGATATAAATATCAGCTTAATCACACTACTTTTTTGTGTGATATTTACATTGGACTCTTTTTTTTTTAATACAATTAGTGAAAATTAGATATATCTGAATCTAAATGCTTTTTCACTTTGCATACGATTTCTTGAAAAATGTTAAAATGCTTAGGATTACTGTATTTTGTAGCAAAAAAATACTAAGCATGAACTAAAAATATTCTCATCCCTATAAATCCCAATTTCTTGAAAGACAGATAAGAATGTGTCTCTGAAATATTTTCATTTCAGCATCTGAAATGATCTAAATGACCTTCAAAGCTACCCTGATACCTACAAGCAATGGATAAAATGTTCATGCGTTTCTTTGAAATTCTTTCTGGCTGGATCAATTTTTCATTCCATCGCATGTGCTTATACTGTTAAGTTTATGATTATGTACCCTTAGATTGCCAATAGATGGCGGTAGTGTTTGTAAAAAGAAATGGTGATGTCATAATTATGTATATGTATCAGTTCGTCTTTGGTGTTCATCAATAAACGTTGTGTGGAATAACGCTCCCTGTTTATTATTTTACATTTGATCCAATCTGATTTATTTAGAGACTTACATATATTTTGTTTATGGTGCCTGCAAACAGAGATTATTATGAACCAGAAAATCGACAAACTGAATAGTTCGAAAATGGAGGGCGTTCTTGAAAATTTGAAAAAGAAACGATCGGTTGTAAGACAATTAACTATGAAACTGATAACCAAAGTCAAAACGAATTTAGCAAATAATATTCCGCTAAATGAGAAAATTGAAATAATCGAGGATTTGTATGAACAGTTAATTGAAAAAAATCAACGAACTGAAAAAATTAGATTTAGAAATCAAAACAAAAGTAACTTCGGAGGAGATTGAAAATGGAGTTACCTTAAGTCAAGAATACCAGGATAAAACTGTTATATGGAGAGGAAGAATGCAACGATTTCTGAAAAAGAATTCGGAATCTTCTAGAACAGCTGTTCATGAGAACGAAATGGCTAATGTTGCACTTCCAGATGAAATGAAAGCAGTGAAGTTACCACGTCTGCAAATCGGTACGTATTACGGAGATTTGTGAAAATGGTTGGAACCAGTTCGAAAATACAATTTACAATCATAGTGGATTGAGAAAAACTGAAAAATTTGCATACTTAAAATCCTTACTTGGCAGTAATGCTTTAGCTGCCATTTCCGGTTTCACTTTCAGCGACCAGAATTATGATTCTGCAATAGAAATATTGAAGGAACATTTCGGAAGACAAGATGTTGTTATTACTTCACATATGAATAAATTATTATCCCTTGAACCAGTGGGGAACATTTCAAATGTTAAAGCACTGCATAAGCTGTATGATAATTGTGAAGTCAACATTCGAAGTTTAGAATCGTTAAACGTTACTTCTGGAAGTTATGGAAATATTCTTTGTCCTATTATTTTGCAGAAATTTCCAGAGGAATTAAATTTGGAATTTAATCGAAGTCGAAAAATGGAAGCACGATTTGATATAAAGGAACTTATAGAATTCTTTGAAAAGGAAGTTAACTGTTGAGAAGCTGCAAGTTGAACGAACTCTGTGAAAACGAATCAGAAACCACACATTCGTCAAAATGAACAATGCATGAAAGCTTATCCAAATTATAAACCGAAAGTTACGACTGCTTCAGCTTTATCAACAATTGGATACAAATGTATATTTTGTGATAAACAAGACCATACGAAATATAAATGTACTGAGGAAATACGAAATATAAATATCTCTGAAGAGAAACGCAACATTTTGAAATGTACAGGAAAGTGTTTTCTGTGTTTTGGACGTAAACACTTAGCGATCAACTGTAAGAACAAACAGATTTCCTGCAAAACCTGTCGTGGTAAACATCATGAAATTGTGCGTGGAAATCCCACATTAGTTGTCTCCAGTGTAAAAAATAAGGAAACTGAAACATCGGCAGAAATTGTTCAAAATTCTTCTGCCAAAACTGGATCTAATATTATGCTTCAAACTGTGTATGCTGTGGCTGAGGGCAGAAAGAAGAATTGTATTGTGAGGTGTCTTCTTGATGTCGGTAGCCAAATCTCTGCAATTCGAGAAGATTTATCAAGAAAATTAAAATTACCAGTGAAAGGAGAAACTGTTTTAAATCTGCATACTTTCAGTGAAAGGAATGGGAAGCATTGGCGTCGAAAGAAAGTTGAACTTATGCTCCGAAATACTAATGACCCTGAAAAATACATAAATCTCGAACTGGTACTCAATGAAAAAGTCATCGAAGTACCAGTCATAACAAATGCCAATATACGAGTACCAGATGTAGAAATAAAATCCAACCTCCAAGCATTCGGCATCACTTTGGCAAACTGCTCGGTGCTGATGAAGTCATATTTCCATTTTGATCGGCGCATACATTATGTGGAAAATAGCAAGCAAAGAAATAAAAAGGATAAACAGAAATGCCGTAGTGATGAAAACCTTGTTTGGGTGGTGCAAATTTTCTTCATCAGACTTTCACAACCATGATGCAAGTTTAAACGTAAGTGTAGAAGAGAAACTTCTAAAAAGCGTCGAATCATTTTGGGATATTGAATCTATAGGAATTAAAAATATTTCTGACGAAGAACAAAATGAAATGGCCTTACAAATACTTAACAACTCGATTACACAAAAGGGTGATAGATACGAAGTTAGACTTCCATGGAAAGATCAGAATGCGACTTTAAGGGACAATTTTAAGAATGCTGAAAGACGATTTTTAACTCTGAAAACTTGAACTTTTATGCCCAATATAAAGAAGTGATTGACTATCAGTTTAAGGAAGTGTGTGTGTGATTATAGCAAAGCCTCGAGGGCTATCTGCCTAAGGGGAGGGATGCCTTCGTGGAGGACTTTCTAAGGGAAACTGGCTCGTATACACGTTACACATGGGGAAAACCACGAAAACGCCCATGCAGCCAGCCCGTTCGCAGGATTCGAACCTCGGACCGAACTACCAGTGTTCAGCGACTTTACCGCTCGGCCGCTGGTGGGCATCAGTTTAAGGAAGAAATCATAGAAAAAGATCGATCTTGGTACTCCATATATGGGAGACGAACTTACTATATACCTTACCGTGCTGTCATCCGTGAAGATCATAATTCTACAAAACTTCGCATTGTTTATGATGCTTCTTCAAATGAAAAGAAATCATGAATCTTTAAATGATAATTTACTACAAGGACCAAATCTTCTTCCTGAACTTTTGAAAGTTTTAACAAATTTTTAACTTCATCGAATTGCATTTACATCAGTTATTCAGAAGGCGTTTTTGCAAATTTCTGTTGCACCTGAAGATCGGGATTCAATGCGATTTTTGTGGATTGATGAGAATTCAAGTTTCAGTAATCCGAGAATTCAAGTTTATCGGATGTGTCGTGTAATTTTTGGAGCAAAATCATGTCTATTTTTGCTGAGCACTTGCATTAAGCATCATTTAAAGAAATTTGAAAACATCTATCCCAGAACTGTAGAAATGTTAGAAAACTTAATGTAAGTTGACGATTTTATTTGTGATCAGATACAGAAGAGAAAGCTGTACAAATATATCATGAAGCCAATGATATAATGAAAAAGACATCAATGACTATGACCAAATGGAATTCAAATTCAGATACCTTAAAGAACCAATACAAATCAAGTGACAACTTTGTTAGCTTTAAATTGCCTGACTGTGATCCCCTCTCAAAGATTCTTGGACGTCAATGGGATACTCATAAGGATATCTTCTGTTTTAATGCTCAAGACGTTATTGATTTCATCCAGTCAAATGACCAAACAAAATGTTGTGTTTTGAAAGCCGCTTCAAAAATCTTCCATCCTGTTGGGTTTCTTGCTCCATATGTTATTCAAGCTGTTTCAGGATTTATGGCTGAAAGGTATTGATTGGGATGAAATTATCCCACCAGAATTGCAAAACAAGTGAAACAAATGGTATAAGCAACTATGTGATCTACCTAATATCCAGATACCTCGGTGGTATTTTCGTGATGTTGATGAAACGTCTGAAACACTGGAACAACATTGTTTTTGTGATTCATCTCAAAGTGCTTCCGGAAGCAACAGTGTACGTGAAATTCTGTAGCTTAAAATATTCTGGAGCAAGTTTAGTGATAGCCAAGAGCAGAGTGGCCCCCCTGAAAAAATTATCTTTACCAACACTCGAGCTCATGGCAGCAGTGTTAGGTGCATGACTTGTAACTACAGTCCATGTGCATTTTCCTCAAGCTAACATTCATTTATGGACAAATTCTCTTATCTTCACTGGATAAAGAACTCACCACGGCGATGGATAACATTCGTACAAAATCGAGTGTCCGAAATCCAAGACAAAACATCTCCGAGTATGTGGCAACATTGTCCTGGCTCAGAAAATCCGGCCAATAAAATCACACGTGGTGTTAAAGTGAGTGAGCTTGTAGTAGATCAAGTGTGGTGCCATGGACCTCCACGGCTTCATCAAGATGAAATAAATTGGCCTAAAGTTAATGAGCATTGTAACATAGTAGAAAGTGTTGAAGAAAGAGTTGTGACTCAAGTTACTAGCAGTGTTCAACCTTTACAACCTGTGTTAAAAATAGAACACTTTAGTGACTTAGGTAAACTTTTAAGAGTCACGTCATATGTATTTAGATTCATTAATAATTTGAAGTCACAGAATAGAGTGATTGGTCCTTTGACCAAAAATGAAATATGTAGTGCTATGTGTTATTGGATTAACTTACCACAAGGTGAGTATTTTTTTGGAGAATTGAATAATGTTAAATGTAAAAAACCATTGTCTCATAATTCCAAATTGTTGGGGTTAAATCCAGTAATGGATGAAAAGGGTTGTTTAAGATTTGGAAGTAGATTAGTAAAATCATCATTAGATGTCGATGAAATTCAGTCGTTAATATTACCAAATAATTATTTTTCTTGTTTAATTATTTTGAACTGTCATGAAAAGGTACTTCATAGTGTTGTAAATGAAACTTTAGTGCAAGTAAGAGGGGAATTTTGGATTTTAAAAGCTAGACGTTTTGTAAAATCTGTGTTACATGATTGTAGATTTTGTAAAAAATATAATGCTAAAGCTGGACATAAGATATCAGTTTCTCTTCCTGCTGACCGAGTGGAGAAAGCTCAACCATTTGAGGTAAGTGGCATAGATTTCGCTGGCTCTTTGTATTTAAAAGATGGTACAAAAGTGTATATCTCTTTATTTACCTGTGCAGTGACTCGAGGAGTCCATTTAGAATTGTTATCAAATTTAAGTACAGAGTGTTTCATTCAAGCCTTACGTAGATTTTTTGCCCATAGGGGTATTTGTAGAGTTATTTATTCTGATAATGCTAAAACCTTTAAAAATGCTGATCATGAATTAAAATACGAGGGCTATCCAGAAAGTAGATTACGTTTTGGAATAAAAAAATAAACAAAGTATAGGAAACAAATTTTATTATATACAGATGAAAGCCACACTCAAATACTACTTTTCTACATAGTCACCATACAAATTAAGGCATTTATCGTAGCGATGTACGAGCTTGGAAATTCCTTCGTCGAAAAATTCGGCCGCCTGCGCCTTCAACCACTTCGTTACCTCTTCTTGCCTTCCATCTTGCACAAAACTTGTGGTAACCAAGCTTTTCGCTGATGATTTCGTGCAACAAACTTCGCCGAAATTGTGGGGAAACCTCAAAGAAAGTTCCGTTATTGTGAAATTTCGATTTTCACGGACTTTAGCATCGACTTTTTCGAGAAGTTTGGCGGTCGGTCACTATGCTGGGTCTCCCACTTCGATCTTCGTCGTGAACATTGGTTCGGCCCATTTTGAAATCTTATGACCCACTGACGCACTCCACCTTCAGTGATAATGTTGTCCCCATACACTTCACGAAGCTGCCGATAGATTTCTATCGGTTTACAGTTTTTTGCAGTCAGAAACCTTATTACTGAGCGCACCTCGCAGCTCGCGGGATTTTCAATTAACGCAGACATTTCAAACCGTCACAGTATCTGAACGGAGCACAGCACGAACCTCTCACTAGCACGGCTAGATGCAGACTGAGCTGCGCAACGCTCTGACCCCAAGATGGTCGCGCTAGCCCCGCCCCTAGCGGACACAGACGGAAACGTAATCTACTTCCTGGATGGCCCTCGTAATTGTATAAATTGTAAGATAAAAAGGTTCTAAATTTCCTTGGGAAAAATGGGTTTGAAAGGAAATTTATTGTAGAAGATGCTCCTTGTTGGGGTGGATTCTGGGAACATTTGATAAGATGTGTAAAAACTTGTTTAAAACGTGTCTTAGGTAAAGCTTCTTTATATTATGAAGAACTATATACTGTCTTAACTGAAGTAGAAGCTGTTATTAATTCTAGACCTATAACCTATGTATACAATGAACCAAATGAGCCTGATCCTCTTTCACCCATCTCATTTTATAACTGGATCTAGATTGACTGTTTTACCTTCACCTGAATCTAAACTAGAATCGACAAGATCTCAGTTGATTAAAAGAAGGAAGGATAGGCAATTATGACTAAAGCATTTTCGGAAAAGGTTTTATAAAGAATATTTGTTAGAATTAAGATCTGTCCTGTTTTCAAAAACTCCAAAGAATTCTCCCGTGTTTAAAATTAATGATGTTGTACTTGTACGAGAAGATAATGTGAAATGCTGTAACTGGAAGATAGGTAGGATTAAGGAACTATTCCACGGAAGAGATGGTAGAATTAGATCTTGTGAGATTCAGTTGGATAATGGTGTTGTTGGAAGACCAATTGAAAGACTTTATAATCTTGAATTTCAGTAAAATTGATGCATTCGTTTACGGATGCATGGGGAAGGAAGTGTTAAGTTTATGATTACATATCCTTAGACTGCCAATAGGTGGCGGTAGTGTTTGTAAAAAGAAACGGTGATGTCACAATTATGTATATGTATCAGTTCGTCTTTGGTGTTCGTCAATAAACGTTGTGTGAAGTAATGCTCTCTGTTCATTACTTTACATTTGATCCAGTCTGATTTATTTAGAGATTTACATATATTTTGTTTATATACCTTAAAAACAAGCATCATCAGTCTTTTGAAATTATTTATAAAACTACACTTTTACACTCCATAAGTATGCCAAAAGCATATTAAATTTTAAACCAACCACATTATTCTTAAAAATAAGAATTATTGTTTATATATAATATTTTATGACAATATGTTACACAATATTTTGGCAATATCTTATTTTAAAAATGAAAATAGCATTTAAATAACTTACTTTACAGCATTGTATGTCCATATACTTTGAAGATGTTTTATAACAAGTTTTAATGACTCTTTATCATATATCCATTCTATGTTGTCATAAGCACAATCAAACAGAACCAAAGGTATTTCTGTAAAAAAGTGCATAATTAAATATACTCAGAAAATAAGCATAAATATCAGGCTTTAACAAAAGTTTCTGTCCACCGCAAATATCGTTTGTTCAAACAATTCACATTGGCGTGTTCAATCATATTTTGTGAAACTATTTTTGGCATTTGAAAGAAAGAGACTTGCTTTAAAACACTGTGTTGTGAAATTTGTAAAAAAATATCGTTATTATTAAGTACGAGGTGTCTGAAATGGAGTTATCAAGCTACTAGATTAGAACCATCGTTAACTTCAAGATCTGTTGTAAAAAGTCAGCACCAGAACGTCACAAAATTACATGCGCAGTTTCAGGTACTAATGTATCATATGCCACTGTAAAGGTTTGGTACCGAAGTTCAAAAACAAGGAATATGACATTCAAGAAGAAGAGTGCTCCGGACGGCCTACTGATGTTGATGAGGGTCGCCTGTGAGTACTTGTGGAAGAAGATCAGTATACAGCCACTCGAGAGCTTGCTAAGGAGTTAGACTTTAGGGCCATTTCCATTAGTCCCTCTATGCATCACATAAACTTGAAGTACAAATTCAGTCGCTGGGTCCCGGATGAGTTGAAGCAGACAAAGACAGATGTTTTTAGGCTTGCACTAATCTGCTCGAATATCAATGCAAGGACAAAATTCCAGACCGGATCATCATTTGTGATGAAAAGTGGATTTATTTCAAGAACGCAGGGCGAAAAGGGGGAAGGGGGTTGGTCTGCACCAGGTGAGCCCATCGGCAGCATCGCAAAGTGCTGTTTGACTAACAGAAAGATCATGCTTTGTATCTGGTGGGATTGCCGTAATATTATCCACTAAGTGTATTTGAAAAAAGGTAAAACGCTCGACAGTAAAGTGTACAGTGAGATGTTAGTCCATGTTGATGCTGCTATCAAGGGAAAATGTTGGACTGAGTTCTGGTGTAAAAAGCTGATGTTCCATCAAGATAATACAAGACCACATGTGTCTGCATTTACCGGCTGGACTCTATACGAACTTGAATGGGATCTTTTGCACACCCACCATATAACCCCAACATCGCTCCTTCATACTTCTACCTTTTTTCACACCTGTATCTACATCTTCTTAGTGCTATCTTCCATTCTGCACAGGACGTTCGAAATGAGATTGATCTGTTTTTGGCCTCGGAGCCACCAAGTTTCTGGGCTGAAGGCTTTGAAAAGCTACCAAAATGTTGGCAAAAAATCATAGTTTTTATTAAGAACAATTTTTGGTGGAAAACTTTCGCTACAACCAGATAAATTATTCATACATTGCAAATATATAGCTCACAAATAAACTACTTATTTATCCATTTTCATTTAAATAATGCTGTTAATTTTCATTAATTATTACAGGTACACCTTGCACAAAAAAAAAAAAAAAAAAAAAAAAAAAGAGACAGTTCTATATCTCCCGTTCTACTGCACCAATTGATGAAATTTAACTTGCGTTTTTCATGTCACGAAAGGGCAACTTAGGATATATAATAGATTTATATATGGCATTGCACTAACATATGTATTTTGATACAAAATTGGGCTTTTTCTGATTTTTTCTTCTACATTTCGATTCTTCAACTCAAATTATGCCTAATTATTAAATTTTGCCAAATTCGGTGAAAAACTTTCCAAGAAATTTAAACATTTACCTTGGAGCCTTTTTTTTTTTTTTTTTTTTCCAATTTAAGCCAAGAAATAATTTATTAAGTGACATTCCTAATTTATAGCAACCCATTTTTCTTTCCCTTTCCATTGTGCACGAGCACAAAAAAAAAAGAAGGTGCATCATTCATACTTTCAAATAATTTTAATGTGCATAAAGCTCATTTAGATTATTATCGCTTGTAACAAATATGGCAAATTTCACAATGCGCTAATATAAAAATTCACATGGAACTTTGAAAATTTTGAATAAAAACCTCTCATTTTTTGCAGGTAAAAGGTTGACAACTTTAATATGATGCTAAAAATTTGATATGTTATAACTGAAAATTTTTTTGAAAAATTTATAAAAATTACAAAAAAAAAAAAAAAATAGAAATGGAAAAAAATCAGAATATAGCTGCAAAATTTATTTGGATTGAACTTAAATTTCAAAATGCGAAATAAGGAATCAAGTAAGTTTAATAAAAAAAAGAGGTATTAATAAATATACACCAAATTCAAACGATACTGAGGAGCTAGAATTTTGAGAGATAATTTTTTAAAAACTGCCCATGTGATTTTTACAAAACTTGGCATTTTGGCATAATGCAAGTCTTAGAATTGAAATATGAAAAAAAATCGGCATGTCATTTCAGAAAATATGCGATTTTTGTCAGAATACTTATGTTAGAACAGTGCTACACAAAAATCTTATGTATCCTAAGTAGAGCTTTTGAGACATGACAAAAGCAAGTTAAATTTCATCTATCGGCCCAGTAGAAGGGAAGATATAGAGCTGTCTCTTTTTTTCTTTCTTTCTTCTTCCTTTTTTTTTTTTTTTTTGTGTGTGTGTGTGTGTGTGTGCAAAGTGTGTATATATATATGTTATGGTTAATGTGATTAACAAGTTATTATTAATACCTGATTATTATTAATAATCTCTGCATATAATAAAAGAAAGAGTCTGTGTGTCTCGTTCGTGCTGCACGTAAGCAGAGTCGTAGAGCCAGGGCTACGAAATTTGGTATATAGGCACATCTAGACAAGAGCCAGTGTACCTCGAAGTGATTTTTTCAAAATTCAAATCAGATTTTTTCAAAATTCGAATCAGATTTTTTTAATTTTATCGCATCATTCTAAATAGTTTCATTCCTTTACAAATGTGGTTTTGGCAACAGTTTTTCATTCAGACTGCTGACTGTTGAAAATAGGAGATAAAATGCTGCCTTTTTTTCTTTTGATTTTTGGACATGCAACACGCACATTGCATACTTCTTATTCTGACATACATGCGTTTTACAAGACACAACAGAAAGAATTAGTTCCTCTCTCTTTATTAGCTAATGGCAAAGAGGTTTGCATATTTTGAATTATGTTATTCACAAAGCACAATTTTGATTGGTTATTGCTTTCTCATGACAGTTTGATTTTTTAGAAATTTGGTTTTGGCAACAGTTTTTCATTCATTGCTTTTGATACTGGACTGCTGACTGTTTTCTCTAGAAAATATGAGATTTATTGCTTATTTCATTGTAATTTTTTATATTATATTTTAATTATATATAATTTTAATTATATAAAAAGTTTTGCGTGGTTTTTTTAGGAAACAAAGTTTTTAGCTTCCTTTATAGTATTTGAATTCTGAAGATTTTGCAACGGGAAGTTGGTTAATTTATTTATTTATTCGGATAATTAATATTTGTATCAAGGGTAATTGCTTATTTCATTGTAATTTTGTTATATGTAATACATTTAATTTTAATTTGTGGATTTTTTTTAATGAAGTTGCCCTGCAGTGTAAAATTCTGCACAGTTTTTAAGTTTAACGTTTGGTGTTCCCTTTAGGCATTTTTCCTGTACATTTAAAAGCTAGATGAAGGCTGGCTGCATAGCTGCTAGTAACTAAATAAACAAGTGAATACTTTGAGAATTTATCACATAAACGAGCTGCTATTAATAATTTCCAACAATGAATAGTAAATGTAATACTTTTCAACATGCTTAGTCTGAGATTTGCCAGTATTCGTGTGTATGTTTTTATATTAGCTCCTCGTTATTGCACAAATATACGACAGTTGTTGCAAGTGTGAAATAACAATACTAAATAACACTAATAACATAAATTTTTAAATTACAGGTAAGGTATTTATATAATTTTCTACATAACCTATCACAAGTTGTTATTTTAAATCATTTTTTGATAAATTCTGTTAATATTTAAATACTAATATTTTTAATATACTAAATAGATATATTATATATACTAATAATAATATCATTAGTATAATAATAATAACTTTAGTATACAAATGTTTAACATTTATTTACTAAAGTTACAAAATATAGTTTTTATCAAAATTCAGGCTTTAGGTGCCTATACTTGGGTGGAGGACTATGCTATTCAAAACTAGACAGCTCTAGGTACCACAATACAAGAAACATATACATTCATGCAGATTCTTTGTTATTTATTTTCTTTAAATATACTATAGGGCGATAATATTTTTTGTCAAAAATTTGAAAAGTGAAATGGACAGTTACAGTGAACTGATACAAATTGTCATTTTGAGACTAATAGCCCTTCTAATGCCCCTTTGAGTTAAAATTTAAAACATACTTTAAGAAACAATAAAATTGCTATTAGGATTCCTTGACAAGCAGATAAAGTTGACAAAATTCCATTCAAAGCCAAGTGATATTCATTAACCATTTAATTTGTATAGTTTTAATTATTTTACATTTATAGCTTTACAATAACACTTTGAAAACATACAAAAACCAGATGTTAAAAATTCTATAGACAACACAAATAGTCAAATGAATTGTACAACATTCTCAAGACATAATTTTAATAACTTTTTAATTAGAACTCAAATGTTTCCCTACCTAATTTTCATTACCTGAAGCCATGTTGTATTGGGGCTTCCTTGGACAATTTTCAATATCTAAAAGTTGATCTACAATCTAAAACAAAGATAACTATTTTAAGAGAATTATCTATTTCACTTAATAATAAAACAATACTGATATTTAATTAAAAAATGAAATAAGTCCATAAATTAGATATATATGTCAAATATCTTATTTATTAAGCAAGCAGAAAAACAGCAACAATATACTTAATTTTTTTAATTGTATGTTATTACAGCTATTTTTACTTAATTTTACACTAAATATAAAATTTCTGTGCTTCATTTAACACTAATTTTTCTTAAATATATTACTTGACAATCTTCTTTGCCTTGACCAATAAGAAACAACACTGATATAATGCAACGAATCTGATGCCAAAGGAATGCTTGTCCAATCACAGTCAGTTCTATGATATCATATGCCTTCACTTCACTTAAGAAAAAAAAAATTTTAACATAATTATTAGGCTTCATATTATGCACATTATAATTTATTTAGTTATTAATATATATACAAAATATACAAAAATATAATGAAAAGTAAACTAAAATATAAAACTTTAAAACCAACTTTTTCTTACCTACTTGAGAAAGGCTGAATGTCAACACTGAAAATTTTTCGCTTGTAATTAACTACACCATTGCCAACATCCATCTTGCAAAAATTTCGAAAATCATGTTCACCAACAAGTTTTTGTGCAGCTTCCTGCATCCTCTTCACATGCAAATTAAAAATAAATAAATAATTGCTTTATTATATTAATTAAATTTGAACACTAATGCATCAAATTATTACATGCGTTATCTTGACTACAATCATCGATCAATTTTAAATTGATTTTTATTTAATTTTTATGTCCTGACAAACTACGCAGATTATAATTAAAACAATTACACGTTAGGGAACTAAATATAAATTAAGAAATATAAAAAATCAGGTTATTACTAGTAAATACATCAAGACTAATGCATAATGATCAAAAGCATTAATTTTGAATTAATTGTTTTTGCATATGAAAATGGAAAGCAATCTTTTAACCCCCAGATATTTCTAAATCATAGCTTCAGAGCGATTATAAAATTTCATACCAAAAATGCTTTACTTTTTATAAAATGTGAATACAATACTATATAAACCTTAAATAAATACTAAATTACCTAATTTTTTTTTAATTAGATGAAATAAATTCAGGGTATCTTAAAAATAATGCAGGGTTTAAAACTGCATGCTATTGCCCCCCCTTGGGTTGCCGATGTTTTTTGAAGCATATGTTGCAATCATCACATTGCAGTTAGTGGTGAGGTTGTGATACAGAAATACATGATGCAGGAACCCATAATTATTATGAAAATCACAGCTTAAATTGCAGTAAAGCCCAGCTTCAGTACTTCTCAGTTTTATAGGTAAATCTTAATAGCAGAGCCCTTCTTCAGTACTTCTTTTATGTAAATGAACCACAATTTCAGCAGAATATTCTTTGGATTTTAAAAAAATTATTTTAAATCCTTCAAAATTGTTTCCAACTTCTGAATGCACGCCTGTCTTTTTCTCAGAAACAAGCACTTTATGAAAGTTGAAATGGCATTCATGTGTCAAAGGCTTCTTTAGGAAGTGCAATCAATTTAAGAAAGTGGGTAAATTTTTTGTTCCCTGTTAGCAGGGTCATGGTAAGAAAGAGAGTTGGACTCTTCTCTCTTTGTTCCGTTAAAATATCTCATGGTCATGCTCTTTAACTCAAAAATTCTTTATCCCATTCTTTTACCCCAAAATTCTTTACCCTCCCTCTCGTGATCTCTCCTTCCAAATACCCTTTCTCCCAAATCACTTCTAACTACCCCCTAATGAATGGGTCATCCCTCAATATCAACCACTTCCAACTTAGTTTAGAAGATCGTTCTGTTTTCCTGCAGGTTAAGATGTTCCTCTTAACCTGCAGGTTAAGATGTCCTTGAATTTATTTTTTACTTCTCTGTATAAAATATTCTACAATACAGCATAAATAAGAATATTATTACATATTTATATGATTATTACTGAACTCAATAAACACATGCAATATTCTATTCTAAAATTTTAAGTTATTTGACAACTACCTACCTATTTAAAGCATTTTTATGACTTTAAAAAAAAATTAGAACTATATGATGCTTATTTAAGTCATTTATTAACAATTATGCATCATATTATACTGATGTATACTTTTAAAATGTCAAAGATGCAACTTTCTATTGGCGCAAAAATTCATCTGTTCAGTTTTGGATGATTCCCAGTACAGCTTAATACTTTCAGTTTTAAGGCAATGTATTGCTACAGCGGTGTTGATCGCAACTTGCAAATTATGATTTGAATTTATTATATAACCATGTATTTATTATATTGGTTTTTAACAATAGTTTAAAAGGAAAATATTTTTACATGAGCTACTAAGAACATTGCAGTCATGTACTGGTAGCTCCCAATACCATGTTCCAGATATTACTTAACATAGCCTGAACAGACAAAGATTTATTACATTTAGATCAGGAATAAAGAAATAATATGATAATAATGTAGAAGACATATGCAGTTCTGATTTAGAATTTAATTAATATATCACATTTTTTATTGGGTTGCCTACCTTTGAAGAAGCTTAAGTTTTGACTTATTGCACAGCACATAAAAAGTACAAACCTAGCAGAAGAGTTGTCTTTATAGAGGCTGTTTACCAGAGTGGGATTTATCTTCACGTTATGCATATGAAAATTCCGAAAATTTTTGCTTAAGAAGTTATTTTTCATGAAAATATGCAAATTTTTCCAAAGCAATAATTTTTAAGATATTACTGCTTTAACCCTTTGAATTTAAAAAAAAAAAAAAAATACCCTGTTTTCTATCCAAGTGTACAAAGTTTGTCATAAATAAAATTAATTTAGCATTTCCCCCCCCTCCCTCTATACTCATTTGTGTACAACAAGCACTACGGAGTCTTGACTTTCCAACTATTGAAAGATGACCCCCAACATTTAGGAGACACTAAGTACTTTGTAACCCAGCAGTAATTTTTAAACTTTTAGTGGGACATATATGTCTTATTGGTAGTCAAAGGGTTAAACTCAGGCAGATGAAAAGATTTTTTAGTGTCCTGATTCATTATTAAGAGTTTTAATCAAAATCATAGTATTCATCTAGTGAAAAACAATTTTTTTCCCATGAGTTACTAAATTATGCTGTTTAAAAAATATTACACTGCACTAACTAAATGGTTCATTTTCCTTAACCTCAATAAGTATATAAAATAACCATTACCAAACTCTGCACTATACATGTTCGACATTAAAAAGAGAGAAGATGCAAAAGGAAAATGAATAATGCCTTATTATTGTATTAAAGTAAGCACTGTTTTATGTATGTGGAAAGTTTAATTTATGAAAATGATGATGCTATCACATTTATTTAACTAAAGTAGTAGATACTTTCTTACCAATGCTTATGATTTAAAATTGCGTACAATATATAAATAAGTCAATAGCTAAATTTAAATTAAAAATACATTAAAAAAGAAAAGAAGCAACAGCAGATACTTTAGTAATCACAAATTAAAATTCTTTCAAAAAATAATTTATTAATAATTGTAAATATCCTTATAAGTTAGTGACATGAAAACAGAGGTAAGAATTAAGAGATTTAAGAAATAAGGAATGAGACAGAGACAAAAAAATCTTATTTCTCTCTCCCATCTGGCACATGAAGCTGAGCCTAGGAGGACAGTAACAAAAAGGGGAAAAAAATTGTGCGAGACATCATTTTGGATAAAAGAGATTTTGGATGAAAGATGATTCGGACCAAATTTCTTTTCATACTCTGGCTCTGTTTCTAGCATTCCCTGTATTTTCATTAGTAGCACTTTAATTGTTTTACCTTTTTTCATTGGTATGCTGAAAAATAATGGTCTTTTTTTTTTAATCATCCTTTGAAATAGCATATTATTTGTTCATTCAGAGCCTAAACTTTGCTAATGCTGACTAATGCTTTCACAGTTGTAAATAAAATTAGTTCTGGAATTTTATTTTATTAACCATTCATCATTAATTTAAATATTAATTAAATTTTTACTTGTCTTACATTTTTATTGAATTTTAATTGAATTATTTAACATTTAAATTACTAATTATTTTATTTAAATTATTTAATATTTTAATCCCTAATGAATTATTAGCCCCAGGACTTTGACCCTGATGGACTAATGTTTTCATTTTGCGATTTTGAGTCAAATCACTTGAATGTCTGTTTTACTTTTCAAACTGTTGCCACCAAATATTATCGCCCTGTATCATATTTGAAGAAGTTAAGTAATGAAGAATCTGCATAAATATATCTATGTTTCTCACATTGGGATAAAACAACAGTACCTACAGCCATCCAATTTTGAATCACGAACTGCGAATATGGGCGCCTGGAAGCCGAAATTTAAAATTTATTTTATTATTGATTTCATATTTTGCAAAACTTTAACAAATTTCTATTAACAAATCAAGGATTTCAAAGCAAGCAATGGTAACATTGCACAGAAAAAAACATTTTTATCTCCAGCGCACGAGACTGTGTTTCGGAAATTCAATTCTAAAGATATGCTCAATTTAAAATTATTTTGCGATATTGCTCTTGAACTGAATTTTATGGTTTAAGTGTGAAGAACATGATACTTAATAAATAAAGATAACACACAAATTTCTGAAAAAACACAGATTTCTAAAGAAACACCCTTTTGGATGTAATTTAAAATCTGAAACCTTTCAGATTTTCTTTTTTTATATTTTTAATTTATGTATTAATTTAATTGTTAATAATTTTATTATTTTTATAATTATTTTATTTTTTTCTCCTTTCCTGATGGCCTTCCCCATAGGGTTCCACCATTTCTAATCCTAGAAATGAATTGAAAATGCATTACACATTACAATAACTGTCAATGGCATACATTATAACAACACTTTTGTGGCCTTAGCTTCAAGGCTGATGTTGATCAAATGTTCTTCCAGCAGAATGGCTACAAATCATGCAATGTGCAAAACCACTAAGCACTTATAGCAGAAATTTCATAGGTGACTGATTTTGAGCAAAAGTGATCACAATCTTACATGATGGGACTTTTATCTCTGAGGATATATAATGTCCAAGGTTTAAAACAAATGCATACTAACCACTTCTGGACTTAAAAGAAATCTATATGTTAAGATTGTACAAGTATCATACAAGACATGCAGAAAATTTAGCAGATACTGTTCCCATACTTAATTGGAGCATTTGCTCTTTCAAAATATGTCACAACTTTGCCGTTTCATGCATAAATAAAGGTTAATTTTTTAAAGTTAAATCCTGCATTACTTTTGGATCAGCCTATATATTAAATATACGAAGCTGCAATATTTTGAGGAAAGTAAAATTTTCAGCAAGTGAAAAACAAACTGATTTTGTCTTCACCTACATATTAGTTAAAATTTGTCTGTCACATACTTTCATCTGAAGAACATAACATTTGATTAATTTCTTAATTTTTTTTTAATATTCATGTATATCTCCATTTTTTTCCCTGCAAGTAGTAGATACTTTGCCATTTATTTCATATAATACATTCGTAAACAACCAATAATGCAACATATCCTATTTATAAAACCATTAACATCCTCACTATTACAGCCCCTACTTAGGTTACCTACTACTAGGTAAAAATGCACTTACCAATCATAACAATTCCTAATCGCATCCTGATCTCCTTTTCTGATATTTTGAATTAATCTAAGCTCAGTAATTTTTATTGCAAATACTCTGAAATATATAAAGAAATTCAACAATGATCCATTCTTTTAGATTCAAATAGTATTCGCATCAATAGTTTTTCTTTATTTTTAATCAGCTTCTATCACAACCTCCCTCCCCTCCCCCAAAAAAAAATTTTTTTTAACTCTCTCTCATGTGTAAATGGCTATTTTGAAGAGGATTAAATACCGTTTGAAAATTATGATACAGATCCATTATTTTCAGTGACCGAATAGTTAAGACTGCCGAATATTGGTAGTTTGACCTGGTTCAAGTCCAGGTGAATGAGCTGGTTTCATGATTGATTTTCATGGGTTTTCCCATGTGTAATGCGAATATGAGCCAGTTTCTCTTAGAAAGTCTTCCACAAAGGAATTCCTTCCCTTAGGCAGATAGCCCTCGAGTGCTTTGCTGTACTCAAAGGAGCTAATTATTATTTTCAGCTTAAGAAATAAATCAGATCATATAGACATTCAAACTATTACAATTTCGGTCATATAATGCATTTTAATAAAAGTATACAGAATTTAAGTTCTTACATAGGCTTTCTTTAGAATAAATTATAAACTGTTATATCTCACTATAGATTTTGCAGGGAGAGGCCACAATGTGCAAAACTGGAGTTAAAATTTATATGATTTAAACCCATTTCACCTAGGAAAAAGAACTTGTATGAAATAGTCGCATGAAAATGTAAAGTTGTTTGAAAATGAATTATAATAAAAAGAAAATTATTAATGTTAGTATTTCTAGAAGTGGTCATTTGAAACTAGTATTCCTAAACTATTCTTTTTCTAATGGAAGAAATACTTTTTAGAAACCTGCATTTGAACATCTAATATTTTTACACTTTTAGCAGGATCTGCAGATATACCCAAAAATTTCAAATAATACAGTATAAAGTCCGTTATCCGGAATGATCTATAATCCGTACCTCAAAGCCACAAACTTTTTTTTATGCTTTACGCATGCATGTAATGCGTTTACGAATGCGCGTTTAATGTATAACGGATAGTATAAGCTAGACTAAAATTATCTTTACTGATTCTAAGGCATTTCAGTTAATGATGCAAATTGCGCTGTTCCTTAATCTTCTAATTGGATCCGGCTTATTATTTTTTGTAGACTGTTAGAGCAATTTTATAAAAATAAAGCCTGAACTTTAGATTATGTCAAAAAGAGTTTCCAGTTCTGGAGCTTTCATATTTCATGGTGAGGACGATGAAGATGATAGATGTGAATTTGAAGGTTTTCGGACATTGCAAACTAAAGGTGAAATTTTCCAGTTATTGGATTTTGTAAAGAAATGTGGAGAAGCGGTAATAAATGAAGATGATATAACAGAAGTTTTTCATTGCGACGACAATGCCCCAATCCTCAATCAATTAACGGACGGCAAAATCTGTAGTATGGTTCTAGATCCAGGAAATACCACTTCCGATAGTGAAGAAAGTGACAGAGGTTATTGAAAACAAAAAAAATTTTGATTGACAAGCTAGTCGGTATTCTTGACACAGCAATTACAGGACTTGAACAGTGAAACTTTGTAACTGAACAAGAAATTATGTCTGTTTATAGAATTAAACAGAAAGTATTAGCACAAAAAATGAAGTAACTTAAACAAAACTTAAAGTTTTTTACAACAAACAAAACTTAAAGTTCTTAAAGTTTTGAGAACTGAAAACTTTCTATCCTAAACCCAAACCTTCTCTTGGTGTGTGTGTGTGTGTGTGTGTGTGTAAGACTTGGAGAAAAAAATGTTTATAAAGTAAACAAATAAATATTAAGCTGCTTTTTTTTTTTTTTTTTTTTTTTTGTGTGTGTGTGTGTGTGTGTGTGTGTGTGTGTGTGTAAATTTTTATACCATTTAGATCATAATTGCTCTTTATTTCATAAATTACGGTTTCATATTTTTAATTGTATAATTTCTGCATGCCATCTTATCAGATTTAAATAAATGATCTATAATCCAGGAAAACCCCTAATCCGGAATCGCAAAAGTCCCGATGAGTCCGGATTACGGACTTTGTATTGTACTTTGGGCAATAACGTTTTACTGATTTGACAACCAAAATCATTTTTCTTATAATTTTTTTTTTTTTTTCCCTGTGCAGCCAAAATAAAAGTTTACATTCATATACTTCTACTGAAAGATCATTGTCTTAAAATCTACCTTACTTGATTTAATTTCATAAACTAGAAAGAAGGGTCTTTAAGAAATACTTATTTGCACAATCTTTTTGAAATGCTTGTATTGTCTCTCTCTCAATATATATAAATCTTACATATATATACATATGTATATAAAAGATACAAAATATGTAAATCAAAATAATAATTTAAATTAGCAATTGTCCTCAATTCCTCTCATCTCTATTTGAAAATACATTATAACTTTTCTGAACTGCATCATTTCTAGATCAATCCATCTCATCTTATGTAACACTAATGGCATAGCTAATTTGGAACTTAAAAGTTTTGAGAAATGAAAACTTTCTAGCTTAAAAACAAATCTTCTCTTGGTGTGTGTGTGTATGTGAGTTGGAGAAAGCAGCAACAGATTGGCATTGGTTCTCTGTGTTATATTTATGTACACACACATATTTATATTTTTTCATATAAATAAAAAAGAACTTTCAAAATAAAATATAACCTTTTGGTTTTTTTAGACAGTTATTTTGGGGAATATTAAATATATTTAAAAGTTGTAAAGAAATGTGAAACATGTCTTTCAGAGTAAATTAAGATGTTGAAGTCATAAAATATAATGAAACCTCTCGATGACCACCCAAGGTTCTAAATCATTCGGGGCCTTCATGAAGATGTAGCATTAGGTGTATGGTGTATTTAATTATGGCAAAGCACACTAGGGCTATCTGCCTAAGGGAAGGAATGCCTTTGTGGAGGACTTTCTAAGGCAAACTGTCTCGTTTACACGTTACACATAGGGAAAACCATGAAAACACCCATGCAGCCAGCCCGTTCACGGGATTCGAACCTCAGACCGAACTATTAGTGTTCAGCGACTTTACCACTCGGCCGCTGGCGGGCAGGTAGCATTAGGAAGGCGACGTTCAATATAGAAGCTTATTTTTGCTCTTAGTCACTTTCAGAAGTCAATTATTCCCTTTAGAAGTTTAGACACTAATCATTTTCAGAAATGGTCACAATAAAAAATTTTCTTACACTTTATCAAATAATAATAGAGGGAAATAACACTTACAAAAATATCAAGATCTCCCAAAGGGAACCAATACTTGTATGTCCTTTGTTTACAGTCAAATCTAGAACAACACAAGTTATTTAGAGAAATCAAGCGAAAATAAATAATTTCACAAAACATTAAATTTTATGTAAAAGTACCTAGGAAATGTTCAATTTAATCATTTAAAATGTGCTATCTACAACATTCAATGAATTAATGTTAAAGAAATGTAGTGATAAACTAAGTTACTCATCAATGACTTAATATTAATAGATATTAAATAACTAAAAATTTGACTGAAAGTTAAAAGTTACTCATTCATCTTGTTAACTCAGAATGCAGATCTTTAAAACTGATATTTGTAACTATGGTATTAGACTCCAATTTTAATTCACAATTTAAATCGCAATGATTTATAACATTATTAAAGAAAAAATCAAATTCCTACCGATATTTACAAGTGAAATATTATGTGTGCATTCATCACTCAATCCTACCAACAACAGTTAATGTACAATTTGATATCTTACATGAAAGTAGACAATTGCATTCAGATACAAAGTCATGAAGCATCTAAAATTTCAGCCCTGTTTCTGAGGAAATGTTTGAAAAATTAGAAGTATTCAGACATTAATACATTTTTAGCTGCTACGGGCTTGTCTCATTTGCCTGATTATAACATCGAAACAAGTCCACGAATTTTATCGTGCTTGGAATGCAGGACTGCATCTGTTATTAACATGGGATTTGGGTATCTTATAGGTGACAGTATTATGATATTAACATGGGATATTGGTATCTTATAGGTGACAGTATATTATGGTGACAGCTCTGCCCCGTTTTGAAGGAGGACTTTCAGCTCTCCAATATTCAAAGTGCACCCTATGTTATGTAGACACCACTCCAAGCCTGCTCTGGACAAATATCCAAGGTTATAAAGGACATGGAGGACATGACAGAATATTGAAAAAACTTTCAACCAAATATAAAAAATTACACATAATGATATTGAAGTGTACATCCATCTTTGTGAGCCTTGCCAAAAAAAAAAGGTATTAAAAAGAACGTTGTTGTGCCCCACTTTTCCTGCTATCATTCGCACTGTCACACAATGATCCTGGGACAAAAGTTCCTTTCTTTAAGTTGTCTGGAATGCATGCTGTTGCAGGCCGACCACTTTGGGAGGAGGGGTCTTTAATAATGCCATGCCCTTCTCAAGAAGTGTTTAAACAACTCATACATGCACTTCAGGGTAACAGCATGTTCTTCATAAACTGTTATCAGTATTTCAGGAGCCTCTCGCTGATTTTCCAAGTTTAACAGAACAGCATATTTGTTCACTAATCATTTTGAGTTTTGAATGCATGCACATTACCTTCATTCTACAGTGAACTGTTTCCACACGATAAACACACTTGCCCGCTTGGAAATTGGTTCAGATTTCTCGAACTATCAAACGCCTGCATACTCTTAAGACTGTGAGTGCTATGATGTCATTTACCAAAATTTTTGGACAGAAGTTGTATATAATAATTCTCATATTTCATGCTTTGCCAAAAAAATGCCTAGGTATTCTATAGAATGCTGGTATTTAATATTTTGCGATAATATATACATAAATAAAAATATATAAACTGCTTCAAAAAAATGAAATTTCCACTCAGCAATGAACAAAAGAGAAATTAACAAAATTTTATGTTTTTATTTGTTATGATTTTTATTAAATACAATGTGAAAATGAAACAAGAAAAAAATATGTAATATGAGCAGCAATTTTTAAGTTTTGCAAATATGTCATTATCATTGTTATTAAGAAATTCATTAAATCCTTACAAGAAATGTCAATGGTTGAAAATTCACGCCATTTATAAACTTAATAAATATTTAATGGTATCCTCCAAAGAAAAATTAATTCTGAAAACACAACACCTCAACACATTATTTATATGTTTTCTTTGGAAGAAACATTAAATAATAGGTCTTAACTTTTTTTTCTAATTTACTAATTTTCCCCCATAGCTATTAGTGAAGAAAAATCTGAAGTTACCATTTTAAAATGCAATGTTTTAGATATATTGAAATTAAATACCTTTACATCACATAAGAACACAGTCTTCAATGAATCAAACTGATGAAATAGATCAACATGCAACAGAAAAAATACAAATATTCATGACCACTCAACATTTTTTAGAATCACCTGGCACTAAATGTTGTATCTACAGGAGCCCATCCAATAACTCTTATTTCAGGAGGAAGAACACGGTTCAGAACCGATGGATACTCAATCTCTTTATCTGAAACTAAAATAAACATAACTGTTTAATGACTGCTAATGGAAACAATTACATGTGGAATTCAAAATCAGTTTCTGAGCTTTTTTAATAGAAAAGACATTATTTTAAATTAAAAATTTAAATGTTCTTGCAAATATTTTTTATTTAACTTAAGTTTATATTCTAATAAAAAAAGTTATACGATACCTTTACGTCCAACTTTCAAAAAGTCATCTGGAGTTATCACGCCTTTGCCTTCATTTAAATTTGTACGAAGATCTAAAGAGACAACCTAAGATGAAAATGTAAAACAATTAGAGAAGTGTATGTACAATAACTCTAAAATAAATTATTTAATTCTAAATTTCTTCTATGAATTTGTATATGCTTGAACATATACAATGAAATTAATTCTTGATAGAAAAAAATACAACTTTTATGTCTAATAAAACAGATAAGAAGATAGAAACTGACTGTGCTAGAAAAATTAAATCAAATACATGAACAAGAAGCTTTAGCTGAACATTTTATATATTATCTAAATATTTAAGCTATTAAGACTATTAAAATGATTAAACAAACCTGACAAAATGCAGATACACCTTTGTCTGTGCGCCCACAACGGTTATAATTTGAAGTTTCTCTTGATTCTAAAAGTTTTGTTTTTTCTAATGCATTAAATAGCTGAGCTTCAATAGTTTTCTCAGTATGGATTTGAACAGTAAATCCAGAATAATCCCAACCAAGATACAGGAATTTTAAGGCTACATGTCTTTTTTTGTATCTAAAAAAAAAAAAAAAAAAAAGAAGCATACACTAAATAACAATGACGCATTAAAAAGCGTACGTTTTAAAAGGCACTATTCAGTTTTGAGGGCCGTAAAAAATCACCAAACTATTGCTGATGCCAGTGCTGCCAAAAATAACTGTGGCAACCCTAACACAAGAAAGGGAGTATAATAGTAAATAACTATCTAAGATTGATGTTTTAATTAAATGAAAAGTTAATTTCATATAATACTTTTTTATTATTTTAATTTATATAAAAAAAGCTAAACATGACTGAATGGAACCATAAGAGTAAATAACTATTTCAGATCATTATTATAATTTATATAAAAAATGATAAACATAACTGAATGGATGCCTGCATTGATATTTCACTAATGAGTTATCGCTAAAGCATACTTTCATTTCGTTGGTTGTTCAAACATAATTTTCTATAATGAATGATGCCTTTTCTTTGAAAAAAATATCAGTAAAGTGCAGAACCACCAATTATTTGTTTTCTGCTTTTTACAAAGGTAAAAACAATTGGATTTTTGTCAATTTTCTTTTACTTTATAAGCGAAAATAGGTCGATGTGTACATATATAAAGTCAAGGGTGTGCGCAGTGCCATTTTTGTGCAATTCTGGGGTTTTTTTAAGGTGAAAATAGGTTGATGTGCACATGGATACTGAGTATGTGCAATTCTTAAAAACGTGTCAAGCAGTGGTCGATTCTGCACTTTACCCAAAATTCTACTGCAGACTTTTCGTCATGGGCAATTCCCAAATTGTTAAATCTATAGGATATCAAAAAAGGATATAAAAATTAAACTAGTATTTCAATGGCATCTTAAGAAATATAGAACTATATAAACTTATGCAATCTGAAATCAGCACGTAGGCTAGATTTGGTGTGCTCTTAAATAGGCAGGTTTGCTAGATTTGGCGCTTTCGCGCATACATTTACGCTGCAATTTTTTTACGATCCTCAAAACGAAATAGTACCTTTTAAAATATATGCAGAGTTCAAATACATTTAAAATATTTTTTAAAGTATTACGGCAGTCAATTATTTAGTTTCAAAGAAACACAAATTTGTTTTAAATAATAGATTTTAATGACAGCATAAAATAGAGAATAAAAATAAACTCTTTTTAAAACTAATTAGTACTGTCTGATTATCCATACCCCTACCAAAAAGCCACGATTTCATTGTCAACTTTGAAAAACATTTGGGAACTCATTTGTGGTGAAATTTTCACCAAACGCAAAAGCCGTTTCCAAAATGCCCAAAAGGGCTATTAATTTCGTTTTGGCATTTTGAGTTGATTCACTATAAATGTCGGTTCACTTTTCAAATTGTTGCCACCAAATATTATATTTAAAGAAATTAAATAATGAATAATTTGCATAAATGTATGTTTCTCGCTTTGTGATAAAATAACGGTACCTAGAGCAGTCAAATTTTGAATAACGTAATCTTTCACTGAACATTAGCATCTGTTAGCCAGAATTTGAAATTTGTTTTATCACCAATTTCATAATTTGTAACACTTTAACGAATTTTTGATTAACAACCTCAACGATTTCAAAGCAAGCGATGACAACACTGTAGGCAAAAAAACATTTGCCTGATCTTCAGAATATGGTAACTGGTAGTTTGGCGACATTTTGGAGGCGATAAAGGTTACTACCTGGGACTTTGGTAATAATGTGAGCAGTACTCAGTTCCAATTACGCATTATTTTGTGTGAGGGAAATGAGAGATCATGGGATATGTCATGTGATATTAATGGACGAATTATGGTTCTTTAATCGGAAAAGGGGGGAAATCGGGAAAAAATCTGGAAATTTTGTATTGCGTTTAGCATTTTGTATTTAGCTTCATAGTGTGTTGTGTGAAACAGTGTTCGATTAATTTTTGGATCCCATGGCCCTAACTAAAGTTAATTTGAAATGGGTATTTAGTGGGATTGAAAGGGGTAGTAATAAGTCTTTAAGGTTGTGCGAGATAGAAGTAAAGATGTTTTATTAAGTTATTTATTTTACCTGGTACCTTGGTGTGAACTATAAGTATGATTTTAAAGATCCTGAAACAGAAATAAGAAAAGTTTATCGGACACGTAATCAAGATTCTGAAGAAGAATAGGTAAGTTAGTATTTTTAATTATTTGAGGATATTATTTTTATGCATTGTTCTAAATGTAAGGTGGAAGTAAAGTAATTTGCGTAAACTTGCATGGAAATAATTTAAATATTTGACACTTAATATTTGACACTTAAATATTTGACACTTAAATATTTGAATTTAAGTATTTGTAATGTTTGCGGTATGAATTAGTTAGTGACGTTTGTAATATAATAGATAATGTAGAGGTAAAAGTTTTTAGATATTTTATTTATTTTATACGGGGAAATGTTCATATTTGGAAAGGGTATATACTTTTCGTGATCAGGTAATTTCATATATGTTCTTTTTACCGGGTTTAAAGATTCAGAAAATTGTTATGCATTTTCGTGAAATTTTCTAATTTATGAGAAAAAAGCAGTGTACATGGATATAGTGAAGAGTGTGCGCAATGCCACTTTTGTGCAATTCTGGGATGTTTTTTTAAGTAAAAATAAGTCGACGTGTACATGGTTTAGTGATATTTTAATTAAATGATAGTTATTTTGTGAATTTTATGTTTGTAGGAATTTGGTATACGTTTAAGTTGAAGTAAACATGCATGGAAATAATTTAAATATTTGACACTAAGTATTTGTAATGCTTGCGGTATGAATTCGTTGGTAACGTGTATAATATAATAGATGATTTAGAGGTAAAAGTTTTTGGATATTTTATTTATTTTATATGTGGAAATGTTCATATTTGGAAAGGGTATAAACTTTTTCGTGATCAGGTAATTTCATATATGTTCTTTTTACCGGGTTTAAAGATTCAAAAATTGTCATGTATTTTCGTGAAATTTTTCTAATTTATGAGAAAAAAGCAGTGTACATGGATATAGTGAAGAGTGTGCGCAATGCCATTTTTGTGTAATTCTGGGATTTTTTTTAAGTAAAAATAAGTCGGCGTGTACATGGTTTATGTGTATGTGTTATTTTGAAAAACCCATAAGGAGTATGGTATTGTGCACTTTTTCCAATTTTTGCAGTGAATATTTGTCATGATTAAGCAGTTTTGTGAGATAAAATTTCTAGCATAAGTGTAATTCGGCTAGTAGATTGTTGGAAGAAGTGTTCAGTAGATAAAAAGAAAAGAAACATGTCTTTACTTCGTGAAGACAAAATGGCGGCGGGAAAAAAAAAAAATAGATGGTTGCTGTAGGAAAGTTGGTCGCCAAATTTTCGCCAAAAAACGCCAAGTTACCATAATGTAAAGATCAACCAAACATTTTTATCTCCAGCACGCAAGACTGTGCATCGGAAATTCTAAAGCTATGCTCATTTTGGAATTATTTTGCAATATTGCTTTTGAATTGAATTTTATGGTTTAAGTGAAAAGAACATGATACTTAATAAATAAAGATAGCACACAATGTCCCTTTGGGCATAATACACAGCAATCAGTTTTTGTTTACAGCCAAAACACACACATCTTATTTGTTGCATAAATAAGTTTCAGTGATGCCATGGATTGCCACATAACTATTTTAGTGATGTATTGCTTTGTATTGTGAATGCTTTAATGTGGCTTTTTTGATGGTGGTGTGGATAATCAGAAAGTACCCACTAATCTCTCTTTTATGCTAGTATTCTTAAGCAGTATACCATATTTTTACGTCTCTTATTTAGCTTCAAAAAAGCAGCCCCACTTTTATCTCATGACATATTTTAAGTTTTCAAATATTGCTTTAAAACAGCTGCACAATTTTTTTTTTAAGATTTACTTAATTTTAGGTATTTTCTAATTATTTACATGGCCACACAAAAATGTATTTATGAAACAAAACAGTATAAATGTCTATTTGACCAGCATATGTCTGCTTTGACCAGTGCACAATGCCAAAGTTGTTTGAATACTGAGTTTGTGCAATTTACTGATATTTTTTTTTTTTTTTTTTTTTTTTTTTTTTAAAAAAAGCAGATGAGCACTGTAGACATAGGGAGAACAAAAATGTAAAAAAGAAAAAAAAATAATAATAACTCTTTTATTAGCCCAAACGGGCAATTTGCTCAGAAGGGCTATTAATTTTGTTTTTGTGTTTTGTGTTGGTTCACATTTCAAATTGTTGCCAACAAATATTACAGCCCTGCAATATACACAGTCCAGTCACATTAATGTGACCATCTGTCAAAAGCCAGAATAACCACCTTTCGCAGAGCGGACTGCTGCGAGACGTGCAGGAAGAGAGTCACATAGGTCCCTGAAGGTGTTCTCTGGGATGTTGAGCCATGCCGACTCTAATGCCGTGGCCAGCTGCGCTAGATTACGCGGTTGAGGATCCATGGCGCGAACAACTCGATCGAGATGGTCCCACAGACGCTCGATTGGGTTTAAGTCAGGTGAGTTTGCTGGCCAGGGGAGGACGGTAAACTCATCCTGGTGCTCTTCGAACCACGCACGTACACTGGCAGCTGTATGGCACCTCGCATTGTCCTGCTGGAAGATGCCATCATCCTGAGGAAAAACAATACGCATGTAGGGGTGAACATGGTCCGCAAGGACAGATGCGTACTTGTATTGATGCATTGTGCCTTCCACAATGATCAGTGAACCTAGAGAATGCCAGGAAAACATTCCCCAGACCATAATGCTCCCGCCTCCAGCTTGGACCGTTCCGGCAATGGTTGCAGGGTAGTTCCTTTCAGAGGTTTCACGCCTTATACGCCAACGTCCATCTGTCCGATGGAGCATAAAACGCGATTCATCCGAAAACGCAACCTGTCGCCACTCAGTGGACGTCCAGCTGGCGTGCAAATTCTAGCCTTCGCCGTCGATGAACAGCAGTCAGCATAGGTGCACGAACCAGGCGTCTGCTTCGGAGGCCCAGACGCAGCAATGTTCGCTGAATAGTACTTTGGGAGACACTTTTGGTAGGCCCTTGGTTCATTTTGGTGGTCAGTTGCTCAACGGTAGCCCGTCTATCTGCCCGAACGCATCTCCGCAACCGTCGTTCGCCTCTGTCATCTATGGCCCGTGGTGCACCACATTTGCCACGTCGCTGATTTTGGACAGTCCCATTTTGCCATGCACGGTACACTACACTTTTACCACGGCGGCACGCGAACAGTTCACAAACTCAGCCGTTTCGGAAATGCTTCCACCCTTGGCCCAAAAGCCAATGATGATGCCCTTTTGGAAGTCGGATAAATCGCTTCGTTTCTGCATTACGCCAACGATTGAAATGTTTTCCGAAGCCCTCACACACCCTTTATATACGCTCAACTGCACTGTGCTGCCACCTGCCTTCTGTGATTGGTTATTTAACTCTGACATGGAAAGTACGTGGTGGTCACATTAATGTGACCGAACTGTGTATTTAAAGAAATTAAATAATGAAGAATCTGCATGAATGTATGTATGTTTCTCACACTGTGAAAAAACAATACCTACGAACATCGAATTTTGAATAAGGTATTCCATTCGAATATGGTTATCTGGAAGACCAAATTTGGAATTTGTTTTATTATATATTTCATATTTTGTCAAACATTAAAGAATTTTTTATTAGCAAATTCAATGATTTTAAAATGAGCAATGGCAACAAAGTACGGAAAAAAAAATTTATCTCCGCCACTCGAAACTGTGTATCGGAAATTCTAAAAATATGCTCTTTTAAATATTTTGTGATATTCCTGTTGAATTGAACTTTATAGTTTAAGCGTGAAGAACATGATATTTAACAAGAAACATACAAAACGTTAAAAAAACGCCCCTTTGTGCATAATATAAAATCTGAAAGCTTTCAGTTTTTTATGGATTTTTCTTGCTGTTTTAATTTTACTGATCGATTGCTCTCGTATGGAATTTTTACAGTGCCACCATTTTGAAAATGGATGTTGTCTTTCATGCATCAGCTTGTCAAAAATTTAGTCCCCAACGAGTTTGAATTTTAAATGGGAATGCCGATGATCAGAAAGTACCTAATTTTATAATGTTCATAACATGAGAACTCATTCACAGCATAAAATTTTTTTTAAAGAACTATAAATTATTTTCAATATAAATAAATGAATTTCTAAAGAACTTACCCTAGCCACATATTTTAAAGTAATATTAAAAATTTTTACCCTTTTACTCTTTTAAAAGTTATTCAAATTTAAATACATACATTAAATATAGTTTTATATGCTACTTATTACAGTTTAAACTGCAGTTCCGCATTATGTTTGTTTTAAAATTTTAATTCCTTAAATATTTACAATTTTGCTTTGTTGTTACTACTAAATAAATATAATTACATCTTGTCTTTATTATGACTATATATAATAGCACTAAAAACAAAACTTCCTAAAAAGTAGAGATGCATATTATTTATACAACTTCTACATTCATCCTGCTTTATATAAATAAAACACAATCAGAAAAATTATGTTTTTATAACATATTATACTTACTTTTTAAAATCAAAAGGTGTTGCAAATTTTTTTCTGATATCTTTATTTTTCTTCGGCAGTTCTTTATCTTGCAAGTGTTTAATTATTTTAATTAACTCCTAATTAAACAAAAAGGGAAATAAAGAAATTATAAAAATCCCTTGCATTCAAAAGTTATTCTTTTATTTATAGAATTAATCTTGATTAATTTGTGGAATAAACATGAATTAGTTTTCTATAAAATGTTAAAAAATATAAATACTTTTGCATTACAAAAATCACAACAAAAAAGTTATAGTCCAATTTAAGAAAAAAAAAAAAAAAAACTGATTTAAAAATTAATAACACACAATTTTCTCTCTTAAATTAAGGTTAAAAGTGTTAAGTACATGCATAACAAGTAAAGAAACGTATGCAAAAATTAATTTTTAAATAAAAAAAATTCTGAATTTTGTGTGAAATTTATTTAGCCCTTATTCAGATTACCAGCTATTTTCCAACCATATGTTAAAATTATTTTAATAAAAAACAAGATACTATATATAAATAACTGAGAACTTCAAGAACCTTATTAATAAAAAAAAGAAGAAACATTTTATAAAAATTTAATTGAATATTGATTTAAAATTCCTACTGTAAGCGACGAGTATTTTTCTTTTAGAATCCCATAAATGTATACTAACCTCCTTGGAAAGAGCCTCAAGATTGGCTGGAACATCAAAATTATCTGAAATTTCCATGCTCATACTTTAAAAAGTATTTCTTTAATAAGTCAAGCCTGAAACAGTAATAAATTTAAAGCATGAACTATGCAATATGAAAAACAGTTTTCAAAAAAGTTTACATACATTTCAAATTTAAACTTAGTTATATGCTCACAAAGCAATTTTAAATTATATAAATTATACATTTGAAAATGTTTCGATATAGAAAATTTAAATAGCATGCTTGCAATAAATTTAAAACAAAAACACTTAACATAAAAATATTGGAAAATATTTTAATCTCCAATTTATGATATAAAGTAACTTCAGATAAGAACTTCCTAAAAATGATATACATCTATTTATTCTGAATACACAAACAGCTTAGGTTCAACAGACAGTCATATTCTGGTTGTGCCAATAGCTAGTTCTTTCCATTGTTAGCATTATTTTTTTTTTATTTATTCAGTTTGCTTAGACCTTATGCTAATTTCACATTTTACTTTGATTTTTATTTTTTATTGGATGTAGATAATATTTTAATTTATACATATTAATTTCATAAGTTTTATGCATTGCAAATAAGGCTGCAATAACTAGTAGTAATATTCTGGAACGACATGAACCTGGGTGCCAAAAGATATAGTGGTGAGAGAGCATTCTGCCTACGTTTTGATGCAAAAGTCTTAAAATGATTTTTGTACTTGTGTTGTACTTGAGCTTCATTCTGTTTCAGCTATATTACCTTCTTTTTTGGAATATACTCTTGATATTATTGCCTATTATGTAAGACTGGAGATATTTAAGTCTTATAAGTTCTTTTTTCATCACTTCAATTTAAATGTTTGTGACAAATGTTAATTTCCATTTGTGTTCTATTTGAGTTAAGCAAACTCTCTAACTTGTTAAATAAAGATTTCATAGTTATTCTAAGTTATGATTCTTTAATAAAATTGTGCTAAATAGAGGATAGTGTACTCAAATGCCTTAACTGTGTTAAATACATGACATATCAGTCTTAAATATGGATAGGTTTAATAAAAGTCTGTGGCATGGATCTGATTTGCAACCAGTTAGAATGATTATACTTTGTATGACTTACATTTGAAGACTAACACTATGACACATTACACAGAAGACTTTTATTAAAATTTTGGATACTCTTCGGTTATCAGGACTAGATTCAGAAATGTATGTACGTATGTATGTATGTGCGTATGTGTGTATACAAATTTACAGCATTTGATTATGACTATTATTATAACCTATTGTGGGTTCCAAATCGGAACAGCTTTAGTACTAGTCCTTTTGGCAATTTGTTGATTTGGCGACAAAATTTTGTCATCAAGGCAGACCCAACTATGAAGATCAGAAAAAAATGGAATGTCAACAAAACCCCTCAAGGATAAATATATCTAGACTATATAGCAAACCTAAAAACGGTTATAGTAGATTGAACGGTGGCCCTTGTATTATCGCAAAGTTGTTTCATTTATCACCAAGTTGTTGTTTCGTTTATGGTAACCTGAGTAGATGAATGTTATGGAAACCCTATTATGACATAATTGGTTGCATGATTGCGGTAAATTTTCACTCATGGGAAAGGATTTGTAAGGGCTTGTAGTGTGTGTTGGAAGTACATTGTTTGCTTTGTGAAGCAAACAATGTACGTACATTGTTTTAGATGGTAGAATGGCTGAATGCAATAAGATTAATTTGAAGTTTCTGTACGATTTGGAATGAAAGGGAAACATTATTCCGTTTAAGGATGATTATTCCGTTTTAAGGACCGTTAAAATCGAGAAACTATTGTAGATGCCAGTGCTGCCAAAAATAATTGTGGCAACCCTAATGCAAGAAAGGAAGCATAACAGTAAATAACTATCTAAGATTATTGTTTTAATTTAGATGAAAGGTTAATTTCATATAATACTTTTTTATTATTATAATTTATATAAAAAAAGGCTAAACATAACTGAATGGAAGTATAAGAGTAAATAACTATTTCAGATCGTTATTATAATTTATATAAAAAAAAGGCTAAACATAACTGAATGGATTCCTGCATCGCTATTTTGCTATCGAGTTATCGCTAAAGCATAATTTCATCTTGTTGGTTGTTCAAACATAATTTTCTATAATGAATTATGCCTTTTCTTTGAAAAAATTCTATTGCAGACTTTTCGTCATGGGCAATTCCCAAATGGTTAAATCCACAGGCTATCAAAAAAGGATTTAAAAATTAAACTAGTATTTCAATGGCCTCTTAAGAAATAAGAACTATCTAAACTTACACAATTTTAAATTAGCGTATACGCTAAATATGTGTCACGCTGTTAAATGGGCACGTTTGCTACATTTGGCGCTTTCGCGCATAAATTTACGCTGCAATTTTTTTACGCTCCTCAAAACGGAATAGTACCAAAAAGAGTATTAATTGAGTGGTATGTAGATGAAGGTTTACTAAGAAGTCATTATAAGTGTCCTATTTGTAGGAAGGAAATGCGCATAGTTGAACGTCGGAGGTTACCGGCACTATGGAGGATATTTTTTACTCTTTATTTTTGTGAATTTATGTGGTGTTGCCAGCATACAGATTCTAGTTCAGATAATTTTAGGAAGTTTTTGGATGCTGTTAAGGAATTTTGTTTGACTGAAGTACGTTAATTTGCAAATAAGGTAAGTAGATATTTTCTTTGTGTAGTGCAAAGATGAATTTCCTTTTTTATGTTATTTGATTGCTTGATTTAAAATGTAGTTTATTAAAGTTATATATTTTTTGTTTGTTGATCCTTTGACTTTTTAAGTGAATATAAATTGATGTGTACATAGACAGAGTCAAGGGAGTGCACAATAGGTCAATGTGTACATGGATAGCATGTTTTTGCAATTCTTTTAACTTGTTATTTTGTCTTTGTGCAGTGGCTATGTTTGGCTAAAAAATCGTCGTTACACAAAGCCAAAATAACAACTCAAAGAACTACACAAACTCGGTATCCATGTGTCGCCAAAAATCGCCAATTTTTGCCAAGTGGCACCCGTAAATATATTTTTACCCTAAAAATTTAGCCCTTGATTAGAATGCTCCAAGAAACAGTTTTTCTCTAATTTTCAACACTTAGTACTGCTAAGATAAATTCTTGATACATTGCCATAAATAAATTGTATGTTCTGAGTTATGAAATTTACAAAAGCTTAAATGCATTTTAAAGCTAGTGATATTACTTCAGTTTCTTAGATTTTATTATTAAAAGTACATAAAAAAATGTTTCAAGTTGAAGTAAATCGAATTAAATTTTTAAAAAATGTACTAAAAATTAAATAATGAAAATATTATGTGAATGGTAATAATATTATTAAGAAGCATGTATTTTTTAATCACTCAATTTATTACAAGTAATTTATAATTATTTCAAAGGGATTTGAATCCCGAAGGACTATTAGTTTCGTTTTGGCATTTTGCGTCGGACTCATAAATGTCTGTTCACTTTTCAAACTGTTGCCACAAAATGTTAGAGTCCTGCATTATATTTGAAGAAATTAAATAATGAAAAATCTGCATAAATGTATGTATATTTCTCGTATTGTGATAAAACAACGGTACATAGAGTCATCGAATTTTTGAATAACGTAATCCTCCAACGAATATGAGCATGTGGAAGACCCAAATTTGAAATTTGTTTTATGATCGATTTCCTATTTTTTAAAACTTTGACGAATTTTTTGATTAACAAACTCAAGGATTTCAAAGTGAGCAATGGCAACGTTGTGCAGAAAAAACATTTTTATCTCCAGCGCGTGAGTCTCTGTATCGGAAATTCTAAAGATATGCTCGTTTTAAAACTATTTTGCGATATTGCTGTTGCACTGGATCTTATGGTTTAAGTGCGAGGAACATGATATTTAATAAAGAAAGGTAACACACAAAATGTTAAAAAACGCCCCTTTGGACGTAATTTAAAATCTGAAACATTTCAGATTTTTTTTTTTTTTTTTTTTTTTTATAATTTAAAAGCTAAAATGAAATTATCATAACGAGTAAATTTTGTACCATTGATAACAATACACAGCAACAATTGTCATAACTGATGATTTCTATGAAAGATTCGAACAGTTGTTGGAATAGACTAGAAGTAGAGTGATAAGCCACTGAACACTGGTAGTTCAGACTGGCTGTATGGGAGTTTCTTTGGTTTTTCTTACATGTAACATGAATCTGACCAAATTTCTCTTAAAAAGTCCTTTATGAAGGCATCCTTCCTCTCCTATCCTGCATACTGTTTATTAAATGAAAATTTTGCTTGCACTTTTACAATAACTATTGAGCAACAAAAATTCACTTGTTTTAATAAAGAAAAAAAAAATGTTTTTAATTACGAGGTAAATGTAATATTTTGAAAAGTAATGTTACTTTTCATTCTTCTATGCTTTACATTGCTGTAGATATACACATCATTTTTATATGACAGCTTTACATAACAATGGTTTAAATGTTGGAAAATAATATCTGTAGATACTTCACATTTTTCACTCTGAAACAGTTTTTCTAGCAGAAACTAAGTGATATTTCTTAACATATGAAAGTAATTGATTTCTTAGAAAATAATTTCATGTAGTAAATAATTAATCAGGGAACAAAGTATAACAAGGCTCCTTTACTTTGTAACCAGAGTTATTTTATGTTTGGAATCTTTACTGCCACTTCCCCCGTCCGTTTTCCCACCAGAACGCAAATTTAGTATGCATGTTTTAAGTTTAAGGTTTTAAGTTTATAAAGCAAAATAAGTTTTGCATCTCAAGGTCACATTTTTGGTGGCCAGATAAGATAAGATTTGTAGTCCTCAGTCTCACATTGTATTTGCCAATACCTGAATTCTATGCCAGTTAAGATTTGAGTCAACTTTGCATTAAACTGATTTGTGTAGCTTTGCCTGTTTATTTGAATTTAAATTTTAGATTTGAACTTAATTGCTTTCATACATTATCTTGCCACAAGTAGTTGGCTGAGTCAGAAGCACAAAGTGCAACTTCTGATCTTATTTAGTTTTAAAAAAATCATCTTTTACACACTTCTCATGATTCAGTTGTTACTTTACACATAGCGATAATTCGCTTAACGTATACTTGAAGTTTAGTTACACTATATGATAGTAAAGAATAAATTTAAACTTTATAATAATTGTATTTAAAGATATTAAAATTGGTATTTAAGTACTTGCCATGTAGTGACATTTTTACATATAAATTATACTCTTACTTTGATTACAGAGTTTTCATTACAACAAATTTAGATTTCTGTTAGATAAAATGTCTAAGTACTGTAGAAAATTTGCATAAAATTTAAAATAAAAAGTCATGATACTCAATGAAGGTTATTCATGCACAACTATTAGATTGTGAGATTTGAGAATTTAAATTATATACAATATATTCAATAATCTTGGCAACAGTATATTTTTTATAGTCTGACAAATTATAAAAATGTTATAAAAGCAATAACGAAAACCTGATTTTGCTCTATAAATACACACAATTACACATCCCTGTAGTTTTAATTTAAGAAATGAAGCAAAAAAGTATTTTTAGACCATGGTAATTTTGATCAGCGCCCATTTTAAAAAAAAATTTAAAAAGTCTAAATTTCCATGTGGTTCCTTTGCAAAGAAAACACCAAGAGACACAAAAACCTCAAGCTACTAAAAATCTGTGTTTTGGAGGGGGGATTAAAGAAATTAACGGTAACTAATTAACTGCAATTTATTCTTCATATTTCTTTAATTTTAAAAAGACCATACAAAAAAAGAGGGTTCAAATTAAAGTTTTACAACTGGCATTGAAAACCACTGCTAACATTATTAACTCCAATCATGTATATTACGATTTCCAAACTATCGTATTTTATATTTTAATTCAGTACCTACTAAATGCTTCCTTTCAATCCTGAATGGTTGATAATCCACTTATTATCTACACCGCAGCGTTATTTGTAGCAATGTTGCTTTTAAGCAAGAAGAAAGGAGATGAGGACTTTCGAAAACGCCTTTGACGAACCGCAGCGTTAAAATACAGAATCAAAATAATGAGTTTAGTTGAAAAAGTGCTGAGGACAGACAATGTAAACAGAAAGTAACAGAACAATATTATAACAAGCGGCTGGTCAGAGGGTTTTAAAATTACATTCCTATGACCATGGAATAAGGTAAGAATAAAAAAAGGTGCCGGGGTCCCAAGCTTTGGTCTCCAGAGGGGGACTTTTTTTTGTTGTTGTTTACGTCCAGAGCCTTTGGCCACTCTGACCACTCACAACAGTTTCCCACCAGTCGAAAATCGAGTACACTTCCGCATTCATTGTTGGATGTGCAATAGCAATTTGTATAGTTCAGTAGCAATTACGAAAAAAAATATATCTTAGTTATTTTTAGATAAATTGCAACAGCGATTTTGACTGCAAAAATATAGATTTTAGCAAAATGTTTACAACTTGCCTACTACAACTCAACGCTGCCAGTATGGTAACCCATAGCAACCAAAAAATAATAATAATAATATTTATTATATTGTTAAATAGTATTTATTGTATTGTTAGTATTATTAACGATCTGTCTCAAAAATTGTACTACCATAATTGGTGACCCGTTATTTATTACGAATAGCAACCTTCAATATTTATGCCTAAGAAATGAAACATACCTTGAGGTACCATTAAAATGTAAAAATATTACAAAAGTATAACACATTTTAAAGCTCAGTTTCATAATAACTAAGTGGTATAAGCGCGAAAATTTGTATACTTCTTTCAATGCCTTCGATAGGGCATTCACTGCTTTTATTTTAAGTTCCAAATATCAAAATGTTTCAAGTAAAATGCATTTTTGTCCTCCACAAAATATTTCAACGTATACCTTTTTAAAATTTTTAGAGGAGAGGCTCATTTTAAACTATCATTTTATTTTTATATAACTGAAAAATAATTACTTTGGATTTCCTAAAAATGAAATTACGACCAAATCCTGTAATCCTCGTCAAAATTTTAAAAAATATGTAGACAGATATGCTAATGTGTCAACTTTTTCTTCATTTGTAACCACACGTTTATGTAAAATCAGACACATTGCTAAAAGTATAGTTTAGGGTTCCCCTTGGCGAAACTTGGCGGTACGTGGATACCGATTTTGTGCAGTTCTTTGACTCATTATTTTGGCTTGCGAAGCGGTGATTTTTGAGCCAAAAGTCGCCGCTACACAAAGCCAAAATAACAAGACAAACAATTGCACAAAGTCGGTATCCATGTACACATCGACTTATTTTCACTTTAAAAAAAAATCCTCGAATTGCACAAAAATGGCATTGCGCACTCCTTTGACTTTATCCATGTACACGTCGACCTATTTTCACTTAAAAAAAATCCCCGAATGGCACAAAAATGGCATTGCGCACTCTTTTAACTTTATCCATGTACACTACGACCTATTTTCACTTACAAAAAAAAATCCCAGAATTGCACAAACTTGCTTTGTGCACTCCCTTTACTTTGACCATGTACTCATCGATATATTTTCACTTAAAAAGTCAAAGGAGCACCAAATTCTACAATATAGGCAAACAAAAATACATAATCTCAATAAAATACATTTTAAACCAAACAATAAAATAACATAAAAAAGGAAAAACATGTTATACATTCAAGCACTACCAAAAGCAAATATTCACTTACCATGATTTTCGAGTTCACTTCGTACACCCAGAGCCACGTAAAAATCAAAATATAAATCATACTCAAATGACTTTTATTCAAACCATGTACTCTTTCTGATTGAACGCTTCACATAGTGACCATCTGAACCTTTCTTCCTACAAATCCATCTAAACGGTTTTTACGTTCGACTAGACGCATATTCTTCCTACATACAGGACACTTATAATGGCTACTAAGTAAACCTTCATTTACACACCAGTCAATTAAAGCTATTTTCTCCTTTCGCTCCAAATCGAACAGAAACTTCAAATTAATCTTACTACATTTGGCCATTCTACCGTCTAAAGAATCAAACCAATACACACCACAAAAGCGCTTACAAAACATCCCATGATTCAAAATTTCCAAGAATCATGCACCCGATTACGTCACAATAGGGTTTCCATAACATTCAACTACTCAGGCTACGATAAATGAAACAACAACTTGGCGATAAATCAAACAACAACTTCACCATAATACAAGGGGTACCTTAAAGTCTACTCTACCCGAAACATTTGCCAATTCGGCGAAATTACCATGCGTTGTCAAGATGATGTGACCATATGAACGTGCCACATTATTAAGAATTTGAAAATAGCGTGATCTGCGAAGGTGAAACCATTTATGCATCCTGGCGAAGGAGGCCCGATCGTGAATGATCCTCTTATTGATTCTGGATTGTTAAATGTGCATGCAAGTCTTTTCTTCCTGGAAATCCGAGATTCATTCTCACTTATTTTTGCGAAAATATTGTAAATAATTCAGCATCTATGCATCAGTTGTATACAAAACTTCTTATTTCATGGTCAATGATTAATAGAGTTGTAAGGGGAAAAAAAATTAGTGTTCTGCCTTTTTTAAAATTTTATTTAGCAACATGTTTAATTGGAGATTAAATGTAATACAAAATTATGAATGAAAAATCTTTGTTTGTTATTCAATACTCATATTTGAGCAGTCTGCTATTTTTGAAACAGTTTCAAAACATGAAAAAAAGCATCATCAGTGAAATTAATTACTAAAATATTATCTTCTGGATTAACCTCGCAATATATAAATTTCAGGTATTTGTGAACTTTTTCGTCTGAGGGCCCAATGGCAGACCCTCAGCCGACTTCGGCTTGACCACTACTAAGGCCAGATGTGGTGGTCACTTTTTTATGGAGGCCATCTTTGCCTCCTATGAGGGGGCAGACAGTCACAGCCATGCCTTCCCCGGATTCAAACCTGGGTCCTTTGGTATCTCAATCGGCTGCCCTAACCACTTTAACGTCTATGCGGCGTATTTGTAAATTTAGATCAATTAGTTGTTTTAATTGTTTTAAAAAATGAAGCAATATCATGCAGAGTAAGGCAATCAAGATTGAGATCTGATGGCAATGAGTTTAATGTTTAAACATGAAATGGATAGTTATTATTTATTATATTATCAGAGAACTATTAAACTGGATAAAATCACCAAAATATATTTACTAGAAATTTGAATTTGATAAGGAATGTGTCCTAAAACGTGTTTTTAAGTCAAAAGTTTGAAACATAATGGGTAGATCTAAATGTAAAATTATGTATGTTAAAATATTTATAATTAGGCGCATAGGTCAGGTTAAGATTTTATTAAATAGGGTAAGGCATGCAAGGGCTGTCTGGCTAAAAAGATAGATGCCATCGTGGAGGAATTTCGAAGGAAACCTGATGTTTGAGTGGGTATTAAGAAATACACGTAATTTCCACTCAAATTATATTTATAAATATTCTTATGCAAAAAATTCTGGTATATTCTAAATTATTGTAAATTCCTTTACTCAAAAAATATAGTGAATGCACAGAAATTAAAGATTTGCACAAATTAAAAATTATTGACATTAAAGATGAAATTGAAATTAAAGATTAAAGATTTGCACATTATTTTACATAAAGTGAAAAAAATTAAATATGTATGGGTATTTATGCATACCATTGCAAAAAGCGTGTATTTGCCTTTAGCAAAATATGTAAATATTTATTAAATTATTTTTAAATGTATTTGGAAATAAAGGATTACAGCCATGTCCGTCTATACCTCCCGTGGTACCATCCACCATCTCATGGCACTTGTCTGAGGCGGAGTTACGCTCACAGAGACATTTGTCTTTGACCCCACAACATCAGCGGAGTCATCTGGGATGATGTCGCAGCCGATCATCATGGCTGCCATCAGACTGGCATCGTACAGTGTTCAGCGATGAATCCCGCTTCACTCTTCAAGCAGATGACCACCGTGTTCGTGTCTGAAGAGTACGGGGCCAACGTCCCAATCAACCTTTGTGTTACAAAGGCATACAGCCATAACCCCTGGTGTGGGGCGCTATTTCTTACAACAGCAAATCATCTTTAGTCATCTTCCGTAGATCTTTAACAGCTCAATGATATGTTGATACTATCCTGTGGCTGGTTGCATTACCCTTCATGGCACATCACCCAGAGCAATTTTTCAACAAGATAATGCCAGGCCACATACAGCTCGCATATCTTTGGACTGTCTCCGTGCGGTTGATACTCTTCTTTGGCCAGAAAGGTCACCAGACCTTTCACCAATTAAGCATGTCTAGAACATGGCTGCCAGATTTGGGCACCACAAAATATCGCAGATCTGGAGCGACAACTGATGAATACCTGGCAGAATGTGTCACAGGATGAAATTAGGAGCCTCTACCACTCCTTGCCTCGATGAATTCAAGCATGCATTGCCGCCAGGGGCAGTTCAACCAACTACTAATTTGAACACTCAATGGGTGATTGTGAGCCATGAACAGGTACTATGACCTTGATTTTTTAATCATTTTATTATCTGTGTATGAGCTATACACATATTCAATTTCATCAAAAACAACCACTTCCTTTATGGTGCTTCGAATTTTTTGCAAAAGAGTGTATTATCATTTCTGAGTGTTACATTCCTCATATGTGCTCTTCACACTGTTAACTCCCCAATTGTTATGATATGAAAAGCACAACTAACAGTTACTCCAATATTCATGATTTGGACATTATAAAAGATAATGGTATCATAGTTTAAGAACAGTTTCTCTGAGAATCTATACTGATATTCTTGAGTTTACTGCTACATCTATTGGGAGAAATTCCTTCAATGATGTTTGACCACAGAAAGCAGCTGCAATTAACTGATGTGCTGAAAATCACATGATCTAGCAAATGGCCTGGCTAGCTCGATCGCCAGATCTCAGTATGATGCAACATATATGAGGCATCAGGAATCTCAAGATCTGCCGTGTCCCTATCTTCAAGGACTTTGAATAAACTGCAAACAGGAATTAAAAGTGTAATGAACTTTGCGATCAATTAAAGTACTCAATATCTTAAACTGAAATGTCAGTTAAAATAACTTTAAAAAAATGGTATCAAACTTGCATTCACGTCAGGGAATAATATACTTCATATTAGATTTATTTTATTTTTTCCAGTTATTTTTTATAAAATTATTTTTGTCTTTTCATCATTTATGTGAATTTTTATAAAACTGCATTTTATAATTTCCCGAAAGGCTGCAAAAATCATTGCAATTCATTCTTTATAAGACATAAAAGTATGTAAATAAATGCCAATAAAGATTAAAAATTTTATTCATTAAAAATTTTAACTTTTTTCCAAAATAAATTTTATACATGGCATAAAATTCAAGATATAACATTTTCATCGTGATAACATAACTTTGAGAAATCATTGATAAATATTAAACAATGAAGCATGAATGAATTTATTCTTACATAATGCACAGCCTAAATATAACACAATATAATACAGCATATTTCTCATATTTGGAATATAATGAAGAAGCAAAAGATCAGCTCTCCAGAATTAAAATAAACAGATATTTTGTGTACATCCAAAACCATTAAAAATATAATAAAACAAAATTTGTTCAAATTGCGTAAAATTATTAATGTGATTAAGTACATTTTTATACACTTAAAAATTACATTTCTTTGCACTTAGATATCCAGCTATATATATTACACACACTAACTTCAGTAACATGATGATTAGTATATGCCTTAGACCAGTGGTCTTCAAACTTTGTTGACTCATGTAAAACCCTTAGAATTAAAATGACTGTTTTAGGGGATCCCATCCCACCTTACAACTCACAAGCAACTGATTGGTAAATTTGCTGAACACTGGTAGTTAGGTCTGGAGATTGAATTCCAGCAAATGCCCATGCAGCCAGTGGGCATTTTTCTCATGTGTAACTTGTATAGGAGGCCGTTTCCCTAAAAAGACCCTTTTCTTTAGGGAAGGTATCTTTAGGAAAATAGCCCATGTGTGCTTTGCCATAATCAATTAAACCAGACCAAAGCCACCTTTAGAAAAATATATCTTAAAATAAAGTAGATCACTATGTTATAGGTACTTTATGTAAAGACAAAAACTGTATTTTGTATTAAAGAATCTTGACACAAAATTTAATTTAATCATTAATAGCATATTAACTCATGCTCCAGAAGTGATCTACCTTTTAATTATATTTAAGGACTGAAGTGTGCTTGCATCCTAAATATAACTATCTTTATAATTTTTAGTTAATAAACATTGGCCAACTAGCATAAGTGCTTTATAATTTTTCTTTTTAAAATTTTATTTTGACTCATGAAACCCCAGGATTCTGTGGAGCAGAGTCTGAAGACCACTGAGACTAACCACTAGCATTTTCCATGTAAATCAAATATCAAAATTTTATGTAAAATATATATAGAAAAATGTTTAAATATATATATATACTCTTTCTACTTTAAGCATAATGCAAATAAGGCACATCAGACAAGCACCATTATTAGAATCCTAATTAAGCTATACAGTATAAATGACAGAACTTAATATATAATTACTGCTACTTAGATAGGCATATTAAGAACTGAAAAATTGAAACTTCTATTGGGAATACAAATAAGTCTTCGTTGTTTGAAAAAAAAAAAAAAAAATTGGCGCCAGCAGTAAGTTATGGTTAAAACTATCTGATATGAAATATCATATCATAAGGTTAGATATCTGCTAACAACATAAGCTTTAAATATTAGTGATTTTGTATCAGCATACTATACTTTTTTGTGCGAAAATGTCGAGTTTTGAGCCAAGTGAGCATCATTTACGAGAACTTTTGATTTACTTCTTTAATTTGAAAAAATATGCAACTGAGGTGCATCGACTGCTTGTAGAAGCATATGATGAGGCTGCCTAAGTGACAAAAGTTATCATGAGTGGTTTCAAAAGTTTAAGAACGGTGAATTTGATGTCGAAGATGAAGAACGGAGTGGAAGGGCGAAAGTGTTTGAAGATGCAGAATTGGAAGCATTACTAGATGAAGATTCCAGCCAAACAAAAGTAGAACTTGCACTTACATTAGGATTGACTCAACAAGCAATTTCATGTAATTTGTAATCATTGAGAATTATTCAAAAACAAGGAAATTGGGTTCCATATGAACTGAATCCGAGAAACATTGAATGCTAATTTTTTACATGTGAAATTCTGCTTGCCAGGCATAAAAGAAAGGGTTTTTTGTATCGAATGGTCACTGATGGAGAAAAATGGATCCACTACAATACTTCAAAAAAGAAGAAATCATGGGGACCACCTGGCCAAGCTTCAGCGTCAACAGCCAAGTTGAAATCATGTTGTGTACATGGTAAGATCAACTTGTATCATGTATTATGAGATGCCCAGACCTAACGAAACCATTACTGAACATAATTAATGAGATTAAGCCAAGCACTCAAAGAAAAATGTGCCCATTACTACTCCAGACATGACAAAATTGACAAATGTCTGACAGACTCCAGACATGATAATATTCATCCACATGCTGCAGTGCTGGTCAAAAACCGACTCAGAAACACTCAAAACGAGAAGTTTCCCCTCTCCCACTGTATTCATTTGTCATTGCTCCTTCTGATTATTACTTGTTTCGATTGATGATGCATGGCCTCTTTGACCAGCGCTTCACATCATATGAAGAATTAAAAATGGATTGACTTGTGGATAGCCTTGAAACATGAAGCATTATTCAGTGAGGTATCTGTGTGCTGCCAGAAAGATAGGAAAAAGTAATAGCTAGCGATGAACAGCACTTTGAATAAAACATAATGTACTGTTCTTTCACAATAAATGCTTAATTTTTGATAAAAAAATGGCAAAGATTTATTTGTACTCCCAATAAATTATTATTTACTTAAATTTTTATTGTCTGTATAATATGCTTGGTATAAAGTGAATGTTACAAATTTTAATGCGACAGATGCTTTTTAACCTATGATACCTGTCAAGCAATGAAAAAGCACCTAAATTTATTCATTACACTAACTAATGAGAAGTACTAGAAAACTATAATTATGAAACATTATCACAATCAGCAGTTCAAAAAGGACCTATCTGATCGCAAAATATTTCTTTCAAATAATATAAAGTTCTGCCATAGTTAAAATTTCACACAGTATTAAACCCTAAGTAGACAGTTTCTCTCAGTTCAGAAAGATGAATAATTTGAGAAATGCTAGCATAAAAAATATACTTACAGAGAAAAATATTACATAGGTCAACATTTTTAAGTAGATAAGAATACTGAGTATTTAATAATTTTTTACATATGAGCACATATGTTTTCAGCAACATTTCCAGACCGCTTATTTGTATAAACATAGATCTGTGAGAAAACAAGAGGTTTCTGTCATTTTTATGTACTGTCTGTCTACGGTAAGAACACCTCCCGCCACGGTGTCCGGCGGGTGGCGGTCGCTAAACAGGGCTAGTATATTTAAAATAGAGACGAACCAAGGGTTGCTTTATAGTTATTTTGTTTTTGGCGACTGTTGGCTGAAGGGAAAAGAGTTTATCGTTCGTCTTCTCGGTTTCATTCCAGCTGCACGCATCTTTTCTTATATTATTACTATTAGCTATTTTTATTCTCGTTGTTATATCTTTTGTACTGGTATTTGTTCAAATTTGCTTCTATTTAGCTTGATTTTCGTAGTGCTTTGTTAATCGCCAATTTTTTAAAATGCCCTTCCAGTTTAAGAAAGGTCAACCTTTAAAGTCTCAGGCATGTCAAATCGTGTACAATGTCGCAGAATTTTGTGCTTCTGAAGCTTCGGCGAACTCTTTAGTAGTTCCTCTTCCTCAAGTTTTGAAGAGAACATCGCAAGCTACTGGAGTATCGGAGTATACAATTAAAAAAATTAAGCGCGAAGTATCAACAATGGGTGAAGATCAACTTCTAAATACTCCTGGAAAGAAACGTAAAAGCCCTGCTAATCATAAGTGCGAAATTGACGATTTTGACAAATGCGTTATACGGCAGACTATACAAGATTTTTACATCAAAGAAAAGAAAGTGCCATCTGTGCAGAAATTATTGCTTGTCTTGAGGCAAAAAATAGACTTCCCATGGCAAAAAGACTCTTTGTGCAAAGTTTTGCGTTCGATGAATTTTCGCTGGAAGAAATGTGTTAACAAAAGAAAAATTCTTATCGAAAGACCTCACATTGTATTTTGGAGGAACAATTATTTACGCGAAATGAGGAAACTCAGAGCAAGTGGACGCCACATCGTTTACATCGATGAAACATGGATTGACAGCAATTTAACTTTTAAGAAATGTTGGCAGCATGATACGGTTTTGGGAGCACAGATAAATGTCAGTTCCGAAAATAGACTGATTGTTGTCCATGCTGGCTCTTCCGCAGGATTTATTCCAGGTGCCCAACTTATATATAAAGCATCAGCTCAAAGCGGGGATTAGCATGGGCAAATGAACTATGGAAATTTTGAAAAATGGGTGTTGAAAAAGCTTCTTCCAAATTTACGATCTCAAAGTGTGGTATGCATGGATAATGCCCCGTATCACACAAAAATTGAAGATCCGACACCCACGAAATATATATAGTGTCTATAAAAAGCAGCGTGATGCATAAATGGGCGCTGGTAATTAAGAGGCCAAGCAGCGGCCGATCGGTAAAGTCACTGAACACTTGTAGTTCGGTCCGAGGTTTGAATCCCGTGAACGGGCTGGCTGCATGGGCGTTTTCCCCATGTGTAACGTGTATACGAGGCAGTTTTCCTTAGCAAGCCCTCCACGAAGGCATCCCTCCTCTTAGGCATTTAACCCTGGAGGCTTTCCGTAATCATATAAACCAACCCAAACCACTGGTAATTAAGTAAAAAGCAGTTTTGATTTTAATTTACCTTCGCTTCCTTTCATCATTAAATTGACCAGCTTTTGGTTTAGTTTGAAGGTATGGGAAAAAAAGAATCGCAAAAAGTATTTATTGAGAGCATTTTTCTTCAAAAATAAGCACGGATTTTTAAATGCATTTCCCTACAAGTTATTTTGATATATTTTTACTCATTGTACATCTAGAAGGATGGCAAATTCAGCGACTTGTACCTCACACGGCAAAATCAAAGACCGTTCCTTGACTGCAAAAACTTTATCTATCATTTTCATATTCATATTTTATCAATTTTCATTTTCGGAAATTGAATGTAGGGGTCGACGCAAAGGGTCAACGAGTATTTTACTTAAAACTAAAACAAAATGTGAATATCGCCAAATCATCTTTAAATGTGCCAACGTGGCAAAATGAGAAGTAAATCTTCAAGACACCCCTACGAAAAATGGGTCAGGGCTCGTTTCTACGGCAACAGACAGCCACAGACAAACTGGTGAGAGCTGTTCTTACCGTAGACAGACAGTACACTCAAATGCAAGTTCTACTCGTCCTGCTGATTTAGGAGCAACAGACTTTTCTGCTAATAGCTTTAGATAAAAACAAAACTTTTTATGTAAAGGGGCATTCTTTGGAAGCCATTTTATTTTGTTTATCACAAGTAAGTATTCTCAAAGAATAAGGCATTAATATATATAGTATTTAAAGACTGCAAAATAAACTTAACTTTAAGAAATGGCACAGCTTCAACAAATGTTACCTAGGTTTCATGGCATTTCATTTTAGGGATTAGCCCTTTGGTTTTTAACATAAATGTAAAGCTACAGCTACACTTTATTTGTACGGCAGGAATTAAACTGAATTCTGTTAGTTAGTAATTGAATAATGATCTTTGCGTGAAAAGTACCCCTATGGGTTCATCATGGTGCAAGCACTGGTTAGTTGCTATGTTGCCACAATATAAAAGCTAATTTTATGAAACATGTCACAACTTTATAAAATGCCATGCACTTTAAGAAAATACTTTACAAATTTATTTTGAATGTTATAATAATATGGATGAACTTTTAGGCCATGATTTTCATATTCCTGACACTATTTTTTTATTAGCAATTGTATTAAAAATACAGTCTATGGAAAAAAAAAACTATAGAATGCTCATAAATCAACAATTTAAAATCTAAAATAAATAAAAAAACATATTTTAATTTTTCTGAAAAGAAACATTAAATTAAAGTCAATTTAATTAGAAGTATTAATAAATTTATATAATACATAAAAAGAAATTGCACAGGTTATAGGGATGATTTGGCAGATGCAGAATATACAACATTTCCTTTAACTAAGGAATCTATTTCACTTTTTGTAAATCCTTCTTCTAAAAGTATTTCCAATGTATGTTCTCCAGATGCTGGTATTTTCCAGCATATATCTCCTGGTGTTCGTGACAGCCTAGGTGCAGGCACTGGAATACTTTCCTTTCCATTCGTAATGAATGATTTGTTCGCAATATTGTGAATATGCTTATGTGATTCCTCTAAAGGTACAACTGGAGTTACACAAGCATCAGTAAAATTAAAAACCTCACACCATTCTTCTTGAGTTTTTGTTAAAAATATTTCGCTGAACTTCTTAGTTGTTTCTTCCCAATCCGAAAATTGAGAGTATTCATTTTCATCTATGCCAAGACCTGTTGAGCAATTGCAAAGAACAATTAACAGAAGTTAATACTTATCTAAAGGAAATGGGGAAAAAAGGCCTTTCCTATGAAATTACAAAATTACAGATATTTTTAGAAAATAAGTAAACACTTGCAAATTAATAGAATTTCAATCTTATGAACACATTACATGTAGTGACATAAAGACCAGGCCATACATGTAATGATGCATAATATAGCATAAACTATTAAGAAAGTTACACTTCTTTATGTCTATAAAATTACATTTTAATCTCTATACAAACAACTACAGTCAAACACTAAAGATTATTTTTTAAAGTAAAATAAACATATAAAACCAAGTAAATATGAGATGATTGAAAGTTATTTTAAAAAATGAAGTTTAGACAATGGAAAAAAAGATACTTAAATAATCAGAGATAGGATTTTTTGAAAATTCCGTAACCAATGCTGATGTTTATGTATCAAAATCTAATGAAACTAATATTTAAAAAAAATCATTAAAATTGAAAGCATCATTATACAAAACCCATTTTCATTACCTATTAAAAACCTGCCCAATCTCTAGGCTTCATTTCTAAACTATACATAAAATCTAAGACATGTGATTTTCTGTCTGTATATAAATTCTGTTGTTCTATTCCTGAAAATTAGGACCCTTAGCAAAGATAGTATGGTTGACAATTTTTTCCTCTCTATTAATAAATAAATGTGACATCAAAAGCAATCCTCACTGAAAAGAAATAACAATTATATGCCATCACATATTTTCTTCATGGAAAGTAGTCATAAATAAAACTACAGGTAACTATCTCAATATTATTTCTTTAAAGGTAACCCACATTCCAATAAGAAGGGATAGTGATATTAATGTTACATTATCTAATAAGATATCTTCGTTTCTACTTCCCAGTAGTCTGAATATTACCCATTCTTACTATTGTCTCTACTACTCCACGAGTGCAAATCAGCCATAAGTAATTAGAGAAGTTTAATGTGCAGCTGACTAAGCGAAATCAGACTGAATGTCATTTTGTGTTTGCTTCACTTAATAGGTGAGTTCTTGTTTCATGTTCAATAGTTAGAAAAGAAAGATTTGGCATGACCTTAGCAGGTAGCTTGCAAGGGTTTGTTAGCTTGCATTTTCTGAGTGGATTGAGGAAGGGGGAAAATTACATGAATATTTTTAAAGTTTTCAGAACTTCCCACTAAATAGCTGTGGTATACGAGAAAATATGGTTCATTGTTCTAATACAATCAGTCAGTTGTCTTAAAAACTGGTGAGACCTTTGAACTGGTGACCTGCAAATACATTTTCCATAAATTACTTAGCATTATTATGACATATGAATAAAAATATAACATTTTAATGATTTTGATTCTAATTTTATGTCATCTGCAATACCATTAAAAACAAATATGAGTAACACACCAGAAAATATACAAATAAAGCTAATTAATTTACACTGTGGTATAAATTTCATTCAAAGATATGATGATACAGAATTGATTAATCTTGTTACATACTTGTCAAAAGATGTCATATTTGAATATATGTATTCATAGATGAAAACAATGTCACTCTGAAGATGTAATATTTAGCTATCAGTAAGTTTAAATTACAAAGTGTAACAAACAGACGTTTCTTGCACATATCAACCTTAAAATTTTAAACGGGAAGTAAATATAAAGTGCAATTTTTTCCTTTGCATCATTATTATTAGTGTTTATGTATTTTTTAAATATTCAGTAGATAAAATTTTTAATTTAGTTAAAGGTTTGTTTCAGTAAAAAACTTTTTCAACTAAACTGCTAAAAAGCAGAAAAAAAAAACTGGCCATTTCAGCTCTGTTAGACAAATTTCAGTTTGAGATCTCTGCAGTATGTTATGCAGACATATTGTGTCATAGTATAGGTATAATAATGAGCATCATTTGAACCACTAGAATCATCTAATTCAGTAATTTTATAACTGCTCCTTAAGTTATACATGAAATACACTTGCCAAGTTCAAATACAACCGGGCAAAATTCTGCCTTTGTCTGGTGCTATTTTAAAGATGGAAATCAAGCATGAGGCAAATTAGTGATAGAAAAAAAGGGCACTTCTTTGTTGATATGACCCCAATTTTTTAAGTGCAAATTTGGCACCATGGCTATCGAGAAGTTCATGCTTATTTTTCCCATACATGTTTGGGCTGCTGTTTCTATGATTGCTTTTAATATGGCATCAGAAACATTTTCTTATCACAAGGATTTTTGTATCATTTTTAATTTGCCACTTAGCGTAGCATCCTAGTCTGTTACCATTTCTGTATAAGCCGCTGTTGGATCAACAAAATGAAATTTGTGTTTCACTGCAATATCTTTATACCTGTTTCAGTTCTTCTGTTTTTTTATTCAATAAATCATCAATCCTTCTTGTACATGGTTGATGAATTTTGCCCCGAATATGGTTGCTTCTCTATCCAGTACCTGAGCAAGAACGAAGTCATCAGTTTCTTGACATGACCCACTAAATACCAGTACTGTGGAAGAAGCCTGCAGGCTTTTGCCTTTTCCCTGTATTATGTTTTTATTTATATCCACACATTTTTCAAGACCATGTATTAATTTATTTGGTTGCTGGATTAGATGTAGAGAATGCACCTTTACTATATATTCCAGTCAATACTTATATTTTTGTGAAGGCTGAGTTATTTCTCCAGCTACTTAACTGACCTGACAATAAATAAATTCCTGTACTATTAAAATATTCTGAAACTATTCAACAAAATGTATGCTTTTCCTTCACCTGTAACTTTTTATGTTAACTTCCAAATGCTTTAATTAGTATGCACATCTTTTTAATAGGTATTTTTGCACACTCAAATGTTAGGTAAAATGAGTCTTTCTTGGGGGGGGGGATTTCAACATATGGAATACTTACCAGAGCTCTTCTCGTGATAAGAAAATTATAAGTGGCCATGAACCTTATATATATGTGTTATATATATGTGGAGATAGATAGACGACCGCTGGAATTGCTGAGAACAAAGGGCTTACATCAAGTTACGTTCAGAGCTTACATCGAGTCAGCCATATGAGGGCAGATGTGCCCTTTGAATGTATTTATTGAGGACTGATAATGTGTGAAAATGATCATCATTAATCGAATCCAGTTTGGAATCACATTAGTTGTGAGATTACCAAATGCAATGTTAGCTTAATTTATTTAATTAAGTTGTAGCCTTGGCTACTAATGTTTAAAATTAATTTATGACTAGTAACAGCATGAATTATAAACAAATAGCTAAGTTATTGCAATTTATTTTCCAGCTATCGAAATGCGACGCTACGAGCAACGTTTTGAAACCAAAACCTAGCAATCATGAATCAGAACTAGAACTAGTTGCCATTCAGCATAAAGAAATTTAAATATAAATATGAATATTAACAAAATATTAAAGTTAATTTTATAAAATAATTAAATATATGAACAAATATATGAAATAAAAAATAATTATTTCTCATGCACTAACTGGGTCACCACAATGTAGCCTTGGCTACTAATGTTTAAAATTAATTTATGACTAGTAACAGCATGAATTATAAACAAATAGCTAAGTTATTGCATTTTATTTTCCAGCTATCGAAATGCGACGCTACGAGCAACGTTTTGAAACCAAAACCTAGCAATCATGAATCAGAACTAGAACTAGTTGCTATTCAGCATAAAGAAATTTAAATATAACTATGAATATTAACAAAATATTAAAGTTAATTTTATAAAATAATTAAATATATGAACAAATATATGAAATAAAAAATAATTATTTCTCATGCACTAACTGGGCCACTACAAAGCTAACATTGCATTTGTTGCATTAAGCTAACATTAATAATTAATGTTAGCTAATTAAATAAATTAAGCTAACATTGCATTTGGTAATAAGCTAGCTTAAATTTAGCTTAATTTAATTTATCTTTTCATTCATTTTATTTCATATTAGTAAAATGAAGTAACTAGTTATGCTTAAGTCGTGCTCTACTATGTTCTTATTGAAGGTAATCCCACATATATATATATACACATGTAATGATTTTAAAATGCATAGATGAAGACCGTAGTGGCTTGAAGGTGGCAGAGTGGAAAGCATGGTGACACAATTTAGCACAATGTATCTTGAAGAATCACAATATTTTTTTACGCATATCAAACCATCCTTTTGCAGATAAGACATTTCCTAATTATATTTGAATATACAGTAAGTTCCAATTTGAATTCATCTTAAGCAAGTAAGCAGCAGTATGGATGAAAAGCATCTTAACAGCAGGTGAGCTTATGCAAAAAATAGGAAGAGTAGCATAGAACTTCAGAGGAAGAAGGGTGGGAGTCGGAAAAGTTTCAGTTCAGAGTTTTAGTTTACAATTAATTCGATTGGACAAGAGGTATCTGCATTAAAACGTTACGTAAGATAGAAAAATCTGGAACCTGTGAGAAGAGATGAATTTAGGGGCAGATCAATAAATTTAGAATGTTAATTTTGGGGTCCCCAATTATTTTTTTGAAACAGCTATCATATTTTGTTATATCTTACATACATATACATATAAATATTAACACATGGTTTATTCAGTGCTCTTCTTGTGATGAGCAAACTATCAGTGATCATTGTTAGGACTCCCAGGCATTTGAAAATGTTTTGTGTAATGGTCATTTATCAATAACCTTGACATTATTTACAAAGCAAAGTCATAATGATAAGGATGTACCAAGCAATGAATTAAACTGCTTATAAATATGAAAAACAGTGTCTATATTTAAAAACGTGGCATAATATCATAATTATTTCCCCCTCAGTATGAAAATCATAACGTCTTGCAGTAGTCTAAATGATAATTCTGAAGTTTTATTTAAAATTTTAAAAAATAAAAAACTATTGTTACATTTTTAAAATTGTATTTTATATTTAAATGACTTTCTTTACCCTCCAAAACACATTCAGAATTTCATTTTCTTTCTACGAAAAACAGTCTTATTAATATATATGTTGGCTGTAGATTAGTTTCAAAGTTATGGACACTTATATAAAAAAGTGTGTATTTAATGTACATGATGTGGTAAGTTGAAATAGCCAACAAAATATAACAGCTTGGAAGAATTACCTGCATAAAATTTGTGCTTATAGCTTAACAAAATAGTAGAAATTGATGAAAGCCTAGCACAGAAAGATTATGAAGCACAGAAATGAAGTGGGTTGAATACTGATTATTCATTGAATAAAGAGGTGTCAGTTCTGTTATTTTGCAGGAACAATTGACATGACTCTGGATATCTGGCAACTTTCATGGTTGACAGGATAATACATGAGAACCAAAAATTCATAATTATTAAGATAAACGAGAAGCAAGAGCTTCTTTAGCCCCCGAGTCTCAAAAATGTATTTTTTCTACTGGAATTTCTAACTTTTATAATCAAAAGTTTTGTTTTAAAATAACGTCAGTTTAAAATAACTCTTTTTTCTTAAGCATTGAACATTATTTTAGCAATTAAAACATAAATATTAGCCTTAATATATCCCATGCAACAAAGATTTAGTAATTAAATACATTTTTAAAGTATACAATAAAAACTAACCTTTCATTAAGGCTCTGTAAAACTGTGGTTCTAAAGCTCCAACTGCCATGTATTTACCATCTTTTGTTTCATACGTTTGGTAAAAGTGTGAACCGCCATCAATAACATTTTTACCTTTAGAATTAGCCCATAAAGGAATGGGGAAACCTTCTTTACGGGTAGACCATAACCAGCTAGATACATAGGCTGAGCCTTCCACCTTAAAAAGTAAAAAATTTGATATAATTCCTTCCACCTTAAAAAGTCAAAACGTTTGATATAAAGCAGACATAATTTTTTATCGAAGTTAATTAGCACTTATACTAAAAAGTTTGCTAAGAAGTTTGCACTTATACTAAAAAGTTTGCTTATACTTTAAAAATGATTAAAATGTAAGTTTAAAATATTTATAGTTTAGTCTTTTTCTTTCTTACAAAAATTAATGTAATGCTATCAAATCATCATCCATGGATGCTCAAATGCATTAACAATCCACAGGGCCTAGAAAATGGCAATTCTGAACACTGTTGCCAATCCACATAGAACACAATAATTTATTTTTAATTTATACCATGATAGAACATAGTATATTGTACAACAAAAAATTAGGTAATAAAAAATAACTTACATACTTCTTAATAATAATAGTATATTAATCATTTATTTATATTTACATATAATTAGGAATACATAATTTTCACATATAAAAATGGAAGTTTCTCAATGTGAAATTTTCACATTTATTAAAAAAATGAATAAACATTTATTCAAAAAGTATCAATTATTCAATTATCAAATTTATTCAAAAAAATATAAATTACTATTTTTAAAATCTACAGTAAATAAACTACTGTAATAAAAGAAAAAAATAATTAAAAAACTAACTTCATTGGGATTGTAATATTCCTTTCCTTGAGTTATTTTCTTCCTGTCTCCTATAGCTAACTATAATTTTTTAGATATTAGAATATCACTCAGCATCCATGCTTTTAACAAAAAAAATCTGTGAAGTTTTTGTGGCAGATTATTGTTGCTTTAAGAATCTATATGATACTATCATGAGGGCCTTGAATAAGCAGTGTAAGAAATCTGTTATCAAAATTAGTGTAACCATCAATGAGTTTGCCTTTTGGAGTGACTTTATGAAATGATATTTTTAGAGAAATGTTCCAAAATAAGTCTAATTTCAAAACTGAAATAGAAATGCTTGCAGCCTCCTAATCAGATGGACAAAATGATCTGCAAATATGCTTACATGATTCATTTGTTGCTTTGCATATCACATGAAGAGTCAACAGTTGCTCAGCATCATTGTACTTGATTAATTTCAGTTTTCTTATTTAATGAAATTCATTATTCTCTAAAATAACTATAAGTTTGGTGCTCAGACTCGGCACCATCAGTTTGGTGCCCAAATCATCTGACTGACTCTAAAACATGCCAACAAATGCCTAGTTTGATCCTTTTAAATTCTGAACAGTTTCATATTTTTTCGAGATAATTCAAATAGAAAAGGCAATTTCTATTTCACAAGATAAAAGTTCACTTTCGAAACATTCCTTTAAAGAACTGATACTTGAGTTTTCCTAATCACATTCATTGGTAAAAGAAACAGGATGCTCTATATATTCACTCAAATAAACAGCAGCTTTGAACCAAGAATTGTGTCTGGTTATAAGAGGTGTAAGACACATTTTGTAGCCAGTTGAGGTGCATTTTAAGTATCTTAAATATTCATTCTTTCCTCTTACAGAATGCCAAAGAGAGAGCTTTTTTCGCGCATTTTCAAAAATTCATTAGATGTAACCACCTAATTTTTCATTAAATTAAGATGTGAAAGACAACAGTAAATGTGAAAGACATTTTCAAAAATGGTGCCACATTAAGAATTGCATAAAGCCAATACACAAAATTAAAAACACAAAAAAAAAAAAAAAAAATTATAATAAGCTTTTTTTTGGGGGGGTAGGGTCTATTCTTAAGTATGTAACAATTAGTTCTCATTAAAAATATCAGATAATTACTCAAATTTGGTATCACCACACAAATTTTGATCTACAAAATTCAGCCATTTAAGAACTTCATTAACAACTTCCTGGACTGCAAACTTTTGCATTCTATACTGTTAGGCAATTTATGTAGAAATGCAAAACTTTCTTTTTCATCAGCTAGCAAATTCCACAGACCCAATACAATTCCTTAAAAAAATGCACCCGTTACAATAAAAACTAACTCTAACAACCATCATCAAACATCAAAGCAGACCGGCATTCATCTGTTGCATGTGCACACATACCTGAACCACAACATCAATACACTTCAACAATTTTGTGAATTGCCTATTTTGGTAACACAGCATATTGCTTCGTGAATACTTCTCAGGGTCCAGAGCATGAATAAAAAGAAAGTACCAAATTTTCTTTTCCAAAAAAAAAAAAAAAAAAAAAACATGACTGCTTTGTTTCTGAATAAATAATTGTGAATAAAACTGTAAAAACAAATATTCCTTGTTCATTGAATGTTTTTTCTTCTTCCATAACTACTGACTTAAATCTTAGTTATTTTTTATTTTTTTCCCTTGAAATATGCACAGCATATTTCCAGAAAGACGATTACTTGAACCAGGCACATATCTTAATAAGTAATCAAACTTAGCTGGATATCTAACTTAGACAATGGAATATTGGCTTTTAAACAATTTTTCATTGCATCCTCAAGAAATTGTTTTTTTGTCCATTTTAGGACATTTTGCATTGAAAACTACTGATAATTATAATCTGTTATTTAATCCGGTATGGATCTGAGATGGGTATATTTTTTTCCTTCATATAATTAGCACTAATCATATATTTTTACAGTATCCTTTTTCTGTCCTTCTACAAATAATAGATCCATCAGTTAAGTAAACCTTCTAGCACAAACTTCTTTATTTTATCAATTATTCCCTTCTAAGAGCTCCTACTGATAAAAACTTATGATTACTAAATTCAGCTACTATATGTTTATAAAACAAAACAAAACAAAAAAGTGATATACTTATTTTACAGTTTGCAATTACTGAACTAGCTGATTGAAATGACTAGCCCAGGGAGAGTGAGTAGGTGCATACAGAAGGAAGGTAGAAAATTAGGTATATTTAAAAGGGAGACAGAGACTGAACAACACGCAGAATGGTTGCTGGACGGTAAGCATCGTACAAATTAGATGAATCACCTTTATATACCAACTTTTTGCCAATTTTTGCACAAAAAATTAATGAACACTTGTAAGGTTTATACTAAGCTTTTAACAGTTTAGTTAAAGCTACTTTCCTGTCCTTTCTAATTTCAGCTTACAATTTCCTACCAGAATGTGTTTTTAGAGCCACGGTTAATGCAAATGAGTAAGAGTAGTATTTAAGTTCCAATGACTTCAAGAGCGTTAAGCATTAGTTAAGTTTTATTTCTTATTACTTTGAGTTCAAGCCCAAGCAGACGCTTTGCTGTATGCCCTGAGAAAGGGGCAATCTGTTAAATTCTTATTTTGAGAAATAAAGGATAATTAACAATTCCTGAGTTTTTGTCTCTGTTCCTGAACTAAAGCGATTATTTGCTTAACTGTTCATGAGGTTCCTACACATTTAGCTACTAGACAAAAGGGTGGAATCCCACACATTATTTGCATTTCAGTGCTATACTGGTAAATTTTGCATTTCTTTGGTTCTATTTAGTAAATATGAAAATTACATACCTTTTTTATATCATAAACACAAATTTCTGTAATATAATTGTTCATCCTTATACTCTTGAAATAATTGATAACAGATTTTTTAACGCTACATATTTAATATTTTGATTACTACATATTACATATTTTGATTACTTTTTTCAATATGTGAAGAAAACTGTAAAAGAAATCATATGATATATTGATTTTGTTAAGAGCAATAAAGTTTCAATTCTTAGCAATTCTGACTTGATGAGTCTCACTAATGATAAAAACAGTTTTCTTCCTTATATCATTAATTATTTAGTCCATTTTAAGTAATAAAAGGTATTTTGTAAAAGACCAAGAATCCACTTATCTTGAAACTTCAGATTATGCAGATTTGATGTTTTTGAGGACTTCAGATCGTAAATAAAAAATCATTAGATTTATATTAAACCAGAGTCAATGTAGACAAATTCAGAGAAAGTACATACAAGTAATTAATTCCTTTTTGACATTTTTAAAAAGAGAAATATATATCAAATACATTAAAATTTTTATATGAAAAGAAAATGAAGATAAAAATGAAATAAAAATTATTTTATCATCTTTCAAATATCTGTTTATAGTACTAGTTTGCTTTAATATTTTAGGATGTTTTAGCCAACACTCTTAAATTATATTGGAATGTGTCATGTTTTTGACTAGTTACACAGTTTTGTTGTTCTACATTTTTTTTTCCACTATTATTTGCAGTAGAATCACAAATTGGTTCAGAATCTTCCATTAGGATAATATAAAAAAAGTACTATTTTAGTTCTAGTCATAATACAAGTTTAATATTTCAGTACTTCTCTATTAATAAAGGTAGCAATCACCACCAAATATAAATGTTGCTATGAAATGAAATGTAACTTGACATTTTAATGGCAATCCTAATAAATGCATTCAAAAAACATGACTGCACAAAAATGTAATCCTAACATAAATGCTTAAAAAAATACTAGTTTTCTGGAGTGATAATATTTTTCAGCCAATTTTAGATTCCCATTCCTTTTTCCTTTTGACATCACTGTTGGCTGTCTGAATTGCATTAAAACTAAAACAATTTCATCTTGTGATTATTTGAAGAAAATCTTTCTCAATGGATATTTCCTTTTCTCTGACAGAATTTATTGGCAGACTTTTTACCACTTGGCAGTTGCCAAATTGTAAAATCCATCTCAGTTCCATTCCTATACAAAAATCTCGTGCGAAAAAATAGTCCATATTAAATTATAATGAGTCATAACTTTTAATGTGGTTCATGCTGAAAGGTTGCTATAACTGGCATGTTTTTGCATATTTTAGCTTCTACTCTATTAATGGGAAAGAAACCATATTCCAACTATTCTAAGCTTAAAATAAATACAAGAACGAATTCAAATTTAGTGACTTTTGGCTTAATATTTATTTGGCTGTAGTTACAAAAGCAATAATTGATAGAATATAGTAGCTTGCTTCAACAATTCTTCAATTAGCTGAGCTTGTTACCAGTAATATCTAAATATCACTAAAAACTGCTAATGGTTTCACATTTCTCTTTTGATTTCTAAGAGGCTGTATAAACTTTAGGTCTGGACTTTTAATCTTCTACTACAGTTACATTTTTTATAATTAAATCCTTACCATATTAGCATCAATAACTTGTCCTTTCCCTGATTTCTGACGCTCAAGAAGAGCCAAACATATTCCTAGTGCACATATAAGGCCTCCTCCTGCAAAATCTCCCAGTAAATTAATTGGAGGAGATGGCTTCTCACCACTTCTTCCTAATACCGATAGAACTCCTATAAATAAAAAGAAAAATCCTTCTGTTAAAATCTTTCAGATATAATTTCATGAAAAGAAATATTTAATTCTGTAATCAACTAAGTCATATACAGATAGTGAAGTCTCTCTAAGATGGTCTCAAGTGACATTTTATGGTTCAAGTAGTTTTCTATGAAAGTGTACCCAGTACCAATTTTTTTTTTTTTTTTTTTTTTTTTTTTTAATGTTTTTAGAAATAAGATCACTTTTACAGTTAATTGTAATGAGATATTTAACTATATATATTCAATATTTATTCTAATACTTTTAAGTTGGTATGCATCATATGTCTCAAAATGTGTCCAAATTATAAAAGCAGCATATGATACAGAAAAGAATCCAGGTACAGTAAATTTGTGAAAGTGTAGAAAATATTTACCAGCATGTAAATAACTGTAATAAATTTTTCATTAAAAGTTAAGTTCAAACTTTCATAGCAAAAGTATCATACCGTTTTCACCTGTAAAAGCAAAATAAATATTCAGTACCTATTTTAGACTAACTGCATGTCCAAAAGGTAAAGTGACTAACATGGCTAAAATCACAGTGCCAACAAATTTATCTAAAGGAAATTTATAGGGAAAATCAGAATTTTCACTTTCAAGCACCATTTTCCTCATCTCAGCTATGAATTTAGTTAGCATATTGAAAATATTCATTACTGTTTTCAGAATAATATAATAATTTACTCTGCACAATCCTAATAATATTGTAATGTGACATTATTATTATTACAGGATAACCACACATCAAAAAGCATCTTGCTGATAGGTATAAAATACATAATTTAAGCAAAAAGACAGAAAACAAAATTTATATCAAACACAATCAATAAAAGTCTGCTTTATTAAATAACCATGCCTTTCATGAAAGAAGTGCACATTCACAGTTTTAATATTTAAAAAGTTAAAAAATATGGAGATAGTTTCTAATTATCTGCAACACAGTTCCGTATTCCTCAGAATGGCTGTGTTTTTATTATATTTTCTCATATGCACATTACAACAATTAACCCACATATTCTTGTACCATATGTAGGTTAGCACACTTTTTATTTAATCAGGATTTTGCTGAACAGTTTCTACCATCTGTAAAAATGTAAATATCAGCTTTATAAATTTTCTTTCTCATAAACTTTCTAGTTTCTTACAAAATTTCTTCTTGTTTTATTATTGCAATTTATGAATAAAATAGTACGTATGAGTCACAAAGATAGTCAAATAGAGGTTTTTCATCAACCCACAAACTCGTTAATTACTTGATGCCCCCTCCCCCCCAAAAAAATTCAAAACAAAAACGGTATCTCTAAAGTTAGAAACATGTTAAATAAGAAATAAATGAATAATAGAGTGAGATGAAATTGTTGATAAAACTAAAAGATTTAATGTCAGCTAGGCAAGGCTTTAATAAAGATATTTAAAAAGTTTCCTGACCATTCAGCAATGAGATTTTAACATTTTTGTAAAATAAAGATATTTATTTAGTTTTAAAAGAATGGCATAAAAACCACAATAGAGTCAATCGATAATATACATTAAAAATAAGACATGTAGGTGAAGATAATAAATCTAAACTAGAACCAGCACATTTTTAGTATCAATACATGCACGCTTAAAAAAAAAAAAAACCCTGTCTAGCAAATAGTGTCTGATTTTTTTTATGTGATTATTTATCCATTGATAAGTGGTGTATCTTCTACAGAATAATATTATTCAACATGATTTAATTTATAGAGTTCTATTTAAAAATTTTGTATTTATTACAAATTTGTTGTATTCTTAGCACAAGATCTATAGTGCAACTAACAGTAATTGTGTCTTAAACATATCCCCACTTCAAAGATATGCTTTCCTGTGTCACTCTGCTGCATGTTACATCACTCTTTCCCTGAAATCTCTCTGCACTGCAACATCTTTAATCTTCAACCCAATCACTGCTCAGGATTAACGCAATGACCTTCCGGCTGTAAATATGATCGAAGTTAGTATGCACTGCTTTTTCCCAACTGCCTGCTGCTTAAATAAACCACACCTCTCACTTTGCCTTCTTTCCTTATTATTTGAAATGTAAACTAGGTATATAGAAATTGTGGGAGCATCTAGCACCCTTAGCTTTGTACCAGTTTTAAGCAAAATTGTATTTCTGGATAATTGTTCCTGTGCAAAATAACAATCAAGACTTTAAACATCAAGGCAGTTATGATTTTTGCACCAGTCATTTAAGCAACAGTCTTCTCAGCAATTACTCAAGAATGAATTGTTTCTCATATCTCTAAAAAAACAATAACTTCATATATAGAAATATATTAATATTATATATGAATAAATGCAAAGCAAAGCACAGTTCAAAATAATGCAAAATAAAATAAAATTACATGTTTAAAATTCATCCTGTATTCAGTTCAGAATAAACCACATGCAAAATCCATTTAATAGAAGCATAGTGGCAAGTTGCAAGAAATAGAGGAGAAAAATATGCCAAAATCGAAAATGAAATGAAATGAAATTTATATTTTCACCACATTGTCACCAGGCCATTGGTGTAAAGAAAGAAGCAAATAAATAAAAAATCCTCTTTCTGAAGGCAACAAAGACATAAATTAAAGTTTAAAATTAAAAAATAATATTAGAAAAAGGGTACTATTCAGTTTCGAGGACCGTAAAAAAGTTGCAGCGAAAATGTATGCGCAAAAGCGCCAAATCTAGCAAACGCGCCCATTTAACAGCGCGCCAAATCTAGCGTACGCGCTGATTTCAGATTGCCTAAGTTTATATAGTTCTACATTTCTTAAGACGCCATTGAAATACTAGTTTAATTTTTAAATCCTTTTTTGATATCCTATGGATTTAACATTTTGGGAATTGCCCATGACGAAAAGCCGGCAACAGAATTTTGGGTATAAAGTGCAGAATCACCCACTGCATGACGCGTTTTTAAGAATTGCACATACTCTGTATCCATGTGCACATCGACCTATTTTCACTTGAAAAAAATCCTAGAATTGCACAAAAATGGCACTGCGCACACCCTTGACTTTATCTATGTACACGTCGACCTATTTTCACTTAAAAAGTAAAAACAAATTGACAAAAATTCAATTTTTTTTTTTTTTTTCCCCTTGTAAAAAGCGGCAAACAAAAAGTAAGCGATTCTGCACTTCTGAATTCTGAATCTAAATATTTTCAAAGAAAAGGCGTCATTCATTATTGAAAATTACGTTTGAACAACCAACAAGATGAAATTATGCTTTAGCGATAAGTCGGTAGCGAAATAGCGATGCAGGCATCCATTCAGTTATGTTTAGCAATTTTTATATAAATTATAATAATGATCTGAAATAGTTATTTACTCTTATGCTTCCATTCAGTCATGTTAGCCTTTTTCATATAAATTATAATAATAAAAAAGTATTATATGAAATTAACCTTTCATCTAAATTAAAACATCAATCTAAATAGTTATTTACTATTACACTTCCTTTCTTGCCACAATGATTAGGGTTGCCGCAATTATTTTTGGCAGCATTGGCATTAACAATAGTTTGGCGAATTTTTACGGCCCTCAAAACTGAATAATACCAGAAAAAGAATCAAAGTAATATGTGTCTTTATCAATCCAATCCCTACAAACCAAAGCAAGTAGAGCCAAAAATGCAAAACCATAGCCTCGAAAAACATAAACAAATTTCAAAATTATAGACAAATAACTTTAAAAATATTTTGGGTTAAAAAAAAAACACATGTAAATTTTTTAATCCAGAATTTGAGAGTGGTAAAAATTTTAGAATTTAGAAGAGCATCAAGAAGCAAACGTTAGGGATGGCCAAATTTTTAGGATTTAGGAGCAGTAGGACTTAGGAGTGAGGAAATTTTCAGAATTTAGGAAGCCACAGAGATTTGCTAGCAGAATTTAGGAGCCACAGAGATCGTATCCAGCAGCAAGATATGTAGCAGTGGCCCTTCTTCCCCCTCCCTACAACTACTCAAGAGCTGAAAGTGTGATCTTGGCTAACGTCAGTCAATTCATCGTTATTTGCCAAGATGCAAATCCCTTAATCAGCAGACATTTAAAGGCAATATGGTGGAATCTCAGTTAGCTGGAGAAAAATCGCATTTTCCACGTAGCTACCTCCATTTATTATTATATTCTCCATTCCTAGGCTTTATTTTTTAGTATTTCAGTTTGTTTATTTAGTTGGCTGGAGTTATTTAGTTGGTCATCTGGAGGTCCAGATATTAGATCATTCCGGAAACTGAATATTGGACTCTGTACTGTATACATAAAATGCCTACAGTTTATTTACCATCATTGGAAAAGATTAGATGCACATCCAGTACGAGGTGGAACTACTTTTCCCTAGCTTTATAAACAGATAATTTTACATTTATAAAATATCAGTTTTAATAAAATTAAATAAATTTTTTAAGCTTTCATACCTTTAATAATATATCAAATACTATTTTAGCAGATTTCTACAATGTGAAGTTTATTTTAAGAGTTATATAAACTTCATGTTGCAGAAATCTGCTAAAATAGTATTTGATATATCAATATACTATACTATTTCACAGCTTCAAAATAAATTATCTGTTTTATTGAATTTATATTACAGTACGCACCACTTAATGTGATTGCAGTTAATTTTATCACTTGGATATTGTTATCAAATTCTTCAAGTACTGTGTATGAAAACATGGAAAATACTTCACTTATTATGATAAACAATTCCGTTAACATGACAAAATATGATAGAATAAAATTTTTTAAACTGAAGTAAAGTCACCAGATAATGTCAAAATAGATTATGTAAACTGCCAAACTCTAAAGAAATATTACGAAGTAAATTAAGTCATCAAACAGCTTGGTTTTGATATTAGGCAACCATGAAAATTAGGCAAAAGGGCAAACTTATTTTGACATAGATTTTGAATAACTCTATCGATTTTGAGACCCAGGTCTCTATTTTTCAGTAGGGAGATAAAGAAAAAAAAAAAAAAAAAAAAAAAAAACTATGAATTTTTCTTTTCCTCCTAAAAAAGTTCTTAGAAACATCTAGGATAAGGCAGCTTATTTGCCTAATTTAAAATTTTTCATTGCCATGCTCTCTTCTTATGAGGGATGCCCTCTAAGTATTAAAATTAGGGTACAACAAAGGTAAAATAATTTCCAGAAACATTATGAATAGTTCATAAATGATCTTTTGCAACAAAAACATTATGAAAAGTTCATAAACGAATTTTTTCATTCTCTTAATTAATATGTTGCAAAAGTATCTATTTATATGTTTGTAGTTACATCTGCATTAAATTAGTTTAATTACAATGCTATTTTGAAGAATCGCTTAGTTTGGTTTATGCTATCAAAATACTTGTAAACAAATCTATACTATTAAAATATGTGTGTGTTTGTCTGTCTGTTCATTTGTTTGTTGGTAGCATCATCTCCAAAATGGCGGGGAGTTGAATTTCGAGAGAGGTATCCTGCATTCCAAAAATTTGTGGGAAGCCATTTCGACCATTCTCATCTTCGTATGAATTTAATCAGTGGAAATATTAATTAAAAAATCAGAAAATGCTAATTTTCACACTCATTTTTCTGAAATTGATTTTAACATATAAAAATTATACTACCTGAAATTGCAATGTAATTAATATCATGCCCAGCCATTTTTGAAAAAGGGCCATTTTGTCCAAAGCCAGTTAGTCTTGCATAAATGAGACGTGGATTAATTTTACATAATTCTGATGGACCTAATTTATATTTTTCCATAACACCTGAAAATTACAATTATTGAAATAAGTTACAAATCTGATGATAAGATATAGCATAAAATCAAAATAAATCAAACAGTAAATATTATTACTATAAAAAAGCCCTAAACAATATTGCACATAACACATAATCTTTTGATTAAAATCAGAGTACAATCAGTAGTTACACTTCAAACTACTAATAACGTTAAACACAACACAATGTAAAGTGCACCTAAAGAGAAAGCTAACCTGGAAATATCTCAATTCATGCGAAACTAACAAAACGCAATAACATATTCTATCTTAAACAAAATCTGAAAGCAGATGGTCTCTCCGGCCTTATATAGTTATCAACCTGCCGCCGAGATATTTATAGTATTTTCTGCTTCTTGAAATTACTGGAAAGCAATATGAGGATCGAATTATGATTGCAGATAATATAGTGATCAATCACATTTATTCAATTACAATACCTATTATTGTAATACAGGGAACAGACCAAAATGTTACTAAGTTTGGCAACTGTCGGCAATTTATTTCCGAATTTGGCGACTAAATAAGTCCCCAAAATCGTTGTCAGCTTGGTGATATCTCACCAAATTACCAAGATACCCATTTACTCATTATTAAATGGACTTGCCCTATATTCTTACTTTTCCAGCTTAGCTCGTCTCTGCAGATTTTTCATGTTATATTACGCAGCAAAATTTCTCAAATGATTGCACTAAAATTATCTACCTATGTACAAAATTCATAACAATATGATTATTGTGTCTTCAACTGGTTGAAATACAAATCTACTTTATGCAAGTTAGTCTGCATAATTAAGAAGAAATGAAATATTTTTATGTCTCAAAGTGATGCTTCAAAATATTTTGCCTTTCTCATTCTATCTGTAAAATACTATTTGCAGGAATTAAATATTTCAAATAAATCTGAATTTGTGAATATAATAAAATAATTACTTGTTTATTTTTATGTACTGCCATTCAATTCATCCATGATTAATTTACTTCTACTAGTAAACACTACAGCAGCATTAAAATAGCATTCCCTTTTGTCATTTTTTAATAAAATGCTGAGTAGTTCAGCTACTTTTATGCATGCCTCCCCCATTCAGTCACTGTGAATCAAAGTAGGAAAGTCTGAATTTACACAAATGATGCAATGGAACAAACTATCAGAGTTTTACATGCAATTTTATGTTTTTGTCAGTTGGTAAACCTAGTTTAATAAAGTGTCTCCTGCTCCAATGGAAATAAAGAAGGGATTAATAATATGAAATTTATAGAAATGTCTCTAAAGGAACTTCATACACAGGAAACTGCTAATTACATGTATCTAAACACAACTTGAAAATTAAACGGCACAGTATTAAAATGATAAATGAAAATTGTAAAATAATTATGATTTTCACACTAATTTATATTAAAATTCCAAGCTTCAGAGATAACCCATTGGCTTTATCAGCCAAAATCTAAGCAAGTAACATTCTCCATTGATCCCCTTTTATTGAGATTTTACATGGAGTTGCTTTACTTTTTGTAGACTTCAGATGTGCATAAAAATGTCCTTAAAATCAATGAAATTACTAAAATCACCTCAAGATCATGTTGTAATACAGAACTTTCAATATCCAGCACACTTGAACCGTCATTGTAAAAAGTATAATACTCTTAGATGGAACTGGAGGGGGGAGCAGCAGTTCTATGTTCAATGAAAGGAGCTGAACATGAGAAAGTCATTCAGTTGGATTATCTTTACGTATTTTTATTAATTAAGCTGTTAATATTCAAAAGTGCACTTATTATGCAGTCACTAATTTACATATTTACTTCCCTTTCTAAGTATTCTATCATTTGCTTTAGGATGATTATTTCTAAAGTAAGATAAAGAAGATAACATCAGTTACACTATTTTAAATCTACAATTTTCTATTTTATATGTATAACATATCCAAAATTTCAGAAACAAAATATATCACAACAAAATATATCACATACTTGCTTTTAATGCATTAAATCATTGGTTTCAAAAACTCAAATTGCATGTGGGCCACACGTATGACAAGAATGAAGCTGCCAGGCTGCATGCATGACCTGAAAGCAGCTGGCGAGCCAGAGTTTATTAGCAGAACTTCAAATAACTAACTAAAGTTTAAATTTATTTCAAATTTCAATTAATTTCAATTTACTAAACATGCATAAACAATAAGAAAAATAATGCAAAGGAAAACATTTAAACTCATCATGCTTATCTTTTATACCTGTAACATATTTCTGTTGGTTAAATTTCATAATTCAAATGTATTAGCACCTAAATATTAAATTTTTAGACCGACATTTATTTCAAATACTTCTAATATCTTGAATTAACCACCAAAAATTTACTTTTAACATAAACCTAAAATCAATGAATTATGAAAATATACCCTATTTTCAGAGAAAACTTCCCTGGTGGAACAAAACTTGAGAATAAATAAGAACAATTTAACCTCTTTCTTTTATGTATTAATTTTTTTATCAACACATGCAGAAAAAATATGTAGCCTTAGAGAAGAATTACTAGAAACTATCGTAATCATGGATTGTAGATGCTCACTAGTCAAGTGGGCTCTTTTGTTAGATTTATTTAATATTTTTTACCTTAAGCTTCTTTAGTGGGTCTGTCAGAGGGCTATTATATGCATTACACATTACTTTTGGTTGTGAGCGAACGCTTGCTTTCAACTCAGTTGGAATGCAATGAATGAAATATTTGCTAGCACTTTTCTTAACAAACTCTATTTTGCAATCCACTGAAAAATGAATTTATCCTACACTAAAATCCATAAGCATTGTATCAAAACAAATGCATAACTGAAACATATTGCAGAGTCCCATAAAATCGTTTCAGGGGCCACATGCAGTCTGGAGCCACCAGTTTGAGACCACTACATTAAACTATTGTCTTCCAGGAACAAAATTTATTAACTTGATATGCTATAGAATTCAGAGAAGAGAAATTTATTGGTAAATATTAGAATGTTGTGTTTGAGTACCAAGTAGACATTCTGGTTAATCAGAAAAAATACATCACCTGGACGAAAAGGTTCAAGTAAAACATCAGCATTTGAACATAACCTGGATACAACACTAGCTGACTTGGAATTTTTCAAATCAATGACAAAAGATCGTTTCCCACGACTCAAAGAATCAACATTTATGTCAGCTCCTGGCTAAAAAAATATATATCATTAATGCAAACTAACACACAGCTACATAAAAAAGAACATAAGCTGAAATAAATATTTACATACTGAAAGAATTCATAAATATGGCTATACATTTGAAGTAAACATAATGTGTAGCCGTACGGTGAAATGGTGAATAGATGCTCAATTTGAATCTTAATTTTTCATTTCCAAAAAAAGACACATAGTGGAGTTTGTATTGTTAACACTGGATTAACAGGGCCCGTCATTCTGATGGATTTAGAAACTTCATGAGCAAAATTACAAAAGCCATTATTTTTATAGTTTTCCAATTTATGCTGATAATTAGTGATGCAATGAGATCAATACAGAGCCAAGTTTACTTCTCGTTTAGCCCTTTTACTTTGAGGGTTTTGTATGATGTGCTACTATCTACGGATACCTGTCAAAATGGCGGGTAAGTTAGTTCCATAGTTAATTGTAATAAAACATTTTTTGTGAATTAATTTTTCTGGTGACAAATGTAAAAGTAGTTAGAACATAGACACTAAATAAAAATTATAATTCAACAAGATAGCCTTCTATAACTTTGACACCTTAGTTCTATGCTGTAGTTGCCTAAAAGTTTTGTGAAATTTATTGCAATATTTGTTTCAAAGCATGACTCTGCATTCAAAAAGCAATTAAGTAAATAATACTTTTTCAATCTAGGAACTAATCAGAGATCTGTCTGCTATGTCACCTGTGATTATCTGTCAATCGTATGTGCCTAAAGCCTATATGTAATCTGCAGTCATTGCATTCCAGTCAATATGTCAAGACAAGTTTGAGTTAGTGCAAGACAACTGAGAAGAAAGTATTAGATTATTATTAGAGGAAAGTAATAGTTTTATTTTATTCTGATGAAATACCATTCTTTAATCACCCTTGGTAATTCAAAAAGAGATATTAAACTGCCATACAGAATAGTTAGTAGCAGGGAAGATTACTCTGTTACAAGCTTTAGTAAGTCTGTTAATACTAAAACCACCATAAATTTTTCTTTACCCCAATAAAAACAACTACAAATTCGTCAAATTGATGTTTATCAGTAGTTCTAGTGTTAAGATTGTGTTTTTAAATTAAACAATCTTTTTTATAAATATCTAAGAAAATATATATTTCCTAAATCCATCAATTTGATGGGCATTCATAAATGCAGGTATACAAAAATGCCATATGAAATTCATACCATAGATTATCAACATTCATTTACAACCTATTTTTAGAATTTAGTTATAATTCCTAGTGTTACTATTTTGAAAAGCTTAAAAGTTTGTACATTAAATACACCATATCTTCTACAAACAAATTAGACTTGCAATATAACTGGGTAATTTATTCATTTCAGCTATTTAATTTTTTCTGCTTTAAATTGATGAACAAAGGTTTGTTGATAAAGATTAAGAATAAAACCAATTAAAATAATAATTATTAGTTTAATGATATCTTGATTTCCTTCTGAATTCTATGAAATCATTGTAATGCTATTTCATTTTATTTCACAAATTTTATTTTTTGGGGGGAAGGATGCAATGTAAAATTCTAGATTTATTATAAGAAGTCACAAATTCCATACAGTTGCTTCCATGAAACATTAACTTAATTTTTTGTTAGTAATGCAATCTTTAACATATTAATTTCAAAATACTGGAGTACAGTTCTTAGTTAATGGTGTTGTTATGAATATTTATAACTGAGAATCTGTTTAGAACGATTCTTAAAATATTGAAACAGAATTAATATGCTGTAGTTGTTTCGTGAAATTTATTGTAATATTTGTTTCAAAGCATGACTCTGCATTTCAAAAAGCAATTAAGTAAATAATTCTTTTTCAATCTAGGAACTAATCAGAGGTCTGTCTGCTTTTAGAATTTCAGCAAGAATTTAGACCAAATTTTTAATGCACATGTTAGCAAAAAATGATTTAATATACCACCCAGATGGTATAGTGGTTAGGCAAGCTGACTGGCTTTGAATGCATGGTTGTAACTGTCTGTCCCTTCACAGGAGGCAAAGGTGGCCTACCTATTAGGTTCCTCCATAATCAAGTGACCACCACTTCTGGCCGTAGTAGTGGCCAAGCTGAAGTTGGCTGAGGGCCCTCATTGGAAAAAAAAAAGAATTAATGCACTGTTATTATTATTCTGCAGTTTTACTCAAAAACATTTAAATGAGTCATGTTTATCTAATTAAAATATACATTAATACACATTCAAATCACAGATATAATCGTGAACCTGCTCAAATCAGGTGTGTATCAAGTTATTGAAGATTTAAATATGTGAAAAATCATTATGAGAGTAGTTCCTAAGTTTTTGAACAATAAACACGTAAAAATTTGCATGTTAATTTGTCACTTCAGATTATATGAAAAAAATGACGTCATATTTTACTTCTTTGTATTCTCAAGGCTCAAAGCCAATCTGAAATAACATCATTCTGAGAAATTTACAGTTCGACCTCCTCATCCGCGACCATGAGCACAAACATGTGTGTGCCATTCAGATCGAATTATTCTCAAAATAGGGTGGAAGGATGGGGACTTTCTTTTCCTTGAGCATATAAATTCTCTCTTTTCGTATGTCTTCAAGTGACTTTTCACATCACAGCAAGTAATAATGCCCCTTTAGGATGAGTGTATGTGTTTTCGCAGAATGCTAGCTACGGTTGCATTTGAGATGGTCAAACCTAAAAGCCTAAGCAGCTGTAATGTACTTTTTACAACGTATCTTGGATGAAGTCTTCTTGTACTGCTACCAATACTGATAGCTATGTTGCAATTGTTGTACTGACATTCAAGGAACCTACATTAGAGAGTACTGAATACAGATTAAATGGTAGAAAATAATTTTTGCAAAATTATTCACAATTTCTGAGATAGATCTTGCATAGCTATATAAGTTTTAAAAGTAACATGAAATAGTAAGTTATTTCATGTTACTTTTTTAACATGAAATAGTAGTAATAAAATGGAAATACATAGTAAGTTTCAAAGATTAGGCTTCTAGCTGCATAATTTTTTTAATAGAAATAGATTCAAAAATTGTGAATTTTTTAATTACATATTTCAAATTTACATATATTTTAAAGTTAAAATATTTAAAAAAATTTGTAAAAGAGTTCCCCCCAACACCAAATTCAAATATAACAAAAGGCTGTTGGAAAATTTAAATTGAAGAATAATCATATAAAAGCAAAATTTTGGAAATTAATAGTGGTTAAGTTATGATTTATTTTATGAAATACAAAAACAAAATGTGTATACAATGAAACTGCAAAATACATACAACACATTTTTTAGAAATGAAGTTTAGCATGAGAAACTTCGGAACACGGCTCGAGGCAAAGTCCTACCTTGCAATCTTTGTATCAAATTCATGTTTCTTTGCAAATTTTTTTAAAACAACAAACACAACACTGTCTACGATGCTCTTTCTTGATGGGATTGGGGAAGGGGGTTGTACGGCTAGCAAAATGTCCAGCAGTTAGTCTCATGCAGAGCTGTAGCTAGGGTTTTCAGCACCCAGGGACAACTGACGATCTCGTGCACCCCTCCTATCTGACAAAAGTGGAGAACATTTCATTCTAAAAATTCATAACACAGTACAAAGTCCAAAATCTGTAATGATCTAAAATCCAGACCTAAAAACCAACACCAATGTTTTTGTCGTAGGCTTTACGCATGCACAATTTGATTCCCCCTTCCGCGGATAATAAAACATCTGGAGAGTTCCAGTTCTTAATTTCACTTCAACACTAAATAAAATTGCTGCATATCTGCTTGGCACACATCTCAAACAGAAACATTCCACATATATACATTGTTGATCTGATGCCAACCTGGTAAATCATTATTTATTACACTTTCCTGCACGTTTACCAACACAGGACAACTTGAGTAATGACTCATGTAGCGATGCCTAAACAATTTATGTTAGTAATTGAATAATATAGGAGAATAGTAACTTTTTACATTGACATTACACGTGGTAATGATTACAGATATAAGTTAAATGCGCTAAAAATTGTTGACAAGGAAAAATTTACTAATTCAGAAGTCAAACAACAAAAATCAGCATTAATTTACAAATTTTTAATTTTGTAAATTAACGCTGATTTTTGTTGTTTGACTTCTGAATTAGTATTTATTCGGCGTGTTATTGTGTCTTAATTAAGGAAAAATTTAACCAAAATTTCTTTCCATATGCTAAAAACAGATTTTCTTGATGATACTCATAGACCCAAAGATTACATTTAGGTCTATTTGAATTAAGAATAACTGATTTGTTATTCACATAAACCCAGAACCAGCGTCAGGGCTCGTATTGCCACACCGGGTCGAGAATTTACAGACAAGATTACCTACAGAGACTGCATCAGGCGGTAAGATATCTAGTGCCAGCCCTCAATAAGGCTTAAGTATATGTGGGAACTTATTTATTCAGGATTCAGAAAAGCGGTTAATGTTCCATAATCGGGGCTAGCGCCAAACTTGGTGAGAATTTTTATTTGGCACAATTTTGATTTGGTTGTGGTTTTTGGCTGTATATTTTCTTGTGGCAAACCTAGAGCTTTATTTTGGTAATTGTAAGAGTGCAAATTTAGTGTAGCCAAAAGATTTTTTTAAAATTTAATTCTGAAATTGTATCCATTCTGTGTTTGTTTTTAAAAGTTTTACTGTTTATATTATTAGTCTATATATATATGTGTGTTTAATATTATATTTATATAAATATTTGCAGAAGGTTAAGCTATTGTTGGTGGGATAATGTTAGATTTCACATGATGTGAAGTTATGAATGTTTTCATTTAAATTTATTTTATTAATTATTTTTGTTTAGTTTTGTTTCTTGCATGTGGCAATCAAAAGATGTGGAATATTTAAAGTTTTGAACAAAAGTTGTTTAGTGTATTGAATTCCACGACGTTGTTTTATCATTTAATCAATTTCATTTTTACCATTCTGTTTGCACTTAATAATCGCAGTTCACCACTGTAAACAAAAATTTGCTATTCTGTTTACATTTAAAACTCACTTCACAGTCCTCTGATTTGATAAGTGTATACATTTATTTACTCAATAATTATTTACAAGGATTGTTCATTCTGCTATTTCATGATGAATTACATAGATAGGACTATGTTTTTACTTGCAAAGCAGTTGGACTTTGTTTTACTCATCTAGTATTTTATCATCTCATTTTACTATTCTGTTTACATAAAATAATGGTGTTTCACTACTGGAAAACTTTAAAGTTACTACTCTGTTTACGTTTAAAAATCACATCTTGGTGCTTTCATTGCCACCAAAAAATTTCGTCAAATTTTGAAGGCCAAAATAGTTTGGCGCCAAATTATCCCGCTTATGGAATATTAACCAGATAGACAAGAAATAGACATAGTATAATAAATAACTAATACAATTCAAGCTTGATTATCTCAGTGCATGATAGAAGTAAGATAAAATTTAACGGAACAACTTGTCATTAGTTACCAAGCTTCAGGTTACGTAGCCAAATATGTATAGTGAACAATAGCTAAATTTGATGATGATAGCCGTGAATTTTAAAGGTTTTCAGATATCACAATAATAAAGGATTTTCCATAAAATTTTCCAATTAACGGATTTTGTAAAGAAATGTGGAAAGATGGTAATAAATGAAGATGATATAAAAGAAGTTTTTCATTGCGATGACAATGCTTCTCAATCATCAATCAATTGATAAATGGAGAAATCTGTAGTATGGTTCTAAATCCAGAAAATACCGCTACCGATAGTGAAGAAAGTTAGAGAAGTTACTGAAAACGAAAAAATTTCGATTGACAAATTAGTTGCAATTCTAATAATGTAACTAAACAGGGGATTATGTCTGTCTACAGAATTAAAGAGAAAGTATCAGCACAATTAACGAAGCAACTCAAACAAATTACATTGAAAAAAATGTTTAATAAGGTAAATATTAAGCATTGTTTTCTTGTAAATTTTGATACTTTTTAGATCATAAATACTTCATTATTTCATAAATGCCAATTTCATATTCTTAATTTTGTAATTTCTACAGGCCATTTTACTAAACTTAAACTGATAATCTAATATCCGGAAAAATCCCAAATCCGGAATCGCCGAAGTCCCGACAAGTCCATATTTCAGACTTTGTACTGTATCAATTTGGCACCCACTGGAAGCTGTGCCTGGGGACGAATGTCCCTCCTCTAGCTACACCCCTGGTCTCATGGATTGAGAGTTAAACTACATCTGCCAGAGTAAATACTGGAATTTCCATCTGAATACTTAGCTTAATAATTTGCAAACGGAACTCTAGAAGCATTACATTTTGCAATGGGTTATCCTTTTTATAAAAGATATAAGCATTCCACAATGACTGATCCATGAATTGTCTGGAAATTTTTATGTAACATTTTCCTTGTTGTTTTCTGAGAGTAGGATAATATGGCATTTCTTGATCACAGAAATCAGCCCCACTCACCGTGTTATTGTATTCACAAACAAAACTGGTTTCATTACAGTTTTGTTTGACTTGCATTTCACCAAACAGGAACTTGCATCATAAATTCTACTCATCGGAAAAACTCTCTTTTTGTCCTGTGATTTCAGGGCCATAACTTTCCCCCTTTGGTAAGCAAAGACTTCACATTTAGGGATTTTCTTCTTTGCAAAATTTGGAGTAAGATCTTTCCTGGTCTTATTTACAGTGCCATATGAGTCTGTTTTTTCTGAAACTGTCTGATAATTGTGAAGAGATATGGTAGTTGTCCATAGTTGCACAGTAATCTTAGCCAAGGAATCTGTCAGGTGCAAAACAATTTTATTGGAAACTGGAAAATTCATAAATTTAGGGTTATATACACTTCCATTACCTCTGTATATCAGAAAGTCTGAAATATACACTGTTTCTGCTTCACAAAGCACAAAAAACTTAAGGCCAAATATTGCTCCCCCTTTTTTTTTTATACAAAACAGAAAAGAATAAACTAAGTTCCTTCTGTTCTGTATCTGTCAATTTTTTCCATCTCAATCTTTCTTTAGGGACTGCTTTATTGATATACTGTTCAGCATATCTGTAGGCCTCTTAAAAAATAAAATACTAAAAATCTAAAATACTTTTTTGTAATATTATTTTAACATAAGATCATCAAAAAAGAGTTCAAAATAACCCAAAACAGTTGCATCATTTTCCATTGAGAAAGTTGCTCTGGGATTCCCAAGAAAATGAAATGAAGCAAGAGCTGGAATATTTTGTACCACTGTCGAATATTTTGAATAAACAATGAATTTTCAGATTCATCACTATCTGCAGAAATCCAAGAAAGAGAGGAAATTTTGCAATATCCAAGAAATTCTTTTGAGATTTGAAAAGAACATGTAAAATGCAGCAAAATATGCTTATGTATTTACAGAAATATGAACAACTAATGTCATCTGTTAATCCAAATCTGAATAAACAATTAAACATCACAGGAAAGCCAAAATGAAACCATGAATGGGAAAAGAGTGGGTTGCATAGCTAAATAGAATGAAAAAATGCATCCTGGATATCGGGCTTGTACAAATTTTGCTACTTCTACGTTGGCCGTGGAAATCGAGGGATACGCAGTGAGAGGGTTAATATATAGAATGAACTAAAGAAATTTACCCTTATATTATTTCCTAATAATTTAAAAAAAAATATTTAACACTAATATTAACGTTTTCTAAAAAAATCTCACAAATAAAAGTAATAAAAATATTACAGAAAGAAAACACAAAATTTGTACATGTTTTAAAAATAGTACAGTTTCAACAAACTGAAAAATATTTTTTATGTTTTATTAAATTATACAACAAGAATTAATATAATAAAATGAATAAATAAGTAAATACTCTATCTATTCTTGTTACAGAGGCTCCATGATCTCTTAGAATCATACCACAGAAAGGAGCTGGAGCTAAACCAGCAAATTCAATAACTTTTATTCCGCGCAGCGCCATAACTATTTTCCTTATTCACTTTAAAACAACTACCACAATTATAATTGCTACAGTACTTTTTCCATCAACTGGATTTTATCTTTCATTTCGCTTGTAAAGTATTCGTAATTACCAAGCTATAAAGGAGTGAAATAAACTTAAATATAATAATGACAACAATAATAAATGCAATGCGAGATAAGAAAGAGATGATCAAACAAGGAAAAAGATACGTAAAACAAATTAGCATACAACAGACCGTTGCTAAGTTACACGATATGACATTGTTGCCAATCTCCATTAGAAACAGTGTCAAAGGGAGCAGAGGGTAGTTGTTAAAATGGTTAAACCACGGCGTAATCTTCATGTTAAAACCAAACATTGGGATGTCATTTTCTCTTCTGAAATTTTTCACGAGAAAACAAGAAACTTTACTTAATTCTAGCATACTGTGCTAATTCATTCTCAAACTCTTTTTTTTTTCAGACGCTATTGACTGTGTTACCATGTTCAGTTTCCTTTTATGTGCATGCGTACTAACGCATTACATCATTTTAATATTATTTTTTAATTAACTTGCATTATTTTAATGTTATTTTTATTTCCTTTTTGTTGTAAAGGTAAACCAGTTATAAATGCAACCTTTTGATATGCTATAAGACCTGTAGTAACGTGCAAAACGAAATGTGTTGTCCTTACCTTTGTAAACAAATTTTGATTTTAGTAGTAACTACCCTAGTTGCAGATAATTATTTCAATTATTTGAAAGAATCATTCATAAAAATTTTCGATGAAGATCATACTTGAAATTTAATATTAATATGTTCTGAGGAATTATGACGAAATAATATAGGAATAAAATACTTTTTTGTAATATTAGAACAGTATAAAGTATTTTATTATAGGTTGTTTGGTTGTTTTTTTAAGATTAAACAGATTCAAAGATTATTTTACTATTTTTCCATTCCATATTGTTAGATTAATGTATGTTCAAATTCAAAAAGATAAACCATGGATTTTAACGCATTTAAAAACCATTTACTTGAAGCTACGCATACTGCTGACTATCCTAAGTTCTTAAAAACTATCAAGAACTACACATCATTTGACAACAGCTGGAGTGAAATATGTCATAAAAGAAGCGGTGATACAATTTTGCATCTAGCCGCTTCTTCGGGTTGCGTAGAAATTATGAAGTAATTTTTTTTTTTTTTTTTTTTAAATTTCAAAGTTGTTTTTCTGTTTGTATGTATGATTAATATGCATATTTATTGTAATTAAAGTAGAACTTAAAATGTATCTTACTGAAATAAATTTAGTCTGAATTCTTTAGCTTTGACCCTGATATGTTGTGTTCTATAAATTATAATAAGCGAAGAGTAAGTGATGGAAAAAATTTGTGCAGTTAAGATGTTTTTCATAATTTTTCTCCCTTTTGCAACTGAACGGTTTTTATGTATTGTCACATCTTTTTTAACTCCGGGTTATCTTGCATCAATTCACTGAATGCCACAAAGTTTGGATAATGCAGAAGGCAGCACATCAATTTCATAATCGCAGTAAAAAAGAAATCTTCTCATAAGCAGTTTCCCTTCATAATAAAAGTGATTCATCGGATATGAGGCGAGATTATTTTGCATTTCACTTTCTTTCTATGCCTACGTTAAAATGTTCTTAATTTTATTTTTTCAACCCTTAATCATATTTTATTAATCGTTTTTTTTTTTTTTTTTTTTTTTCTATTTTGATCATGAGAGGTATTTGTAGTTGCACTGAGGTATTTTTTAAACAATTTGCCTTCGTATTTGGTTTGTCAACATCCTTTGATTCCGGGCACCGATTTCTGAATTTATATAACACTGAACTAATGAAATTTAAAACGTTAGGAGCAAACTGATAGCTGGTGATTTGCTTAGTACAGTGTCTGATGCAATTCATTAAATGTTTTGCAGTTAAACTCCATTACAAATTTGGATTTTTTTTTTAACTATTTGTTTAATTTCTAGTAAGTTAAAGGTGCTTTGTCTTCTTTATTATCATTATTATCTCTGGCATCATTTTTAATGTATGAAAGTCCTTAAAATCGTTGAAAACTTCTGGCCAGGACTGATGCCAGCAAGCATTTAGTGTTGATGACTTAACATTGAACTGCATGTGAATGAAACTCTAGCATTGAACAAATTAAACAATTAAGATAGTGCCTTGTATATGTAAAAATGCATTCACCAAGGTTACCATAGTTACCTGTTAGCAAATATCTGAATGTAAGACATAAGTATTAAACATTTACTCTATAACGCATTAAACTAGAAAATCCATATATGTGTAATATTATTTCATGCAATTCCTCATGATACTGAAATGAAAATCTTGATCGTATGTAATGGGCCGAATGGCACTGCCATAATCTGTTTTATGAAGGTAAATATTAATGTTGAAAATGACTACTAGAACACTATTAATTACATACTACTTATTTTAATTTCTTCTTCATATCATGCTTTTAAAAATCCCTCATCCACAAGATTTTCATAAAATGTTATTGTAAATCTTGGACAAAAAAATTATCATGAATTTTTGTACTGCACCCATGACTAATGTGCAAATTTAATACTTTTCTATTACAGCAGCCTTGGTGAGAAACAGATGGTTACTGAGGTGCATAAGCAGCTCATTTGATGTGTATGTACTCCTAAGATAGCCAACCAGTAAAATAAGAGGACATTATAAAATAGTGTACTTCTTTGTAAAGCTGAATAATAACACAAAGAAAAAAATTGCTACAACAGTGGATTTTAGGGGTGTTTACTACAATGATAGTGAATGCTTTTTGGTTCAAGTTTCAGACAGAAATGCACAGAGGTACAGCTTTTCATCACCTGGAGGACTACATAAGTCAGGCTGAAGTAAAGTATATGAAACATGCCAAATTTGGATGTTTCATTGTCAGATAATGATTTTAGTATGTTAATTTTACTTTTTTCCATTATTTTGCCATAGTTTTATTTGGCTTATCTTATTTTCTTAATAACACGAGTTGAGGGATTGTGGGATGTTTCTCTCTTGGTTACATATTGTTTATATTTAATGCTATTTGTTAATTTTGAAACTATATTTTTAAATGGTGAAAATAGAGTCCCTGTTTGACTTTTATAATGCTGGTTTGCTGACAGAAAGGTATGACTTTATTTATTTTAAGTTTCTATAACAAAAGAAAGATAAAAGGATCTTGAAGATTTTAGACATTTTTTAGTGCTTCATAATGTGGCATTTAAAGCTTCTTAATCTTGTGTTAGGACTCACACAAACTCAGTTGAAGATCTATGCGTGGAACTCGCAGATATGATGATAAATTTGATTCTTGTCTTGACAAGTATATGTGGTGTAAAATGCACAAAACTAATCATAAAGAATAGTTTTTTGTTATTTATATAGGCCATAAAGAATCTTTATCTTCCCTCTTATAGATGAATTTCTTGGAAAAAAATAAGTGTTTTATTTTTTTTTTAATGTATCATATAGTTGTCATGTAGTAATTTATAGTTCATCATAGCGGGTGTGCAATGCCATGATTGTACAATTTTCTATTTTTCAAAGCAAAAGCAAATTGGTGTGTACATGGGAAGAACAACAGTAATCTGTCATATAATGCACTATATTTAATGTTTAAAATATCATGTAATCCATTTTTAAGAATTCTAATTTATTTTAAATTACTAGTGTATTTTCCTTTGATATGTTATTTAAAATAAATTTCAGGTGTGAATTTATATGTTGTTTGTTTTAAATAAATTGCTTATAAAATTGAGTTAAATGAAGTAATAAGTACAAATTTATACTAAATTACTTCTGTAGGTATATATTAAATAAATTGTGTTCCATAGACATTGAGTAAATTTCTTGTGTGTATTAGTAGCTGTCTGCTTCTCATCAAGTAACTGCAAGTACTGCAAATTTTACCTTATTTTCCTGTTATAATATTATGACTTAATTACAATACATTTTGAATTATAAAAACATTGCTGTCTAGTTTCCATACATAAATTGCCATTTTAAAGCCTTTCTTCAATAATAAAATGGATATCTGTGACATCAAATTGAAATCTGAGATGAAAACAGTAAAATTTTATTGGTAGTGAAATCATCATGTGTTTGATCATTCATATAGGAAAACAAAAAATAACCAACAACTATCGTGTAAGATTGTGTATGAAGGTTACATAACAATTTACTGGATCTCTTAGCTGCTACTTTGTCATTATTATTGTATGTAAAAATTGGCTAAATAGACAACAGTTTAAATAAGCATGTATTTTGTTTCTTCTTTTTGTTCCCTTTATAATTCTTTAACAATGGATTATTTATTTTAATGAATTTCAGATATTGCAAAGAAACAGGCCTTAGTAGCATTCTACAAAAGACGAATTTTGATGGGAAAACTCCTCTACATATTGCAGCATATTCAGGCCATTTGCCATGTATTAAGTATTTATTATCAGAAAATGTTCCTGTTGATCCTCTCAAGAGAGCAGATTGGTAAATGATGAGTGTAATTATTAAATCATCAGTATATGTAGTATGCTAAGTTCTGTTTTAATATAAAAGTTTTGATAAAAATATATTTACGGGTGCCCCTTGGCAAAAATTGGCATATTTTGGCGGTACAGTCAAAAGTCGTTAATTCAGACACCCATAATCCGGAATAATCCGGACCAAAGCTACAAACTTTCTGCGCTGCATGCGCTTTTTACGCTGCGCATATGCCTGCGCACGCATAATACGTTTTTGCGTGCTTTAATGTATAACGGACGGTATAAGCTAAGCTAAAATTAATCTATTTCAGTTAATGTTGCAGATTGCATTGTTCCTTAATCTTCGAATTGGATCCAGCTTATTATTTTTTTGCAGACTGTTAGAGCAATTTTATAAAAGTAAGCTTGAACTTTCGATTATGTCAAATAAATTTCCGATTCTGGAGCTGCCGAAGGATCTACAAAGCGAAAGGCGTGTTTTCGATGTCCATCAAACAAAAAGTGGAATTGCTGCAAAAAATGGATAAAGGCATATCCTTTGTTTCTCTAACCATTCCGAAAATCTGTTTATCAATTTCACGCTGGCTCTGCGGTGGGGGGGGACACGCGCGCGCAATGAACTGGAAGTTGATCTGTCAGCACTATCCTTATCTTCAGGGCAGATGTTTTTATTTTATTCGGCTTATAATTCCTTACTAAATGTAGTATTTCATCTCGATGTACTCCGTCTTTGATATGATTTAAAATGAAATTCCTCGTCATTATAAATATCACGAATACACATCATTAATAGTTTTCTGGTTGCAATTTTCTAATTTCGACTATGTGTAATGTATGCTTTATGCATGCGCATTGAAAGAAATGTTTAATAAAGTAAACAAATACAATATTAAGCTTTTTTTTTTTTGTAAATTTTGATACCCTTTAGATCATAATTGCTCTTTATTTCATAAATTACGGTTTCATATTTTTAATTTTATAATTTCTGCATGCCATCTTACCAGATTTAAACTGATGATCTATAATCCGGAAAAATCGATAATCCGGAATCGCCGAAGTCCCGACGAGTCCGGATTAAAGACTTTTGACTGTACATGGATATCGAGTTTGTGCAATTCTTTGACTTGTTATTTTATTTTGTCTTTTGTAGTGGTGATTTTTTGCCCCAAAATTGCCGTTACACAAAGACAAAATAATAAGACAAAGAATTGCACAAACTCAGTATCCATGTACACATCGACCTATTTTCATTAAAAAAAAAAAAAAAAAAAAACAGAGAATTCCACAAACTTGGCATTGTGTACTCCTCTGACTTTATCCATGTACACATTGACCTATTTTCACTTCAAAAAAAAAAAAAAAAACCAGAGAAACGCACACTCCCTCGACTTTGTTCATGTACACATCAAACTATATTCACTTCAAAAGTTAAAAAGAGCCAAAAAACAATATATAATCTCAATAAACTAATTTTAAATCAAACAATGAAATGACATAAAAAAGGAAATTCATCTTTGCACTACACAAAGAAAATATCTCCTTACCTTATTTGTGAATTAACGTGTTTTCAGTCAAACAAAATTCCTTAAAAACATCCAAAAAATTCCTTAAATTATCTGAACTAGAATCTGTATAGTAGCATTGCTACATAAATTCAGAAAAATAAGGGTAAAAAAAAATCCTCCATAGCGCAGTTATTGTCTGACGTTCAACCATACACATTTCCTTCCTACAAACAAGACACTTAATAATGGCTACTAAGTAAACCTTCATTTACACATCAAGTCATTTAACGCTCTTTTTTCCTTTCTTTCCACATTGTACAGAAACTTCAAATTAATCTTACCTCATTCAGCCATTTTTTCGTCTAAACCACAAAACAAGCAATGTACTTCCCTAACCAACACATACCACAAGCCCTTCAAATCTTTTCCCATAATTCAAAATTTGCCACAATCATGCAACCGATTATGTCATAATAGGGTTTCCATAATATTCAACTATTCAAGTTACCATAAATGAAACAACAACTTGGCAATAAAGGAAACAACAACTTCATGATAATACAAGAGGCACCCTTCAATCTACTCTAACCAAAGTTTCAATATATATTTTTCAAAATTGGGATGGAACTAAACATGGCAGGGCACGACATCTAACATGCTAAAATCCCAGTTGAACCCAGCTTTCTTTTAGTGCACAAGTATATGCTTCAGGTTATGCAGATATGATTTATTTTTCATTTATGTACATATCTCACAGCTCATATCACCATGTGAAGATTATAATAATTTGTGTGCTTACATTACGGAAAACAAATTTGCTCTTACTTTATTATAGCAAAAGATGAAGTGCACATGGCCATGATAAACCTAACATTTAAAAAAACTTTTATTGTAGGTTTTTTTTTATTTCCTAATTTTTTTAAACTGCTGTAAATCTTAAAAGTGTTTTAGTATGTCTATTAAAAAATTCTGTCTATAAGTGAATTTTGGCCACAAACAAATATCAAGTTATATCGTCAAATATTTTTTATTATTTAAATTTTGTTATATATTTATGGTACTTGCGAAAATCTGTGACCGCAACAATGCACCAAACCAAAAAAAAAACGATGTGTACACCATTGACTTCCTTGTACGGAATATTAAATTATAGCTTTTTTTTTTTTTTTTTTTTTTTTCTTTTCATTTAACATATTGGATTAATTAAATCTACTCCGCGATGCATAACCAACTAAACGATGCACGCTTTAAATTCACTATATTGTTAGCTAGCACACTCTGCACAGGTTCACTAAAAGTATTATTCGTTATATATAACTCAGATTCACAAAATTATATCATTAAAGAATTATCGTTATCTTCGATTATGGTAACTTGGCGAATTTGCGACAAACCCTGCTACCGCAACCTGCTATTTTTGTTTGGATTCCATTTTGTGTTCACGAACTAAAGGCCTTTTTTTTTTACTCAATTTTTTTTTTCAACACTCTGCTATCCAATGCTTCTGCTAAACTTTTATGAACAAAGTGCTTAACATGACGAAGAGTGCAAATTGGGAGAAGTGCAGAATCGCCCGCTCTTGCCCGTTTTTTAAGAATTGCACATACACGGATCATCCTTCCTCGATCTATTTTCACTTAAAAAAATCCCAGAATTGCACAAAGGGGCATTGTGACGCTCTTGACTTTCTCCTGTACACTGCAAAATTCTATCTAGGACCTTTATGCCTTCCAATTCGCCAACGATTGTTACCATATTTCAAAGATTAGCCGAATTATCTAACCATTGTCACATATTCTGTCGATCTATAATAAGCTGAACGATGTATAAAAAATAAGCAATAAACAAAAAGAAACTTTTTTACAGACGATGTAGCAGTTCTCATTCAATTAATTCATTCCCACTTCGCAACAAGCAAAAATACATAAAAACTCAAATTTGCATTAAAAATTCAAAGTAATCTAAGCACTTATTTCATCGAAAAAATTCCAGAAGATTAATCATGATTTAATTTGGATAATAGAATGAATGCCTATATTTGTTGTTGCGAGCCTTTGTCTCTCTGATTGGCAACAAATCTACTATTCTGCTGTTTAAATGTAAAAATATGTCGCCATGTTATTTAAACTTGACCACACTTAAATAGCTTTAAATTGCTTATATTGTAAATTGCTTTCAGATTACGAAGGCAGAAACATTAACCGGAAATAAAACAACATAATTCATCATTTTTAGCAAAATTACAATTTCCAACATATAAGAGTAAAGAAGTGAGATCACTGAGCCGAGTAACGAGGGATATATATATACCTATATTTAATAGGTTTGGTGCGTCGATTGCAACCAAATACAGGTGCACATCTACTTGTTCTAGCATTCCTATATACAAAATTTCAACGTCGAGCAATTCATTTTTTAATTATTCTAGATACGTACGTCATACATTCGTAAAGATTTACGAAAATTTCTCTTCAAATTCATTAAAGAGTTTTATAATTTTTTGGAGGAAAAGTCTTGAGGCCGTCCTTACTACAGATGTCTGCAACGTTGCATTGATGCGTCAAAATAATATTTGTTGAAATATGCTGCCTGAACTTTTTGCGATTACAATACTTCTTTTTTACTTCGTACAAGAAGTAAAAACCATTTACTAAGTGCAAGAAATTGTTTCTATTCTTATTTTTCTTTCAATTTATATTATCATTATATAATTTAATTTTTCATTAAGGAGATATACTGTAAAAGCAATTAGTATTTTCGCTAGGTTTGAAGCCGGTAAGATTTCCTAACTTTGGAAATATTCAACAGCAGCTCTTCTGTAGCAGGCAAGTCCAAAATTTTAATAATTTTTTTTTCCCGAAAATGCATGAAAGAGGGGAAAAAAGGAGTCTTTACTGAAGAATAATAACTAACATGTGTACTCAAGGTTACACCAAACCCAGCGTGTTTGAAGAAGACTTTTCCATTTTTGGCGAAAAATCGCGTTGTTTGCCGTCTTTTCTTTAATAAGCAAAAATGGTCAACAGGATTTTCCGTAAGTACCTATATTTTTATTTAGAAAGATTTTTAAGGGATATTTTTTAGTAAAGTGAATATGATTTTTATATAAAATCTCTGTGTGATTGCAGTTATATTAATATAGACCATTGTTTTCTCCTTAATTTAAATTTACTTATAATTTTAGGACTCCACTTATGATGGCTTGTACAAGATCTAACATTGATATTATCAAAGAACTCTTGCAACATGGGGCTAATCCTCTTCTTAGAAATAAAGATGGTTGGACAGCTTTTCACATAGCTTGTAGGTAATGTCTGTTGTAAGTCAAAAGTTATTAAATTATGTATCAATGATCGTCCATTTACTATATTCATACTACAGTGAAAAGTCTTTAATCTGGTCTTTAATCTTTAAACTGTTGTCTATTTAGCCAATTTTTACAAACAATAATAGTGACAAAGTAGCAACTAAGAGATCCAGTAAATTGTTATGTAACTTTCATACACAATCTTACATGATAGTTGTTGGTTACTTTTTGTTTTCTTATATGAATGATCAAACACATGATGATTCCACTACCAGTAAAATTTTACTGTTTTCATCTAAGATTTCAATTTGATGTCACAGATATCCTTTTTATTATTGAAGAAAGGCTTTAAAATGGCAATATATGTATGGAAACTAAACAGCAATGTTTTTGTAATTCAAAATGTATTGTAATTAAATACAGTTAAAAGTCTTTAATCCGGACACGTCGGGACTTCAGCGATTCGGGATTATTGGTTTTTCCAGATTATAAATCATCAGTTTAAATCTGGTAAGATGGCATGCAGAAATTATAAAATTAAAAATATGAAACCGTAATTTATGAAATAAAGAGCAATTATGATCTAAAGGGTATCAAAATTTACAAAAAAAAAAGCTTAATATTTATTTGTTTACTTTATTAAACATTTCTTTCAACGCGCGCATGCGTAAAGCATACATTACACATAGTCGAAATTAGAAAATTGCAACCAGAAAACTTGATGTGTATTCGTGATATTTATAATGACGAGGAATTTGATTTAAATCATATCAAAGACGGAGTACATTGAGATGAAATACTACATTTAGTAAGGAATTATAAGCCGAATAAAATAAAAACATCTGCCCTGAAGATAAGGATAGTGCTGACAGATCAACTTCCAGTTCATTGCACACCGCAACGTCCCCCCCCCCGTCAGAGCAACATGAAATTTATAAACAGATTTCGGAATGGTTAGAGAAATACAGGATATATGCCTTTATTAATTTTCTGCAGCTATTCCACTTTTTGTTTGATGGACATCGAAACATGCTTTCGCTTTGTAGATCTTTTGGCAGCTCCAGAATTGGAAATTCTTTTTGACATAATCGAAAGTTCAAGCTTACTTTTATAAAATTGCTCTAACAGTCTGCAAAAAATATAATAAGCCGTATCCAATCAGAAGATTAAGGAACAACGCAATTTGCAACATTAACTGAAATTTTAATTATTAATTGATTGCAAATTATTAATTAATTATATAATTTTAGCTTAGCTTATACCGTCCATTATACATTAAACATGCATGTGTAAACGTATTATGCGCATGCATAAACATATATGGGCATGCATAAAGGTATTATGCACATGCGCGTTGCATTTACGCATGCGTAGAAAGTTTGTAACTTTGAGGTCCGGATTATAGATCATTCCGAATTATGGACGTCTGGATTAAAGACTTTTGACTGTACTTCTATTTGTAAGACTTTTTCTCATCACTGGTTTAGGTATTTATGTTTACAGTATGCATTCCTGTTTATATCCTATTTGAATAAGATAGCTGCAATCAATTTTCTCATCTCTTTCTATCATTTTTTATTGTGATATATATTAATCTTGTTTGAAGAATTTTTGGTACTTATGTTATTATCCTTTCCATAGTGACATTAAGCAGATGTAGATCATGAAATTAAACAGATGATGTATTAAGCAGATTTGTCACCAGTTATAAAAAAGCATGATGCACCAACATGTTCATAATATCTGCACTTTTGTTTGTTGTAACCCCAACTGGCATTTAATAAGCCACCTTTTGTTTTCATGAGTGAGGTTGTAAATTAATTTTTATTGTATTTTTCTGGCATTCAAAAAAAGTTATGATAATTTGAAACTTGCTTTCTACGGAACAACAAACAGTGAACTATTTATGGGATCCTATCATTAAAAAAAAAAAAAAAAAAAAAAAAAATGCCTATAATGGACATGATATAGTGAGCTGAATATGGTTACCTGTTTATACTTATAATATTCTAAACAATGCTTCCAGTAAAATTTTTAAAAATTTAATAAAATAGTACAATTTAATGAAAACCTTTTTACAAAGTGAGTTCAGTATTGATCATTTATTAAATAAAAGGGCATCATTTCTTACAGGAATGATTGGCACAACTTTTGCTGAAATTACACCATTTCTCATGCTTAAATAGTAGCCATCTTTGACAGTCAATGGTATAATACCTGAAATATCAGTTACATTTTATTATATGTTAAATTGATAGTAAAAATAATACAGTGCTTCTTTAAATGTAAGATGTATAGTTGATAACATGATATTTTACAAAAATAGTTTTTATTCTTTATGCTATTATTTTGGTTTTTTTTTTTGGTTAATTTAAATTTGGTTAATTTTCAATGTTTGTAGTTTGTTTTGTATTTTAATTTCATATTTATTTTAAACATGTTTGATTTAGTAAAATATGTCCTTTCATGTGCTCAGATATAGTGCTATCATTTTTATTTTCTTGATAAATCTGTATTTAACTGAAGTATATTTGTTATTTTCACTACTTATGTACTATCCTGCTGGCCGTGAAAGTTCGCTACTGCTGAACCATGAAAACTGGTAAAGATCCCATAAAAGCTGCTCCAAATGTTTCTTTGGAATTTTCGAGGAACTGGCACATCTTTGTTTAATAAACAATCAGTATTCAACCCAATTTTTTTTTTATTTATTTTTAGAAAGGCTTTTGTGTATTTTTACTATTTTGTTAGGTCCTTTTATGTTACTGGAAGCTCTGTTAGAATGCTATGAGAGAAACTTCCCTCAACTAATTGTATAACTGTTTTGTTGGCCATATTCAGCTGATTATACAATGGTGGCCAAAATTGTGGACACTTTTGGAAATTTTTATGTTTTTGAACTTTGTATGCTTATAGAAAACATTGCGTTTCACAAAATGCAAACTTGTATATATCATTTTGAAGAGAATTTATTACTGAATTCAATACAAAACACAAAATTCAATTATTTGCAATAAAAAAAAGTTAAATGATAATAGTTACTGATCTACATTAGATAGTGATGATTGCAGTGAGTTATCATACTTAGTAGGGTACCCTTTATTTTTGATTACAGCTTCACATCGACTTTCATTGAGCTGACAAGAGTTTTAAGCTCTTCTTTTGTTATTAGATGGCAGGAAACAATTATAGCCTCAATTAGTTTTCTCTTTATTTGATGGGCGCCTCATCCGGACAAGAGTTTTCAAACGTGCCACAAATTTTCGATAGGATTGAGGTCAGGACTGTTTCCTGGCCATGACAACATTTAATGCTCTTTGTACGAACCCACTCTTTCGATATTTTGGCCGTGTGGCAAGGAGCATAATCCTGCTGAAAAATAAACAAAGCATTGTTGGGAAAGAGATCTCTGATGGAAGGTAAAAGTTTTGGTTCTTGAATAGTGTCAATGTATTTTCTGGCATTCAGTGTCCCATCGATGACATGAAGGCGACCAATATACCATCTGCTGACATGCATGACCAAATCATAACACTAACTGGGTTCTTCACAGTTGCTTGAATGCAGTCAGGATGTAGCTTTTCTCCTATTCTACGTCTTACATATTTTTGCCCATCACTACCAAATAACGATATCTTAGTTTCATCACTCCATATAACTTGTGACCACTGATCATCTGTCAATTAATGTGTTTCCTTTGCCCACTGTAGTCTTTTTTTTTTTTTTTTTTTTTTTTTTTTTTTTTCATTGCTGAAAATTAAGATAAGGCTTTTTTCGTAGAATTCTACCTCTCAGTCCAACATCTGTTAATCTTCTCCTGATTGTTTTTGAACTGACAGAAACACCAGCATAGTGTTCTTTAATACACACGTTTTTATGGGATTTCTATTAAGGGAAGTTTTTTTTTTGTACGAAATCCTGCCATCTGAAAAAAAAATTGAGAATAAATATGTTAATTACACTAATCAAATTCAAAGTTTAAATATTTTTGGTGCAGTGGAAAGCTCACTGATGCCTACTGAGTCCCCTCACTGAATACCTCACTGAGTCCCCTTCAGCTGGAAAATCTTTATAATTTGAGAAATGAAAAATGGTCAAGAAAAATCAAAACTTTTTAAAAGAATGGAAAAATTACAACTTCCACTCCCCACCAAAAGCTGAGGGAAATAAAAATGAATCCTTTAAAATAATTTGAAGTTTATGCTTTAAATAAAAATTCTTAAACAATATTATTGTTTCTGTAGCGTTTGTTGATCTTGTAAATGAATTCATATATTTGCTAGTCATTGATTGGTGAGCTTTTAGAGATTTATATTTATTTTAAATAACCATTTTTATTTAAGTTCTTTCCTATATGCCTTCATTCCTCTAATTGTCAATGCCAAAATATTTAAATTTAGTAGTGCGCGTGAAGGGATGCAAATTCTACCTTGAGGAGAAAATACCGAGTTTTAGAAGGAAAGTTAGAGAGTTTTAAGCTATTGCCATCATCTCTGTAGCATGAGCTTCTACTTCCGCAGTTATTGCTGGTTTACGTGGCATAACAGCTTTTACTTTGCTGTCACTAGTTTCGACGTGATTTTAAGTAACAGGAGTTTTCTGAGCCCTGTAACACGATTCCTACTTACTTGTAAATGTCTTCAACTTTTTATTTTAGTTCTTGTGATTTGAGTTACCGCCCAAGTGAGGCATAGTGAGTTAGCGCCAAGTTGATGCAGTGAGAATTTTAAAGAGTTTAATAAAGGATACTTTTAACCTTTCTCCTGTGTCGTTCCTACAAGAACTTACTATATAGAACTACAAGAACTACGTACAGTTGTCACTTAGAAGATAAGCAAGTGGTTCTCACAAGCTATTTTCATCTTTCTCTTTAGGAACATAGCTATACCACCTTATCAATGTTATATGTATCTTTTGCATAATGAGTAATTGCTCTAGATCTGATATTAATTTTTTAAACTTTATATAAATATACAATTAAACCTTCAGCTGAAATGCACCTTTCAGCTGAACAAATGGTTGCTTTTAAATTCTGTTTAGGTTATTGGAACCTAGGGAAAAACACCTTTAGGTTATTGTTCTTATTACAACCACTTTTCCCTGTGTTCTAAACAAAAGGCTATGGGAGGTAGGTAGAGCACTAAATTCTTTGAAAACCTGGACATGCTTTAGGACAGTGGTCTCAGACTTGTGGCTCACAGCTACATTTGATCTCCAAAGCAATTTATATGGCCTGTAAATACATTTCAGCTATATATTTGTAGCAAAGATTTCAAGATTTTAATTATTTGAAGTCAGAGTTTGTATTAGTTTTCATGGCATCAAAAACGAACATGAATAACCCACCGGAAAATCTATAAATGGATTAATTTACAGTATAAATCTTATTCAACGATTTGAAAATGCAGCAGATTTTATTAACTTTTTTTTCATATTTGTCAAAAAATAAATAATTTCAGTTATGAATTTTTGGATTAATTTAAATAAATCACTTTGTTCAAGAATATATTTACATGTATTACATGTAAACAGTTTTTTTCACAATTGAAAATTAATGCTAATTTTAAAAAATTAACCATTGAGCACTTGCAATACGGGATGAGGATAATTTCTAGTTATTTCTCTCTAAGGTCACAAACTTCAGCTGAATCAAAATACCATCATGTCTGAAGCTGTGGTAAGAAATAAAAGAAGTTTATAACTATTTACATAGAAATGTATGTACTTTTATTTGTGTGTTGAAGAAAATTTAATAAATAAAAGAAAGAGACCAAGTTGTCATTATTTATTCTTTTGTCCCACTTGGAAAATTTTCTCTGAAAACTTAGTTTTCATATTTATTTATTTTTTATTTAAATAAGCTATTTTGAAATTAACTAAACATGTTAGAACTATTTCAAATATCAGTCAGCAAGTTTAATATTTAGATATCAACATATTTGAATAAAAACCAACAAAAGTATTTTGCAAAAAATATATTTTGTATAATCAACAAAAATATCTTGCAGGCAACTTAAAAATGTCTTTAGATTTCAAATAGCAAATAAATATAAATTTGAATTTTTCTCCTTTGCAATATTGTTAACATTATTTATATGCTTTCTGATAAATATTTAGTTGCAAAATTTAAAACTTTATTTAAAGTATTTTTTTATCTTGTTAATAAGAAATTTTCATTTTGTTTAAAAAAAAAAAAAAAAAGTCCAGCTCATCAATTGTTTTCAGATCTAGAGTAAAAACCATTTTACTTTTCAATTTAATTCCATATAGTAATTCATTCATCACTTATCTCAACCTTTTAACTAACCTCTGTAAAATAAAGATTTAGATAAAAATTGTGCCACCCAAAGTGGATCACTCTTCTCTAGCTAAGCCACTGCACTGGGAGTTATATGCTTCCATTAATGCCATCAAGATTGAAGAATTATAAGCATTTGTTGCACTTGCTGTATTTCTTGTAACTGCTTTATTATATTTTTCTGTAGGTGGTTTCATCATTTGACAGAACTTGCTTTAATATTTACGCTAAGGGAAAATGTCTGCCTTATTTTATCTTTCGAACATATCAGTTAGTATAGTTTCAATTTTTTTTTTTTTTTTTTTTTTTTTTTTTTTTTATGCAGGGATTCCACTGTTGATGTTATAAACTGCTTATTAGATATAAACCCTTCCCTGTGGTCTACTAAAAGCAAGACTGGTCGAACTCCACTTCATACTGCATGTGAGTTTTTCTGTGCAATTTTTAAGTTATTTGTAATATTTAATATTTTAAAATCTAATATCAAGCAAAAGCTATATAAACTTATTTTATTGAAACTTTTATTAGTACGTTTCTGTCATTATTATTATTTTTTTTATAATACAAAAATTCCCAAAGCATGTTTAATTAATTTAACACAACTTTTTTGTTCAATGGAGGTGATATAATGAGCTTTTTTAATCTTAATTATTTTTGAAAAATAATGTGCAAATTTTAAATAAAAAGTAATTTTCCCAGTCTTTTTCTTTATTAAATACTTTATTTAAATATCAGGTCACAAGTAATGTCCTTATTTAGACAATACATGTTTTAACATGTTTAACAAGGCACTTTCACAGATGTATAAATACCTAGTGGGCAAAGACAGTTTCCATTCAAATAACTCCTGACTTGCAGGTCTTTTGAAGTGGCATTCACGCAAGAGCATGTTTGATACATCATGCTTTGCAAATATAAAAAATCTGATGTGGACACCACATGACTTCCTTGTATGGAATATTAAATTATATGCATTTTTGCTGCATTAATTTCATTTAAATTTATTTCCTCAAAATTCATTAGAGGTATATTTCTCATTCAATTAATTCAGTTCTTACTTCTGGCAAGGCAAAAATACATAAAACATTAAAATATCTTCATTAAAAATTGAAAAATATAGAAAAACATAAACCACCAAAAACAATTAAAACAAGTTTTACGATAAAAATTAGAGTTTTTATGTGAAAGCAAGCAATTCAGCCAACAGGTAAAAAGGTATATTTTTCAGTGCACAAAACTGAAAGTTTACTTTCAGTTTTAAAGAAACTGATTTAAATCTGGAATAGTCTACACCCTATAATGCTTTTTTAAAAATATGAATTTTTTCTCTGAAAGCTCCGAAAGAGAAGGATAAAGAAGAATGTTTTAAAAGCTGTGTAGGTTTTTTTTTTTTTTTTTTTTTTTTTTTTTACTTACTATTCTGTTACTAACATGGCCTTATATATTTTCAAATTCGTCATGAGAAGCCCATGGCATGAAGACTTTTTACTTTTCTAACATAGTTCCTTTACTTTCCTTTTCTACTCTTTCTGTAATTTTAAAGTAAAAAATTTAGAAACTAAAATTCAGCATTATAGATATATAACTCCTATCTACAAAACAATTATTAAAAACTATTTGATCCCTTTTTGGACAACTTTTTGAGTTTTTTAAGGATTAATTAGTTTTAAAATTTAATTAAAGTTTTACACTAAATATTGTTTTTTTCCCTTTTTTTTTTAAAAAAAGAGTAAGATTTTACTTAAATTTCATTCAATTAATATACAATCTTTTTCATTGACTAAAAAATAAAAATTAATTTTCCTTGAAATATTGTAAATTTTTTCTTTTGGTTTCAAAATTATGTATTACTTACAAGATTGTAGCCTTTTGAGCGATTACTTTCTAGCCAAGGTTTTTTAGTTTCGCAAATGAAGCCAAAATGGCAAACCTGTATGTACCTTTATGTCTAGCCTCTCATGTTTAGATTGGAGTCTAATGAGAGTGATGGAAGTTATTAATTACTTTTTGTGCGTTCTAAATGGTTTTCTTTTTCCAACTACATCTTAATTCATTGGATTATATGTTTATTTAAAATTTTTCACTGAAATATTTCCAAGTCCACATATTTGAGTTGTATTCTGGACTCTTGCCTATTACTGTAATTAATATGAAGGTTGTGTTACAAAGAAGGTGGAAGGGAGATAGTTAATTAAAAAAATGGCTAGTTGTAAATGTAGCAGCAACAAACACACTGTTATTGTTACTTGTGAAATGTATATGTAGCATGTTCTAAACTATTATGATAAAATTCTTGTAACTGCCTTTTGAAAGCTTCAGTGGCTTGGAAACTGTGGAAAACCTAACTCTTTGTTGGATTATTGGAGCACTTAAATCTACTCGTATTTCTGCCTTACATCTGCTAACTAACTTAACCTCAGTTGAACACAAGATTAAAAAAATGCTCTGCTTTTGCTACAAAAGCTTTGGAAACTTCATAACAATTGCTGGAGAAACTATAACTTCAAAAATTCCATAAACTTAAATAATCAGGTAGGATTCAAACTGGCCATCTGCTTTATTGCTAAAGATCTTGATGTTGCTGGAGAATATGATCTTTTAATCAGACCATGGTTTTCCCTAGAATTTCAGTAACATCCAAGAGAATCTTTATCTTGTCTAAGTTAATAAGAAATGTGTGACTCCATAATCTGTTCATTTGGAATGGAAACTATTGAAAGCTGTTTTTTAAATAATCTGTGGACTCACATATATACAGATGGTTCAGTGTAGGTCAGGGGTATTGGCACTGGAGGTGGTGTACAAGCAAATTTTTTTCTTTTATAAAGAGTCAGTATTAAACTAGTTTTGATGTGAACTGAAAACAATTCTTATTGCCTGCATTTTTATTTGATTTGTTATAGTATCATTAATAACTTTCTTGGAAATGCTGGGAGTCCAATTTATTAATTTAATATTAAAATTGAAATTGTGTGTTTTGTCATACAGTAGAATCTTTTTGTAATTAATTATTTGAAGGTCTAGGTAGTTGACTACATTTTGTGAAGTGTTAATTTTATTAAGAGTAAGGCACTCTGGATAACTTTCTGAATTTAAAAGCTTGTTAAAATTATTAAAGCTGATAAGATCATCTGTATATTTGTAAGTATGGCCGTAGTAAATTAAATCATGTTGCTGCAAATTTTTTTTGAAGGTTAATTCTTTAATGAATACTAAGAGATTATAAACAGAGGTACTCGTGTGCGCCGCATTGGGATTCCCCATGACTTGCTTAAAAAGTTTTCTCTTTGCTTTAAGGCTTCTGAATATTTTTAAGAAAGGACGTGAATTATTTTATTTTATCTGTATTAATTTATTATTGAAGGAAATGGTTTTTTATTTTCTATGCTGGCAATAATAGGCAAAAAGGAAAAAGTTTAGTTTTTGTTAATTAGCCCAGCAGTAACCAAATGGCTGAAGCCAAGAAACACTGATTTTTCTACTCTAAATTTGATTATCGGTAGTGTAAAATGTTGTTGCGTCGGTGTTTTTTTTTGGGGGGGGAGCTTTTCATTTGTAGTTTCAAAATACATACAAGTTCTCTTAAAAAGTTCTCCATAAAGGAATTTCGGTACTTTTCCGTTTTGCCGGCGCAGGTGATAAAGTCTCCAATAATGGTACAACTGATGCCAAACGAAATATCCTCGTTGGTAAACATTTTCAAAACAAGTCACAGCCATTTCTTATCGGATTGATTGTTTCTTTCAATACTGGCATACAATTAATTACATAGAATTTTTACCATATAGTTCAGTTTTATGCCATAAGGCCATTCGTGGTAATTACATCAATTAGGATGCAATCACACCTCTCACCCGAGGGCGAAAATATAGAAAAGTCAAAGTCAAGGGTTAAATTCATCAATTCCCATGAGAATGCACTAGCGAAGTAGAGCACTGTGGTTTTACATAACTTCTGACTGAGTAAGCTAATTGGACGGATTTAAATAATTCTTGCATTTAAACTTCTATTACAAATTAAGATTTAATTTGAAATTAACATAGATAATTACTGAGACAATTATATTATTGCAGCGTAGTTTACATGTGATGAGATCACTTGTGGTCACATGGTATGAACTGACAAATCAGGATTTTGAACCATGAAAGCATAGTAAACTCTGAAATTAATGTCTTTTTACAAATTTATTCTTTTTACTTATTGGCTTTTTACAAAATTTTAAACGACATTAAAATGTTTATGCCTTTAAAATAAAAAAAATTCTTAGAACTAACATTTGTTAAAATTTTTTGTGCGTATATTGTATGTTGTAAGTCTGCTTGGCGAGATTTGCGCCGGTGAAACGGAAAAGTACTGGAATTTCTTACTTTAAGTAGATATATTCCAAGTATTTTGCTACACTTTTCTACTGTAACTGCTCATTATTTTCAGGTCTTCATGGACATCTTGAAATAGTTAAAGTACTTTTGAAAAGAGGATGTTATGAAAAAGATATTATGGATACGTGTGGAATTACTCCTTTGATGGATTCAGTCTCTGGAAACCATCATCACATAGTTGAGTATTTGCTTCAAGAAAATGCAGTGAGTTTTTGAAAATGTTATCAGTTCAGCAAAATATTGTATGCTCTTTTATAAATTACATGAATTGTTTCTAAATATATTACATATTTCATTATTAATTGATGATTTTAATTTATTTATTCTCATACACAACTGGTAATGACTCTATAGTTATTAATTTTACTATCCATACTAAACACTCTTGCTGGTACTGAATGTTGCTGCTGAAAAATAATTTGAAAATTTTTGCTGTGTTGATGGTAACTTAAACAATGCTTAGAGGCAAATGTTAGATATTTTTAACATGTCGATAAAGCTGTTTATCAGGTTTTGTTAATTTTATAAAAGATTCTTTTTTCAGCTGTTGGTTCTCCTGTGGATTGGCGCAGATAGTTCTAAGATAGTGTTTTTATAACAGCTTCTAGTTTTGTTTTATCTCATTGTAAAATTATTTTTAAACTGCAGGTGTAAAAAATAAATAAGTAATAGGTTTGGAGGCAAGAGATTAAGACTCCTTAAAGATCACTTAATTGTTAAGAAGCTCACCATAAACATATTCAAATTTTATTAAAAAAATTGGACAAAAATTAAATTTCCTAGAAGCTTGGAATATTTGGTTCTATGATGCTCACAAGCAGAATAAAGTGTACTGCGAAGAACTACAAGCTGCATAATTGCTGCCATTATTCTACTGTAATAAATAACATACAAACTAATGCTGCATCTTTTTTTTAATGAAAATTAAAATATCTAGACAGTTTGGGGGTCATAAGATATAATTTTGGATTTTTATTGTTAATTTGTCCAAGATCTCAACCCTGTGGCATTTTATAGGTGAAAAAATACATCTGGATAGCTTAGCCTGAAATAAACAAGTAAAAAAGGGTTTAAATGGTGTATAATACTTTTGTGTCCAATTACTTACTTAAAAGTAGCAATGTTTGATGAAATAAGACAACCATTTAAATTGCCTCTTTTTTTTAATGGAATGAATAAAAGGCAAACTTAATTTTCATCAACCAGTTGCACCTTATCAGTCTATTGGCATTATGTCATCCGAAGACAGGATAAATGCTTAGCTCAAAATACATTTTACAACTCACTTTCTGCGACTTATTTTACTTCGCTATTTATCAGCTCCAGTCAATTTTTTATAATTTAAAAATATTATCTGAAAAAGTCTTTGAGAGCTTTTTGTATTTTAACCCTTAAACCAGCCAAGCCATATATATATATATATATGTAAGATAAAATTATATGAATCAGAATTATAATATAATTATAAACATTAATTTTTCCTCTCTATTCTAAAATCGTAATAACTTCTCTGCATTGCGTCATTTCGAGATCACTCTATGGCCCGCGCAGCTCTGATGACGTAATAATTGTGAACTGAAACTGCCATTGTAAACCAAAACTTTTCTCTGTGCCGTACTTCCATCCTTCATAACTACGCACTTCAGCTTTTGCTCTCTACTGTGCTAAGATGTAATTTCGCTGGCTTGCTTTCTATCTCAACAATATCAAAAATGTAAATCTTCTGTGGAAAGGCACGACTAGAGTGCCAAGTGATTGTGGCCACAAATATCAGTTGCAAATAAAAATGGAATTAAAACTGCCTCAACTGCCAAGTTCTTTAGAAATTACCAAGTTAGCATTACTAGCATACTACGCAATCAAAATCTTCTTCAATATGGGTCTAATCATGCATCGACAGTGTTCCATCTTTTCCTTTGCTTTTATTATGACATATATATATACAGTGTGGAATATTTTTCATGACATCTTTAAATAAATATATATGCGCATACACCTTGAAATATGTCCAAGAAATGAAAGCAGTGTTTTAAAAGGAAAAGATTCCATGTGTAAAAAAAAGTATCAGGGGTAGTTTGTTATTTTAATCAAGAAAATATTTCATTCTTATCACAGTTTTGGTGTTTTGGAACAAAATTCTTGGTCATTGGAGAGTTAAAATATTCTATGCAAGGTGGCAGTTAGGCTGAATATTTCAAAACAGGTAATATCTGCTCCCTAGACAATACAAAGGCATTGAAATTGTTGCTAGAAACATGGAGATTGCAGAAGGAAAAGGATTGGTTTCTGCCCATGATTGGTCACTTAAATAATTTTGTGCATCTCCAAATCAGATGATGGTGGTTCAGTGGGTTTACTAATTTTAACACTTTTACATTTTAAACAATATTTTAATTACTATATACAGAGTGTATTCTTAGGCCGCCGCCTTCAACATGAACAAACTTTATTCTCTCAACTAAGCGAGCAACAGCGCCCTCTAGCCTTTTTCTTCAAATTACACAATACTCCCCACCTGAACTCGGTGGAGAGTTCATCTTTCAATAATATATTCTAGAATATTCAATTAATATTTCGACAATAAATCCTGGAGAAATGGTTAAATATAAACATGCATACATAATTATAAGCACATAAAATTTTCAAAACATTAAATGATACCTATCAGCAAGGTCAGGAGAATCAAACCTAAAAATACAAAATACAAACATTAGTTAAGTTCCATATTATATAACAATTGTATAGGCCTTTTTAAGGTACCAGTAGGTGTTTTAATTATGCAAGATCTTATTTTACCATCTCTGCCTGGCATTAATTCCAAAATTTTACCTATTGTCCAAAGATTTCTGGGATGTTTGTCGTCATGAATCAAGACAATATCGTTGATTTTAAACTGAGATGCGTTAGAGTGTGGAGGACAAATATTGGCAGATCTCAGATTAAAAAGATACTCTGATCTCCAACGCTTCCAAAAATGATTTAAAATATCTTGATGGTATTTATATCGTTTAATAATTGAATTTCTTGACCCAATCAAATTATTTGATGTTATTTTATTAGCAGGCAGAGATAGCAATCGTCTACCAACCAGAAAATGAGAGGGTGTTAGTGGAGAAGGTTCATTGGGATCGGTAAACACGTAGGTAATTGGTCTACAATTAATCATTGCCTCGATTTCAATGAGCACTGTTTCAAGCTCTTTCACAGTAAGGGATGATCGACCAATAATTTTTCGCAAGCTGGATTTTATGGTTCGTACCATACGCTCCCAAAAACCCTCCCCACCATGGACCCCTCTCAATAATAAATTTCCAATTTATGCCTCTAGCAGAAAATAATTCTTTCACAGATGAGTCACTCAAAGTTTTAAAAATATGTTTTAGTTCTTTATCAGCTCTTTTAAAAGTCTTGGCATTATCGGAGTACACGGTGGTACACAGTCCTCGGCGAGCTAAAAATCTTCGGAAAGCTAGCAAAAAACTTTCAGTGCTGAGATCAGTTACTATCTCTATATGTAAGGCACGAGTGACCGCACACGTTAACAACAGCATGTAAACTTTACCTTGCCTGTCTTTCGTAAAAAAATGGACCGGCGAAGTCCAACCCGGTCACAGCAAATGGAGGCGACTCTTGGATTCTGTCTGGAGGAAGTGGAAGCGATATCCTGTACCCCAGGACGAGCACTATATCGTTTGCATATCACACATTTTCTGATGATAGTCTTAACACGCTGTCTTCCCTTAATGATCCAATATTTGTCTCTGATCTGAGTTAGTGTCGAATTAACTCCAGCATGGAATACCCTTTCATGCGAGTCCATGATGATCAACTCGGTAAACTTGCATTTTGAGGGTAATAGAATAGGATGTTTTAAATTCTCGTGACAGTCTGCAAATTGAATGCGACCTTTCAACCGAAGAATTCCCTCCTCATCAAGCCTTGGATTAAGGGAGTAGATGGAAGAATCGAGAATTGATTTTTTTATTTGATAACTTAATTATTTCCGCTTGATACGATTCTCGTTGCGTAATTTTTACCCAATAATGTTCAGCTGCTTTAATCTCAAAAGCACTTAAAGGTCCATTCTCTGTAGACCTTTTCCGAAGCCTCCCAATAAATCTAAATACATAGGCAGTAATTCGAAGTAATTTTCCTAAAGAACTGAATTTTTCTATATGCAAAATTGGGGATTCATTGTTAATTACAGGTGCAGTCAAAATAATACTTTTTCTTAACTCCAACGATTCTGAATTTGGTTTTGTAATTTCTTTTGTTTCGGAAAGTTTTCAGTAGGAAAACGTAACCAGTGTGGCCCATGCCACCACAGATCATTCTTAACTAGTGACTGAGCACTAATTCCTCGAGTCAGTAAATCGGAAGGATTTTGTTTTCCTTCGCAATGATTCCACAATTTTTTGTTGCACATACCCTGTATTTCTGTAATACGATTAGCGATAAATGGTTTCCGATTACTTGGCGAACCTTTAATCCAAGTAATGGTGATTTCAGAATCACTCGAAAAATAAACATCCTCAATTAAATCACCAAACAATTTTTTCAAATATTTATACATTCGAGCAGCCACGAGTGCTCCCATTAACTCTAAACGAGGAAGCGTGATTGCTCTTAAAGGTGCAACTCTGCATTTCGACATGATAAAGGAAGTTTTAATTTTAGAATCACTCGTACAATATCTGAAATATGCGATGGCCCCATATGCTTTAGGACTAGCGTCCGAAAATAGGTGAAGGCTTATATTCATTGGATCGTCATCAAAGAAATTTCGCTGTATCGATATTTCAGTTAAATCATTAAGTTCCTCCCGCCAAATGTTGAATTTGTCCTTAATCTCTGCAGGAAGGACCTCATCCCAGTCAGAACCGGAACACCAGATTTCTTGCATAATAATTTTTGCCCGAATAACAAAGGGTGCAATAAATCCAAATGGATCGTATATTTGGGCGATGCTTTGCAAAAGTTTCCTTTTTGTAGCAAAATCGTTTCCAGTAGAAAAGTCAATTAAATTTTTTAAATTTAACTTTATATTGTCTTCAATGGAATTCCAAATCATGCCTAAGAAATTCGATTCACTAGTTAATTTGTTGTCTGATTCCTTAATCCCATCTGAGACCCATAAATCGTTTAATGCTTTAGAATTAGTTCTTAATTTTCTGAAATTCATCCCAGCATCCTTAAATATATTA